GTGGTACATGTATAAGAGGATTTGCGGAAGGATATGGAGATAACGAACAGCATTCAATATCAAAGTCCATAAAACAATACAAAATTGGAGCATAGCAAACACGGACCACCGAAACATCAGAGGTGGGATCAGGTGCCATGGAGGAGTGACACCCGCCGTGTGCTCCTTGTCATGCTTGGGAAATAACGGGAAAAACCGTCGTCAATTCAGTGTATAAATAATGGACTAACAATAAGTATGAAAAACGTTAGTCAGCATTTGTCTCAATGATAAATTGTATTTTCTGACAAGGTCATTGTAGCGACCATAAAATTTACTAAATGATGACTTTAAACGAGACTGTTGATATTCTTCGGATAAGATATTAGTACACTTCATAATGCGATAAAAAGAACAACAGTCTCCATGTTTTGCCATGGGAAACCCAAAATTTGTGTCGAATAAAAAAGTAATATAACAGGCACATAATAGCATTGTGTAACAAAGGTTCTGTGAAAGTTTCATTAAATTTCATTCAGAGATATAAGAGGAGTTGCAGATAAGAGATGGGTACCCCAAAACCTAACAGATGGTCGGACGATCACTTTATACCCTCCCAATTTTCAAGCGGGGGGAACTGTAGGATAAATGATTTGGAGTGTTGTTTTCAAGCTCAATGTAACTATAATACATGTATTTAGCTTTTAATACATGATAACAGAGTGTGAATAGGACACGATGCAAAAGTACTACATGCACGAAGCACTGTGTCTTAAAAATCCTAATTTCTTCTGAGCCCAGACAAGTATAAAAATTTTCATCGTATATACGTAGTCAAACAGTGAGGTAGGAAGCTTAATTAACGCAGATTACCTTCGTTATTGGTCAATATCCTGAAGGGTTTGCGTCAGTTCATACCATCTACACAACGGCTGATTGTTATAATGTCCGTAATAACAACAATAGGATCTGCTTCAATTTGTTTATGTATAATAAAATGATAAAAATGTCGAACATCTTAGAAAATATTTCAACTTGATATCTTTTTTTCATATAAAGAAACACTGTTTGTTTGTGTTTTTAAAGTGAAAGACAAACACGTAAAGAAGTATCATGCAAAACAAGAAAATACGTGTTTTACATGCAAAACATGACTGTTGTTTATGGCATGCTAAGTAAGTAGTATATTGCCCTCGATAACCTAATTAAGTATCCTTCCTCCCGAGAAGCTACTGCTGTTTCTTTACAATAAAAAACAATTTTGTTAATAAAACTTTATTGCAAAACAAACAGGACAACAATACGTTAACTTGTTTAGTTTTTAAAAAATGCACTGGGAAAATTCATCAGTAATTCCTTGAAAATTAAGACAAAAAACAGGCTTATTATAGAAAATGAAATATATTATATATATATATACAAAGAAAAAATCACAAAAATGGAGATCAGCGCTTAAAGTATTATACAATAATTATAATACATCATTTATGTCAGGCGAGATCTCGGATGTGTATATCATCAGGTATCACTTAAGCTTTGTAGTGTTTAAACACTTAGGAATACAATGAAACTGTTAATTTCATTTTCCACTAAAAGCTATTAAACTACATGTATTATATTTTATGACTAAGATCATTTTTAAACGCCTGCTGCATGCAATTGCAAATATAACGTTGACTGATATTAAATCAAAATTTGAAAAAATCATAATATATGCGGACTTTGACTTCCCAGAAGCCCATGAGTAAAGCTCTTTAGAAACTTTTATAACAAAGTAAAAATAATTAACACATATATACATGCAAATTGTTTTAACAAAAATATCTGATCGGTGGAGAAATGAAAGACTTAAAGCATCATTTTTATACAGAAATATATAGTACTGTATATGTCAAAATTATTGCCAATAAAGCATCACCGTCGAAAGATTCTTCCATATTTACAATGTACAATGCTTTTAAAAAGAAACAATACTTCATGTCTGAATTTAGGATCCAGAAATCCATAAACAAAGGGATTAGCCATATTGTTTATGAAATAAGACCTTAAAAGAAAGTTATATCCCGTGAAAGCCATCGGGGAAAGATTTTCAAAGCTGGCAGGGTCCATAAATTCAAGGACCAAGAGCACAAGATGGGGTAGGAAACTGACAATATAGATCAACGTGATCATAAACAGCATTCCCGTGATCCGTACGGTTCTCTTTTGTCTTTTTGAAAGCGATTTAACTGACAAGGAGCCACGGACAGATTGTCTGCACTCTTCGCTATCATCGTCACTCATAGACATTGTCTGTCGTTTGTAAAACTCTAGCAAGCTTTTTTTCTTCTTTTGATCACTCTTCTTATTCTTCCGAATCATTGAGGACCTGGTGTGAGAATTTTGACTAGAACTAGAGTCTTTTTCTTGCTCTATAACACCCTTAAAAATTGGTGTCACCGCATTTTCATACTCCATTCTACACTCGGAGTGTGCTTCGTCGTTTCCTTTCTTGTATGAAATTGTTTTGACTTTGACTGTGGAGAGACTGTCGTCTGTCTCAGATAAAATTTCGTCTGTTGTTTCTGGATCCGAAACTCCACAGAAGCTAAAGGATCTCCGACCTTTATTCGTTACTTTCTCTTTTCGTGCGCTTCCAGAATCGGTGGAAATATTTGCCGCTCGTTGGCGAATCTTGAACCCGACCAGAGAATAAAGAACGATAAGCACGATTGTTGTAGTAATAAATAGAAAGAAGAAAAGTCCAAAGTAAATGTAGGATTCCGAAGATTCGTATTCGTCTTTTATATAACATTCCACACCAGTAAAATTTTCACCGGGTACTTCTATAGATGAATTGCCGTACATGATAATATTTGGGATACCAAACAGGCTTGCAAAAATAACTGAGGCAAAGCATGCTTTTTTAGTTCCAAGATCTGAAATCTGTTTTCCGAACGGTTTGCATATTTTGCGATGTCTGTCAATGGAAATAAGTGTCAGTACAAAAGATGACGCCGTCACTGTAACTCCAAGAATGTAAGACAGTCCTTTACAAGACCCTTCGTCAAAGTACGTATAGGTATGGTACATATCGTATATATGATAAGGCATTCCAATTACGCAGGCCACAAAATCCAGAAGTGCAAGACACAAAATGAAAGACCGCGAACTGGAACGTTTAAATCTGAATTCGTACACATACAAAACCAGTAAATTTCCGAGGATTCCAAACACCATGAGAAGGCTCAGAAAGGCGATTACTGGCGTTAGCAGGTGCGCCAGTTGATCGTTCAGTTTTTGTAGCGTCTCCCTCTGGTGTTGAAGATCAGTGAGGTTCAGAACATTCAGGACAGGGGAATTCTTGGAGATTTCCAGGTCTCCTTCGGTTTGGTTTACGTCCATTGCGATCGGACAAAGATCGGCAATTAATTACATTCCTTAGGGCATGTGATTAATTGACGTGCAATCAATAACAGATGCTCATAAAGGATATGACAGCCAAGTGAAAACTAGCAGGAAATATAACGGAAACGCAAATAAGTCTGTCGCTGAAGCCTATTACACTAAGCAAGAACAGTAAGTATAAACGGATACAGTGAAAACTTCATTGGGCTTTCCAAAAAAGGATATATTTCTCTGCATTACGACACGATTTGCATCAATTAAAAAAAAATGAATTAAGGTCCCATTAGACAGACGAAAAACAAGGTAACGGGTGATATTATAATATAAACAAGCGTCAACTACACTAAAAGTAGGGGTTTTTTGTATCACAGAGAGTTTTATTAGTCTTCAATTAAGGCAACAAAAATCTGAAACGGACTCAATGTATACAAAAAGAAAGTAATCTTCTGACAGTGGTTCTGGCAATAACGCTAGCTCTGTAACTATTAGGTTTGCTATTAAAGAAAACAAAAATAATGCCTAAAACATCCTGACCACCCACTTGTACTCGCAAAGTCAATAAATACCTCTGACTTATTTTCTTTAATAATAATAATGATACTGTGCAATGATATTATTTTATATATTTCTAACGAGCAGTCTATTAATTGATGGACACAAGTAAAAGAACAGTAAGTAGTCAGCTTAACCACAATACCCAACTTGAGGAAGTGATTTAACGAATTTCATTACGAACTGACTGGGGACACACATGTACGTGCAGGGGGGTCAATGCGGATGCAGAACGGTCTATATAAATCAGCAATGCTGCGATCCATCCACTTATCAAAGCAATAGTGGCCTCTTGAGGATGTCTATATTTAAATATATCTAATCTACTTCCTTATTGTGTCAAGGAATATATAATAATGATGTCGCGGCGACAGATAAAAGACGATTGATAGATCAATGGGCTTGAAATCAAATGCAACATTTTTACATTTATTATGTTAAATGTATTTATTTTTCCCTTTTGACCTTTTCTTTATTTGGGTTTTCATTTAATAGCATATTTTAAAACTAAAAGCACAATGGTATAAATGTGCATGAGCTATTTATCAAAGCTTTCTTCAACAATAAAAAATAAACTGGTAAAATATGAGATGCTACTTTTATTGAAATTGCATATTACATGCATTTAATAAAGTTGCTCGACAAATATGTATATGATAATTCGAAAGAAACTGGGAGATAGCCATATGCCAGATTCATTTTAAGAAATTTTACTTTTTGTCTAAATTATGTAATGCATATTAGCATTTGCATACAAAATTGAAAAGTCTTGAATACCGTAAAAGCTAAATTGATTCTGAAAGTAACGTTTTGCTTGTTCAGAATCTAGATATGATTTTGACAACTACTGTGAACTTTAACTTGTAAATGCCTATATACATGTAGCTAGGTACATTAGAACGTTAACGATTGGCTTGTCTTATCCTTCGGCTTCTCTTATCCTCCCACATTCTTTTATAAAACAAAGGTATTTTGTTTTAAAAAATTTCCTATTTCATGTTATTAAATAAAACCGGTTACCTTTTCAGCCTTTACTGTTGTGTAGTTTTTTCGCTTCTGCAACAGTAAGAATTAGCAAATCGGTAAATTAATATACACATGAATAATATAATTTACAGTTCTACGATTCAGATGCTTCAGTTCTTCGTTAGAGGCAACAATTAAGAAATAAACAACGTTATTCAGTGAACATGGCATTATGAATAGCAATTGCTCTGCTGGCATATTGCGCATCATGGAAAATATGCCAGCAGAGCTATTGCTATTCATAATGCCATGTTCACTGAATAATCGTTGTTTATTACTTATATTTGCATTCTTTGATTGTTTTTCAAGAATATCAGAGGAAATCCTGACTTAAATAAGGACGCAGCTTCTTGTCTTAGTAAAGAAAAACATACGGCTTTAAAATCAGTAAACCTGATTAATGCTCCTTTTTTCTAATAAATCACAAACATGTAAAAGTATTTCCCTCTCAAACACAGTTATCTGGATACAAGCAGCGCCGTCATCACATTTTTGTTTTGATGCAGTTGTGACGTCACCGATCAACGGTATTAAAACCCTCTGACAAAAATCAATGATTGCTTGTCGCCATCTTGGACTAGGGTAACGCACTTTACCCTAGTCCGTTTCTACACAGTGACTATGATGAAAAATGAGAATGCTTTTATAATGATTATTACTCCAGAATGCTTTTCTATATTTTTTTAGTTTTTCTATTCATTTTTAATAGCTGAAATCATTCTTGAAATAGATTTACTAGATAAAGAAATTTTCTCTTTCTGAATGTTATTACCCAAGTGTGAAGAGTTATCGTTCTTTGTTCAAATATGCATGATACAAAAAGTAAAAATGTGGCAGTTCTCTATAATTTTTAAAAAGTTTTATTATACAATTACATTGTTTTTAAAGATTTCAGCAATTTTAAATATTCTAAATTTCCTTTTTTTCAAAGAATATTATTAAAAACTTATTTTTATTCCGCTTATGAAACATTTCATATATATACTTCTCAACTGGATGTGGAGTCGTAGAAGAGACTGTTCTACATGAGTGTGATAGAGCAATTGCACTCATAGTAGAAGCAATTGGGTCTGTAGTCCTTTAAATGCAGTGGATGAATACATGTTCAGAGTGGGAGAGAGCAGGAGAGAGCAGTGGATATGCAAATATTTATAAAGAATAAAAGACACACGTGAAGCGTTTATAACCGGAATATAATTTCGTGATGCTTTCTTTTACCGTCGACTTACTCGCAGCCAAAACCCACATTAGTATTTCAACAAAGTAAACACAGTTTGCCCACTATCAAATGCTTCAATAAATAGTTGCAAACGCCCTCTGTCTGTCATTCAGAGTAGGTTAGTATAAATCAGAAATACCAAAGTTCCCGTTAACAGCGTACCGCGTCGTCGAGATGATCATCACATCTTCCGTGTTTCATAGATAATCAAGTTGCATAACTATTAGACTACTGACATAAAATGTAGAAACAAAATTTACATTATATAGCATTATAGGGCTTAGTAAATAGTGTACCATTCTGTAAGTACAGTCACTTATCTAGGTTCTATCAATACTGGACAAAAGATGAACTTGATTCCATAAGAAACGGTATTATAATAACTATATAAAAGTAATAATTACTTACATGTACTGCAGTATTATCATACATCCCCCTGATTTCCAATCTTCGGGGGGAATTAAAAAGTTATCGGACAGATTTAGCAAAAAATATTTCAACAAACATTTTGAAGTATTTTTTTTATTTCAAGATTTACAATTTACTCAAATGGTGCACGCCTTCTGTCTTAGAATAAAGGTGGCATTGATTGAAAAAACTCTATTATCAAGACCTGATCATCAAGAGCTTAAGTTTGGGTCTGACCCATATACAAAGAGTCCTATATGTATATAAAAAATGGCTTACAAAAAAAAAAAGAAAGAAAAGAGGAAAGATATGTAAAGATGAAACTCCAAGAAGGAATCAATATAACCCGTAATCAATAAGTTCCTCATTAGGAGTAAATAATTATATGAAATTCTAAGTTTTAGTCAGTCCTAGGTTTTGTGTTTTTGTAGATACTTTTCCAGGCAGCGATAATATGCAGCTTTATATTGCAGAAAATCCTTGTCACCAGATATGGTCATACTCTTCAGTCGGGAAGTGACGTAGGCCATCCCAGTCTTATGGGCGGGGTCTGCAAAGGCGGACTGACCTCCAGCACCGTCATGTCCAAACACTACATTCCCCTGCAACAGAAAAAATGTCCTTTTTTAGTACGACACAAACATACATGTATGGTATAAGTGAATACTGTTATTGGAATATTTAAATCTGATTTACCAGTATATTTACCTTATCGTCTCTACCGATCCCTACTCCATAACCAAATTCTATATTTATGACACCGTCCATGCTTTTCCCGCTGGTAAGAGGCCGTTTCAGCTTTTCTATGGCCTTTTCTGAAAGTAAGACCCCTTCCTTTGTTTTCCCTCCATTGGCGACGATTCCAAACAATTTGGCCAAGTTTCTGGCATTGCTGTACCCGTTCATCGAGGACTGGGGAATTCTGCTGTATTCAGGCGTGTTAAAGGAGAGATCCTGAAAATAAAGGTACATGTATGTCACTTATTAACGGTTAAAATTTCCAAATAATTTATTGTATGAATAATATTTATTTTTTAAAATTTAGTCCATTGTATACCGATGGGAGTTGATCTGTTCCTGATTGCGACATTTGCGTCAGAAGGGAATTTTTTGAAAGAGCCAAGGTCATCATTAAACTTAATGGCTCCGGATCCATAGAGGTAATAACATTCCAAAGAGTGACGTAAAGAGGATTAGGTTCGTGTCTAGCTGCCCGGTAAAACAGATGGTTTGGTAGACCATTGTACAGCTCAATTCCTGAAAAAAGGTAAACGTACTTACTGTACCAAATACAAAATCATGAAAACCGAAAGAGTGGTTTTATTACAAAGGACTTATTATAACATAACTTACCCTTCATTTTTGGTTTATTTAATCACATCTCCAATATATTAATTAATGATTTAGAAAAGATTATTCAAATTTTTTATTAATTAAATTTTACCAAATTTATCGCCTATTTCCTCTTTAAAAATTTTATCCACCCTTCTGTGTTTAGGATCCGCCTTGGTAAGAAGAGAATCTACATACAACCCGTATGTAATGCCGTGGTATCCATAGCCTGTGCCTAATCAAACATATCTACATTTTTAATTACAAAAATCTTCACATGCTTTTTGTGCAATAATTAGTTTTTACACTGATTATGCATTTATTAATTGTCCATTGTACATATAACGAAAAACACTTGCATAGGTTTTAGAAATTTTGATTTCTAATAAGTTTTTAAATGTATCGAAAAGTACAGGATTAAATTCTTAATGCTTAATTTATAAAACAAATAGTTCAGAGAATCAAAACTTGCCTGGTGGCCATATTGGCCGTTGTTTTTCCAGAAATTCCCAAACCTTTTCCGGTTTTTCAACAATCCACTCCATTGGTACTGTCCCATTGGTAACAGAGAGGCCTCCCTGTCTCAAACGATAGAAACAGTTAATTAATGCAGTTTCCTAGCAAGTATAATGTCTAATATAGAAAAAGGTGTATTTTTAATTTATAATTCAAAATATTTTGTAAAGTTATTGGGACTAATCGAATTTCTAGATTTATCAGCTGTAGAGAATGCTCCATAACAAAATCAAACTGTTCTGACCATGTTCCCACATAATATCTGACGTTTCAGTGGGGGGAGGGGGTGGGTTGTCCTGCTACTGTACCTGATGGCTAATTAGCAGTGCTACTGTGATGTTGTCCTTTCCATTCTGTCCAAACTCCGGCCAGTAATGGGCAACTGGCTTATTGTAATCCAACCATCCTCTATAACACATTCATTATAATGATAAGGTAGACTGTATCATTTCTTGCTATAAATCTGGAAATAAACTCGGTAGTTAATGATTATATCTGTTTAAGCAATTGCTATTTGTGAAACTTGCAAATATCAAAGGATATAAATATCTCAGTTACAAAATTTCTAGGGCTTAAAAATACATGTGTATATGGGATTCATATGGCATCATCGCACCATTGAAGTTTTAGTAGCTAGTGTAATGACGCGATAATGCGACGACGATGAAGCGATAAGGCGATGACGATGATGAAATGGCGTAACAATGCGATTTCGATTATAAATGTGATGGTACAACGAAGAGATAGCACGATAGCGATAATACGATGGTGTCATGACGATTGTGCGGTGGTACAATACATAATTATAACGATGCAGCGATGTTCACAATCGCTCCATCGTGCCATCGCATCATAGTCATTGCATTGTCGCGTCATCGACATAATGGGGTTTATCCAATATGGATAAACCTGGTTATTTCGTGCAGCTTCAATTTATACATACAAAGATAGATAGCTCTTAGTTTCTTAACGTTGAACTTCATAAATCATCGGGCTCGTTTCTTAACGTTGAACTTCATAAATCATCGGGCTCGGGGCTCAAACAATTCTTGATATTTCTTGTATGCGCATGTCTTCTAGAATATTCCTTTTTAATCTGTAATTTGGAGGAAGCAGACGCAAAAATTTTTTAAAAGAATTAATCGATCATCATCTGCTGATTTATTGTCAAATACAAGTAAATATGTTACGTGTATCAAGAGCTTCGAAGGCCAGGAGACCTTATTCCAGAGAAATCACAAGAAGTTCCGTATCCAGGCCTAAAACATAGAGTACCTGAAGCAACTTATGCACTGCCACGCCGCCACGTGCTGAACATGATGTCGCCATTGTCGAGCAGGCACCTGACTCAGAGTCACTGTAACTTCTTCAGTTTCCCTGTAACCTGCTATTCCAGCTCAACATAATCGAGGTACAGTTCAATTTGACCTAAATCCTTTTATTATTTATTATATTTTTAATTTTACGAATCTCCATACAATGCGAAATTGAAATGTCGTCATACTTGTTATCAAAGGGGAACCCTATGCATGTTTTCTGACAAAATATGAACCCCCCCCCCCCTTTCCACCATTGCCAAAACCAATAGCGAGTGTGTTGTGCATTATTTGCACATTTGGGAATTTGCCTAAATTTAAAACACGTGTATTCATCGTGGTTTAAACTAGAATAACAAATTTGCTTAAGACCCTGCATATTATAGTCTGTAAACCAGGGTTCGACATTCGCGCTCGTCACCTCGTCATTTCCACCCAGAAATGATTTCGGACGACCTGATTTTCAGTCTGGCTCGCCCAAATGACGACCTGGGACAAGTTGGGAATATTTAATAATGATGTTTAATTTTTTAAAATGAAATTCAAAAGACCTTAAAAACATATTTTCCTGTTACAAAACCAACCCATTCAACATTTTCAAATTGCAGCTGCATAGATTTTACTTCCTGCGAAATCTGCGTTCGCGTTCGATCAATCAGCTGATGCAATTTTTACTAAAAGTCTTTCATAAAGTTTTATTTGAGATATAAAATATGCCAACTTAGTCAACAATCACCTTAAATATAAATAGTAATAATAATCATCATTGTAACATCTTGCATTCCCCTACAACTTTCTGATCATCTGATGATCGTATTCTGCTGCTAGACAGCCATGTTGGGTGTCCACTGTAATATAACACCTGATTAATTCAGTCCAGGGTTATTCGACCCTATTTATTTAGGCCTTCATGGCAAGTGAAAATGAATGTTTTAAGCTACAAACTTTAGCATTCTGCATGTCTGATTCTGCTTATATTTTTGTTTGATAAAATACTAGAATACATCTTCACATTGCAAAAATGTCTAGTTAACATTTTTTAATACAAAAAACCATACTTGCCAACTCACCCGATTTCGTCGGGTCACACCCAATTTTTCAACCCGTAACCCGATTATTTTTTATGACCCGGCGGGTCATGCTTATCACCCGATTTTTCCAAACAACCCGAAAATCTCCCGATTTCCGGATTTGGTTCGTAAATTAGGTTGCACTTTTAACTTCCAGTTAAAACCCAAGCTTAGATCTACGTGTAAACAATGCCGATGGATTAATTATCAGTGCAGGTGTAAACAATTAACTGGGTGTTGTTTTGACAATTCAATGTTTGAAGTCAATTAAAATGGCTTCCGATAGAACTAGATCGTTATCAGGGCCAACAGGAACAAATTGAACCAAACACATGTCTCTGATTGAACCAAGAAAAAGAGAAACGATCTTTATGTACATATCTAGGATCCTGGGGAAAAAAACTTTCATTCTAGATAAAATAAAGTGATCGAAAACAGTGTAGGCCTAACTTCACATTTAAAACATTACAGTAGTTAATTAGTTAAGAGTGAGGAAAAATAACTTCAAAACTGAAATTGGTATACTTTCAAATTTAGCAGAAACTGAAACATGTGAAAAGGCTTTTAAAAAAATGCACACTTATATACTTCTGAATCAGGTCAATATTGAAATATGAAACCTTCAATTCTCATTTTTAACATGTAAATTAAATCAAATTATATTGATTTTTTTTGTCATAGTAAATTAAATCCTTTTTCAATAAAAGAATTCTCAATACACAAATACTTTGTATATATATTATAAAATTTAATCATGGTAATTATGTCGTGAATGTCGTTACGCGTTATGACCAGATTTTTTACTTTCCAAATCTGGTCATGACCAGATTTTTACATGCTGGAGGTTGGCAAGTATGCAAAAAACACAACTTCTTTTAATTATCTTAACAAATTTTAAACAATTACACTTTAAGTTAACTTTTGTTTCATTTGATATTTTATTTGGACGACCTGAAATTCATTCGGGCAACCTGTAATCATACCAAGGTTGCCCAAATGGCGAGATCAAATTTTGACGAGTGTCGGACCCTGGTAAACTATCCATCCATCTACTGGTCACTGTCACATAGTAATAATTTGGGATTTCCCATGTTTGATATGTTTTCTACGGATCTAGTAATGTTATTTTTTATATAATTTTCAAAGAAAATATCGGGCCATTACATGTACATAAACATTCAATTTCTTTAAATATACATGTATATGGAATTTATTATTTTTTTTAAATGAATCAATCAAATAATAAAAAGTTGAACAATTTTTTTTCTAATCCACTCTTAAAATAAATAAATAAATTAAAACAAGTTAGACTTATTAATCTGGATTCCATTTCTTGGTGATTTTAAGTATAGGACACAATTTCCTAGTCGTGTATGGCAGAAATATTTATAATAATCAATATGATGCACTTCATTTTTATATAGATAGTTCAAGTTCTTTTGGTTACGGTGTGGTGTTTAGTAAAGTAAACATTGGTGTTGCCCACATTGACCTGTCGGCTGGCCTGAGGAATAATACAGGAATACCGCCTTCTTAGAACTTGTATCTATTGTATTAAGGGTTATGATCTGGGCTGAAAGTTTATAAAAAAAATTCATATTGACAATTTTTTCTTTGTTTTACAGCAATTTAATCACAAATCATCTGGAAACATACGAATTATTGCATTAGTCGGGATGTAATTTATGCAGACTTTTTAAGTTTAATGTACATTTAAAAGCTATTCAGTTTTGGAGAGCTATTCAGGAGCTACAGTATACGTAGCTATAGCCAGTCCTTGAAACCGGTGTATCTCAAAATACAGAAAGAAAGTCTTTTTTTCAATATCAGGCAACAGTTATCATTTCAGCATATCTGGCCCCCTCCTGTTGATCATATGATTAATTTTATAGCATATCTGTCAGAGAGTAATTTGGCTTTTTCTACTGTCAAATGTTATTTATCAGGAATCAGTTTTGTCATCAACTTACATGGTTGACAGAATCCAATCGATTCATTTATTATTAAGAAGTTATGGGCTGGTTACAAGAGATGTAACTAATGCGTCTCAGGATATAAGAAACCCATTATATTACCTATGTTGGATAACATTGTCAGTGTTTTGCCACATTTGTGTTATGATTTTGAAGCGACTTTATTTAGGTCTGCTTTTACATGAGCTTTCTTTGCATTACTAAGAGTGAGTGAAATAGTGGCTTTTGGTATGGAACATATAATTGTCTCTTGCGATGCCATTCCAGTTTTTGTTATAACATTTAAGACTGGCTAAACTGGTTCGGGGACATGTGTTCATGTGGAAAAAATCACATTGTACAATGATATTGTTTCAGTCTTTGCAGAATTTTGTTGCATTATGTACAAATATTAAAAGAGCGTCCCACTTTTCACATTAATTTTTAAACTCCAAAACCTTATCCCATTCTCAGTTTCCGTCCATGTTATTGTATTCAATGTATAATAAAGGGATTTTCAACAATTTTAGATAATTTTAAACTTGTTAAAACGCTAGATAAAGATAAAAGTGAAATAAACCAAATTCACAAGACTCAGTCTAATAACATGTAAAGAGACGGTCATTTTGCACATTGAAAGTTCCTGAAGAGTTATCTGGCCTTGATGAAAAAAAAATTTATTTCTCAAAAAAAAAATTCTTCAGTATAAAATTCATTTTATATCATATTTTAATAAACAAAGAAGCTCATATTTTCACCAAGATGTTACTCGGATTAGTTTGAAATTCAAACAGTCTACTTTTTAAAATATCTTACAAAAACATGCGCTGTCCATAGACTTCAATGTAAAAATCAAGGTGCAATTAATTGGTCAATAATCAACATGTGGTAAATTCCTTTGGTGGAGCATTTTTACATGTGATAACATCTGCAAAAAATATTGTCGACTTGGCATAAAACAATAATAATCGATCAATCAGAATATTTTGCTACAAAGATTTAAAATATCGAACTATTCATTTCTTAGGTACAAAATATGGTCGTAATACATTGAATTGACCTTAAACAAAGCTTTACAATTTTTCAATATTCAGTCAATTGAATTTAAGATGCACTCATTTTTCACATTGGGGATGCAACCCACTTGTATGCAAAAGGGTTTTCAGAGGAAAATTATACGCAGTTGTGAAGATGACAGTAAGGCTCTAGGGCTGTGTATTGAGCAAAAAAAATTTAGATACGATACGATACATTTTTGTTTAAAGTGATATGCGATATATTGGATTCTACAACAAGTCAACCAAAAAAGGCTTATAAATCAGTTAACGCATGAATTTCATAAAAATTATTCATTGAGAGTTCCTGTATCATTGTCATTACAACTTACATCTCAAATTAAAACTTTTAATGACTATCAAATTTAAATTTTTAATGACTATAAAATCAACATGTTAAAATAAAATTGTTTATGCTTTAAAAAAATTCTACTAACTGTGCTATTGCCTTTAAAAATTGTATGATCATTGAACAGTTTTATTTCAAAAAAGTGAAATGATCTTTGGTGACTGAAATCTTTTTAACAGAATTAGAAGAAAAATGCCTGTCCGATTCATATTGAAAGTTAATTTTCGATACGATATGTTTCTTGAATATCGATACGTATCGATATATATTTTATTGATACCACCCTACAGTCAGCAGCTTACAATTTTTACATAAAACCGTTGTCGTAAATTTATCTTCTGTTCTTATATTGTTTAATATTATGACACAAAGTATTTAAGTTGCAATTCAAAAATTGCTTTGACATTTACTGAATACTAACTCCCTAACACTTTTATTATGTGGTCACATATTTTGCCTCAAATTAATTGATAAATTGCCTTGCAAATGCAGAATGACAAAAGGGTAGACGTAGGATTAATAGTGCATGTGCTACATTTGTGGTAAGTAAGTTCCAGGGTCGTGTTAATCAATCAGTTATCCATATATTAGGGCGCAATGCAAGGATTCGTTCTGAGAAGATGGAGTTCATTTTCAGATTTGGGAAATAACATTTTTATTTATACTTTGAGAAATGCTTTAGATCATTTCAGTTGTGTAATTTTGTTTTGTCATATTTCCATGATGCTTGTCATGAGCCCCATTGTGTTGCGATTTGCACATTTATCATTTTCAATGCAATTTGCATTCATTTAAAAAATTTAATCTTAGGGTGCAATTTGTGCCTTTCACTTACCAATTTAGTTATTTGGTGCAATTTGTACCTAATTTTTGCACGATTTGTGCTTTTATTGTTACTCTGGGCTGCAAAATCGCCGCCCTTATTTTAGTTTGAGACGGATGGGTCATGCGAATATGTCCCTTGACCCATTTGGCATAATACATATATTGTGGTGCAATTTGTACCTAATTTGTGCACGATTTGTGCTGTTGTTATTTTGGGCTGCAAAATTGCCGCCCCAGTTTTAGTTTGTGGCGGATGGGTCACGTGACTTTGTCACTTGACCCATTTGGCATAATTTTGCAAAGAATGCTGTCTCCGGGGGGTACTGTTTTTTCCAGACTCCTTGGATCAAGATGGTATTTCTCTTGCTCATTATCTATATTCATTTACCTATGCTGCCATATTATCATCATGATCGGCGCATACATTGTGTTATATTTAATATATTATTAAATGGCCATGACAAGCACGCCAAAACAAATAATGTCTTGTTTTTATTGACTGTATTTTCAGACTTCTTAAACCTTTTACTGGGGTTAATCTGATCAAGTGTGTTTCTGTTATTGTCAAGGTCAAATGTCACGAAATAATGGGGTTTATCCAATATGGATAAACCTGGTTATTTCGTGCAGCTTCAATTTATACATACAAAGATAGATAGCTCTTAGTTTCTTAACGTTGAACTTCATAAATCATCGGGCTCGTTTCTTAACGTTGAACTTCATAAATCATCGGGCTCGGGACTCAAACAATTCTTGATATTTCTTGTATGCGCATGTCTTCTAGAATATTCCTTTTTAATCTGTAATTTGGAGGAAGCAGACGCAAAATTTTTTTAAAACCCACCCTCCCGCCCCTTAATTTTATATTTTATTCCCCTTTAGCACCTCTAACATTTTTCTAATACATTTTCATTATAACTGTTTTTTTTTTTCTTCGGTTGTTTTTTTCGTTTTCTTTTAATTTCTCGTTTCAGCGTCATGGCATGGATCGAATCCCGAATAGGATCCACCAGCTTGATGATGTGCTTTGCGGACCTTCAATGTCGATGTGCTTTGCGGACCTTCAATGTTGATGTGCTTTGCGGACCTTCAATGCGTGTGGCTATTGACTTTGTTAGGCATAATTTTGCAAAGAATGCTGTCTCCGGGGGGTACTGTTTTTTCCAGACTCCTTGGATCAAGATGGTATTTCTCTTGCTCATTATCTATATTCATTTACCTATGCTGCCATATTATCATCATGATCGGCGCATACATTGTGTTATATTTAATATATTATTAAATGGCCATGACAAGCACGCCAAAACAAATAATGTCTTGTTTTTATTGACTGTATTTTCAGACTTCTTAAACCTTTTACTGGGGTTAATCTGATCAAGTGTGTTTCTGTTATTGTCCAGGTCAAATGTCACGAAATAACGCGATCGCTGAATTGCGTTATCGTTATCCAACAGCGTCGCTTCACCGTTATCGCGTCCTCGCGCCATCGACCCAACCAACATTCGATGTTCGATGGTGCTATAGTGAACTACGTGGCCCTATTCGGATTCCGTAATATCTTATATGGTTAATGTTTGAAAAATTTACCTGTCTACAAACAATGCCACTAACAAAGCGGTGACTCCTTTACTCGTGGAGAAGATGATAGACAATGTATCCTTTGTCCACGGTCTCTTTAAGGCCACATCAGCGAATCCTCCCCAAATGTCCACTAAAGGTTCCCCCTTATAATAAGCCGCGAAGGACGACCCCAGTTCAACTCCAGCTCTCAGTTTGGATCTAAAAGTCCAGGCAAAAGCAGCTTAATTTACAAAAATATATTCCCCATTGTCCAATTAAATATAAAGAAACTTCAACTCTTAAATATATAGAACTAGTATAAATATTGAACTCTAACTTTAAAGCGTACTGATAATTTCTATTCAAAAAGTAAAATAAAAATTATAGTCAAAACTTTGTAATAATACTTTTAGCTGCAGAACTGTAGCTCTCCGAAAAAAAAATATTTTGACAGACCGGAGAGCTACAGTGCCACCCATCGTAAAACTGTATATTTATTGCGCACAAAAATTTGCGCTTAGTTCTGGATTAATCCTTCCAAATTCTTACCTTAATCAAAAAATTCCTTACTCCTCTATCAAGTATTGTCGTAGTCATGGTAGTTGACATCTGCACGAAGTGCGTTGTACCGAATTATCTTGCAAACCAAAATGGCAGTATAAAAGACGAAATTTTCGATAATCTCATTTCAGGGCCAGGAGGGCTTTTAACAACAATTATGAGGAATGTTTTGTTGTGGAAACAGTGAAAGAATATGTTAGTAACACACGCTTAGTAATATTTTGAGATGACAGTTTAAAAACATGGAGAAATAAATCGAGAAACAGCGCACTTTTTTCTGCGCAATAAATATACAGTTTTTTCAATGGTGGCACTGTAGCTCCCCGGTGTAGCTGTCAAAATATTTTTTTTGAGAGCTACAGTTCTGCAGCTATAATACTTTTAAATACTAGTAAGTTTATCTTTTCTGGCCTATAGTGATTCTTGATATTTTTGAAAGGTTTCATTAATTTTTTTTTACTAAATCTTAACTTTCCCCTTTAAATGATGGTGCGGCTCTTCGTTTGAATAAACAACTTGAATTGTCTTTATCCAAAAGTACTGTTCAGCAGATTGGGTTGAAATAGCCCAATATTTTTTTTTTTTTTTTTTTTTTGAAAACGTGAAATGTTCACCTTGACGTCAACGACAACAACGATGACAGGAAACGAAATTTCGGTTAAGAAAACCAAGTTTCTGCCTTTGGTCCAAGTGGTCGAAAAATTGTTAATATTCTACAACTTATAGAAGGCTTCGACTGTATAATTACTAGCACACAGGCAATGATAGAACATCATTGTAGGTAAATACATGCATGTATGGCATTGTATGGGGTTCAGAAAACTCAATGTAATCATCACTGTTAGTCAATCCTCGTGATTCATAAATTCGATTGAAGAAATAAGGCCATTGATAAAAAGGAAATCCGTTGTTTACAGAGGGTGATGTTACCTGTCATGCATAAAATACATTTTAACATTTTTGAATCAGCAAAATTTTACTGATATTAAAATAAGAATTGAATAACCAATATGTATTACACCTCCGATTCTTTTAATTCCTGTTTTCATTTTCACTTCTTTAAAGTTCATTTCTTCCATAAATGTATTCCCCAGCTAAGATATTAATCAAATAAATCTAAAAAATCGTTTAGAGTTCTTAACGCATCATGTGAATATTGATTAGTAAGCACCATCGTTCAAGTACATCACGAGGTGAGTGTTCCCATTTTTCAACCACGAAGAGCTCTTAATATAATCTATTTTAATTGTACATACATGTACATTTAAAGTGTTTTACTCCCCTGTTAAAAGTATCGTCACAGAACATAACAAATGAAGCTTTAATCTTAAATCTTTTAAAACAAATGTTCGTATTTCATGTCAACAGCGGAAGCCCCAAGGAAGGAAACCAGCGACAAGGCTGGGAAAGGAGTAGGGTGCAAGACTTTACGTTTGGTGCATTTAAAAAAGAATTATTATTATTCACAGTTGAACTTTCTTTCCTGTAGGAACAAAACCTAGATCTACCCTTGCTTATTCATTCAAACTTTATTTGAGCTTCACTCAATAAACAGAATAAAGAGAAGGATTATTTTGCGTAGTACTTACTTGTAAAGATCTGCAACTTCTTGGAAGTCCGGATGAAATGTGCCCCCAAAATTGAGCGGTAGTGGTTTCTGGATGAACGTCTTATAAACATAAGCCAGAATGACCACCGCGATGGTCAGCACGCTTATTTTCTTCAGCCCGGTCATGTTGTTACGATAGCTGACAACTAAAGAAAGAGTTGTCTTTCTTTTTATTTAGTATGTATGCAGGTCATACACACTGTCACTTAGAGCTTAGAAAGGTAAATAATGTACCTGTGTATGTAGGACGCTCAAAATTAAAAATTGTTATCTTGAATTTCCCGTGCTGTTTGTGAAAATCACAGCCAAGCCTTTTAAAAAGCCTGGGGCCCGTTTCACTAAAAGGCGTACGCCTGTCTTAACTCTACGCCCGGCGTAAGTCCGGACTTACGTCTAACATTTGGACTAAGGTCCGTTTCACTAAAGGGCGTAACTTTGCGCCCGCCTTAAGTTAAGACAAAAATCTACGGCTGGTCTAAGGCAGGCGTAACTATAGACGTAAACATTGGATAATGGCGACTTTCTGGCTGCTTCGCAGAAGAAGAAAGGAAACACCTCGGCGAGAACGCGTTTTTCGGGACCGAACCAACCCTCTCGAGTATCTTGATGATATAGATCTCGTAAGTAGGTATAGGTTCCCCGGAAGAGTCATTCGAAAACTGATAAATGATGTTGACCCTATTGTGAGGCGACCTACATACAAAAGTCATGCCATTCCCACCCACATTCAGGTACATGTATATGTGAATGCTTACTGTAGCATTGTATGCTTCTTAAATATCCGCACATAAATAAACAAATACTGACGCATGGAATCACATGATATGACAAATATAATTTGTTTTACAATGTACCTATTAATATAAATAAACTACATTTGCATACTTATTTATACATGTATATGTTACAGTAAATATGTGAAATCAGGAATTTCATGTATTTCCTAAACCATACAGTAAATACATGTATTTACTGGCCGTTTAGAAATACATCAATAATTACTGAATAGCTGGGAAATTCATGTATTTACTGAAAATTTTAGCCAATTTTACACGTTTTTACTGAACAAACAGAATAATTAATATTTGCATATTTTTAAAACATTCAGTAAAAATACAAATGCTAAAATTCATTTTTTTAAAGTAGCATTTGATAAGAATTGTTTCTTAAAGCTGACGTTATGCATTAATTTTGATTTCCTTTATTGTACTTCGATTTATGTAAAATTTTCTAATACTCACATTTCAAAAATATTTCTAAAGAAGCTATGAATTTAGATCCTTTAGCATTGTTAGATTGTGTATTTGAAATTTTTTACATAATTTTTATTATAACATTTATAAAAAAATGTACAAATTTAAAATGATGATATAAAGGGTACTTCTGTTTCCTTCGAGTCTCACATCTTTAAAATTATGGTTTAGCCCCTATTTTGAAATTTTCAAAATTCAAACTATTTTTTTTATTTTAAAGTATTTAAAATTGATAGGGAAAATTTATGCTCAAAGTAAACTTTTATCTTGAATTCCTGACTTTAATTTCGAACATTTTGTGTACACAAATGTCGGGAGTTGGTGTGTTGCATTTTTGAGGAGACAGCATAAAAATTGTTTTAATATTTGTAAATAAGATGTTTCAGGGTTTTAAATTTACTAAAAATTGTAGCCCAAAATGAATATCTTAAAATACAAATGCCAGTAAGCGATTTTAGTTTTTTAGATAAAAATATATAAAAGTTTGAAAGTTATTAGACTATGTTGTGAAAACACATGTTCCAGAAAAATGAAAGCAGAGTATCATATATTTTAAGTTAATATTTACAAATAATACATACCTTTTCAAAATTTATACATAAATAAAAGTTTATTTCAAATATTTTTTATTCAGATATGGTATGCTCACTGATATGAAAATTGATTATACTGCGCATCTATTTATATTGTATGATTCAAGTTTTAAATTTTTGAAAACGCAGTCAAAATATGTGTAAAAAGTATTGAAAAGTTAAAATTTTTGTATTTCCTTGAAATTTTAAATACGTTATATCCCAAGCATAAATTTTGTATTTCCTAAAATTCAGGATAATACTGAAATTCCTGGTTACACATATTTTTGTAACATATATATAAAGATACACATAAACATCTTACAGGTAATTATCACCTTAAGATATCTGTCAAAGGCAGACTTCTTTTCGGAAGTAGGCGACCTTCATGGCGATTCCAGATCATCCGTATCCCTAGTAGTACATACAGGTTGTTATACTTCATTATTTTAACTTTAAAATGATGTTAACTCTATTTTTATTAAAAATTATTGCAGGCACGTAGCATCGTTGATATGGAGATTTGACCCCTTGAATGTTTTAACATTTTGTCCCCTGCATTCACAAATGATAATAAAAGAAAAGTGAGCAAGTTAACATATCCCACGCCCCTCCCCTCTTAATATTTGACAATATCATGCAAAATAAATGGCATGTTTCACATCAAATACACACAAGTAATTCAAAATGAGGCATAATTCCAAAGTAATCGTTACATGTACTAAAACTCCGTGCAATTATTGAGTCTTTATTTTGTTCAGATAAAATGAATATAATAAAAAGTACCGGAATTCCCAGAAAAAAAGGAAGCGGAATTTCTTTGTAATATGCGCCTACACAATGTGTTCTCAATAACTGCAAAGTTTCACGAAATTAGGTTAAGCAGTTTCAGAAAAGTGACAATTGCAAGTACTATGGGGTATACTGATAATAATAATTATACATAGGCGTCGGAACCGAGGGGCTAATGACTTTTTTTTCCAAAGATATACTTAGTATAGAAAATGAACATATTTTCGTAAGTTTAGCCCCCCCCCCCCACTTTCCACAGATACGTCTTAGCATAGGTTAAAAATTGGGAAAATGATGTTGTTTGGAAGAAAATTTTTGGTACTGCATAATAAAATAGGATTTTCGTACATGTTTTTTTTTGGAGGTACAAAATTTTTTTTTTTTACACTATTTCCTTCATGTTTCTGTTTGCACATCCTTCATGCCATGCCTGTAATACATTTAATCAGTTGTACATTTCCTTTTCAAATATTCTTTATATATATCATTAATGATTTTAACGCAGATTCATCATATTGTTATACAGTGTGCAGTGCAATAAATACAACAGTGGACAACATTAAGTTTCCAGTTACTGCCAATGAATTACGCCATGTAAAATCTGAGTTCTATGACATTGCCAAATTTCCAAATTGCGTTGGTGCAATCGATGGTACTCTAATACCAATTAAGGGCATGAGTGGTCCACAGGAGCCTGCTTTTGTATGCAGAAAAAACTTTCATGCCTAAAATATTCAGGCCGTAACAGATTCCAATATGAGGTATAAACGGTATTGATTAAAGCATAAATACTAGCACATCATTTTTTTGTAATAGAAATACCCTTGTATACGCCAAAACTTCAACAGGAGAAAATTAAAATATTTAATATATCGTCAAAAGGGTTTTATGAAATAACAACCTTTGAAAATGTAAATGTTGTCAATTTTAAAATAACTTTATTGCACCAAATATAACCAAACAAATATAACAAATATAAGAATGCTAATTGTTTGCTTACATATGCATAAAGGATAAAAAAAAATTATTTGATATTATTTCAGATTTCTTCAAATCAATACCTGTTTTCCCGGGGCAACTCACGACTCTTTCGTTTTGAGCAACTCGGGATTGTCAGGTGTTATGGAACATCTCGAAGGGGGTGGGTGGTTACTTGGGGATTCTGGCTACCCTCTCAAGGAATGGCTCTTAACGCCATTCTTATCCCCAGCCGATCAACACGAGGTGAATTACAACTATGCCCATGGAAAGACTCGTGTTGTCATAGAAAAATCGTTTGGGGTATTAAAATCCAGATTTAGGTAATTTAAACGCAATTTTTCGTTAAATATCTTTATATGTCATATTTGCAAGCAAATATTTTATTTCAAACGTTCATTACGATAAACGCGACCTTACATTTTTTTTATTTGAGAAAAAATGTATATCTATTGCAACCATAAATAAACCTTTTTTACAATTTTATTGTGAATTCATTTAAAATTCTGTGGGCCAATTTTCTTAGATTGTGGGTTTTTTGGTTATTTGTGGAGATGTATACGTAATTTCGAGTATGGGTTTTCAGATTCAGTAACAAAGATATCTCTTTCTAAATTTCCTATGAAGATGTAAATTCGTGGTGGTTTGGGGGGGGGGGGGGCTACCAACGAATATCACGAAAATTGAGCCACCACGAAATCTAATGATTCCACAGTATTTACATTGAAGTAAATCTTTGCAGGTGTTTACATCGAACTGGAGGAGTACTCCCCTTTTCACCAAGTAGATGTTCTCAAATTATTCAATGCTGTATCCGCCTTCATAATTTAGCTGTTTCAGAGAAAGTCCCCTTACTTGAGGGTGGGGTTGTACAGAACATCAATGACAATGCCGTGTTTAACGCAAACGCACCAAGGAGAGCACAGGATGTGCGCATTCAAGTTGCAAATTTATTTTAACAATTCATCTATTTATTAAATCACACACTTACTTTGTAATAAAGAACATGACTACTTTATCATTTTGTGTTCAAATTTATTAAATGCTAAATTTGTTTTCAAATGCCGCCGCTATTCTCTCTAGGGCATCTGCTTTTCTCTCCTCTGCGATGGCTCTTCTCTCCTTCACTCCTATCAAATTCAGCATAAACTCAGCGTCGGGGTCGCTGGCCGTGTCTTTATTTTTAATGAAAAGTTTTATAATCAGAACAATGTCAATTGAAACAGAAGAAAATCAAATAAAATCATATGTGTAAAATGAATAGTTAAAAGTGCATGAATGAAGTTGAAACAGTTCACTACGGTTTTTTTTCTTAACAAACGTAAAATTACGCGAAAATTAAAACTGAAGGAATGTTTAATACATTTTTCATTAATTTTCATAGCGTTGGCATTGTTTCTTTTTTACCTTTACGTTTAGATCCATACAGAGTTGAAGCAACGAATTTGTCGGTGGAAGGCCTGGGCACATGTACACTTGGAGCTTCTTCTGGAACGTCAACTTCTTCTACTATACACATGCGTACAAACATACAATTTTTAATTTGAAAAAAAAAATCAATATTTTTAATCTACACACTTATGTGTTCCGCGTGTGAAGAACATGCATATCAAATTTTTGACTATCTATTATAATAATTTTTATGAATAAAATTTTATAAGTATATTATATAATATGTATAATTATACAAACCAATCAAGGATGGAATTCCAGCGTAAATTTCCGATGGGACTGCAGTGCATGATGAGGCTGAGTTATCTGTTACAAAGAAATACTAGTATTTAGATATCATATATTTCTATTTTTTTATACTATAACTACTGTATACTACAATAACACTAAATATACAAAGCACGGAAAATCAAATACTATAGTAGTATACGAAGCAAAAGTCGGGAAGGCAACATTATGAGGTGTAGTGAACGTATGTTTACAATGTACTTGCATGTACCATGTATTTATACATACTTGTTTCAGAATTACTGGCAAAGGCAGTATCAACCCCTCCGTCAATCCCAGAGATAAGTTCATCCGGTATAATTGACAAAATCTAGCAATAAAAACAAAAAAAAGTTGTTGCCTAATTTTCCAATTTTTTAAAATAATAAACGGTGCGAAACATTAATGAAAAAATAATTATGTCAGTATCGGAAACTCATCTTAGCAACGATCGAAAGGTTTTTTTAAATACATAGTACATATAATTATATCAATTTTAGGTAAATATTAGAAAACACATACGTCAAGTTCCCATGCCTTGAATACAGATTCCGGGGGAGGCCCTCCGCCCGCTCTCTTCGTCTGGTATTTTCTACTGGCTTCTTTCTTCTTCACAATGGATCTTGCATCTTTCCATTTCTTTTTTTATTTCTTCTGTTTCCCTCTTGCACAAGGCAGAAGAAGAATTTATTCTGCAGTAAAATTTTAACACTTAATATATTTTTGAATCCCCAGTCTACCTTCATTTGTATATTTTTTGTTAGAAATTTAAAAAAAATATATAAAAATACACAAAACCTAAATAACATTCCTATTTTTGCCAATTTAGTTAGGTTTTTGATCATAAATATACATTATATGTAACATGTAGACATGAACAAATTGTATGTAATCAAATCGGAGATGTTATTATATTTTTGTTGATCGTTATTTTAAAAACCTAAATGCTTACTGCTTTGTGATGTCTTCCCATACAGCTTTCTTTTTCTCGTTTGTCACTGAAGCCGGCAGTTTTGCAAATAATACATCTTTGTTATCAATTACACAAGATGTTAGAATTTTCATTTCATCATCAGTCCAGTTTGGCTTACGTTTTTTACTCTCCGAAGACATTTTGATTGTGCAGAGTCAATAGCGAATATTGCAGACGACAATATCGATATTTACATGTTTGTTTGTTACGAAATTCACATTATTTAAGAAAACGCTATGGAAATCAACATGACAGATCAGAGAGAGAGAGAGAGAGAGAGAGAGAGAGAGAGAGAGAGAGAGAGAGAGAGAGGTTTCTTAAATTCTTTATTTCACTACAAAACACAGTTGCGAGTGTATTCCTTTCAACATAATTCAATCTACGATTTATTTTCAATCTAAATATGTTTCAAAGCTTTTAAGTTTTTATTATAGACCTCAAAACAAATATTGCAATAAATAATAAAGAAGAATATGCGATCTTTTCCATATATCTTTTCAATGAACAAATTTTTCTCTCTCTCTCTCTCTCTCTCTCTCTCTCTTTATGATATGTATGCGCATGTGCATAAGCTCGTTGTCAAGGACGTAAGTCTGGCCTTAACTTAGTCCGATACTAGTATTTACGGCCAGGCGTACGCCTCTTAGTGAAACGCAACTTACGCCGGACTAAATTTTGGCGTACGCCCCGAGGCCTAACTGAAGTTTGGTCGTATCTTACGCCTTTTAGTGAAACGGGCTCCTGATTGAGTGTTCACTCGATATTTTCAAAGGGGACCACTGGATTACTAGTATATGCGCTTTTTTGCTAACAGGATTTAGGCACATTGGTCGTTGGTAACTATTGCACTAATCATAAACGAAAAAACTGGATGGATTCGAATATCAAATATGCAATATCAAATTCCTTACATTTTATTTTTAGAAGCTGAAATTTCTATAATGTTCCAAATTCCGACTCATTAGCTGCCAATCTTTAAATTTATTATCACGGTATAGAACATTTTTCCAGAAATTAAGAAATGTGTTTTATTTCATCAGATTGTTTGTAGCAAGTGGGCTTCAGCCTAAATTTGTTTATCTTTAAGTATTTGAAGATCTTTAGTCAAACAATTTATGTTTGAATGTCCAGAATTTGGATTTTTTGTACAATGTTGGAAGGCCTATAGGTGAAGCATATCTTCTGGTTGCATGTATTTCACATTAAACTAGTGCTAATTGTAACGGGGACCGTTACAGATGTTCCCCAAACGCTCCCCAACTCCCTTTTGGTGCCATATTCCCTGTAAGCTTCATTAAATAAGACAAACTCTATGCATCTGAGATTTTAACAACATTTACAAAGAAGTGTACAAAAATCAACTAAAATTTAGCATTTCACGCGTGCACATGTGAATGCATTTGCGTCATGACCTTATCATCTTGTCTACACAATCTATATTTTAATACACTGAATATTAAAGTATTTAATCCAAAATTATTAATAAATAGGCTCATTCAAGTGTATGTTTGATTTTACTCATTTCACGTGCACGCACGTGCATACATGAGCATGGTGACCATACCTTCTTGTAGAAGTCCATTACATCTATCTATGTTCTAAATTCCACCCCGTTTGGGTGAAAACTAATAGAGTTATAGCTGTTTAAAGTTTCAGCCAATCAGATTGCAGCACATGTACACACACGTGTATGCATGTGCATGGTGACCACACCTACTTGTAGAAGTCCATTTTATCTATCTATGTTCCAAATCCCATCCTGTTTGGTTGAAAACCAAGGGAGATATAGCTGTTTAAAGTTTCAGCCAATCAGATTGCAGCGCACGTGCATGCACGTGTTTTCATGATAATTGCTTTATTTCATGTTGTAGGATATCCTAATACATGGCTATGTTCAAAATTTCAAAGAATTTCGTCAAAAAACAAGAAAGATATTGAGACTTTAGTTGCAGCCAATCAGAGCGAAGTGCACGTGCATGCGCGTGAGATCTTGCTATTTTCACCATGTCGTCATGTCTATACTACTAATATATTTTCACATTATGAGTTTCAAAGCATTTCATCTAAAAATAGAACAGTTCTGGCTATATCTATTAAATTGGTCATTTCACGTGTTGCACGTGCACGCTCTTGCAAGCACGTGCGCGCAAAATGACCTTGATTCCGCAAATCTACATAACATGTCTACTAACCCTAAAAAGGTTTTACCTACATCGGACGAATAGTTTACAAGATCATTCCCGGACAAAAAAGTTCCAGGAAGAAGAAGAAGAAGAAAAATAATAATAATAATAAGAAGAAACAGAGTAAAAACAATATGTTCCCCAACTTCGTTTGGGGAACATAATTAGAAAAGAAATTCAAAAAGCAACAATGAATGCTGTATCCATTCCTAAAACACAAGGTAGAAATGATACAGGCATCAGCACCTTTTTATAATTTCAAAGTAAGGTGAAAGCATCAGTTAGGGGGATGTTGACCCAATACAGAGGTCAGAGAACCAGCATCAGTTAGGGGGATAATGATCCAATACAGAGGTGAGAGGAACAGCATCAGTTAGGGAATATAGAGAAATATCAATATCAATATAGAGAGGAACAGCATCAGTTAGGGGGGATGAAGATCCAATACAGAGGTCAGGGAATCCGCACCAGTAAGGGGGATGAAGATCTAATACACAGGTCAGAGAACCAGCATCAGTTAGGGGGATGAAGATCCAATACACAGGTCAGAGAAACAGCATCAGTTAAGACCCAATACAGAAGTCAGAGGACCAGCATCAGTTAGCGGGATAATGATCCAATACAGAGGTGAGAGGAACAGCATCAGTTAGGGGGATGAAGATCCAATACAGTTTTTAGAGAACCAGCATCAGTTAGGGGGGATGAAGATCTAATACACAGGTCAGAGAACCAGCATCATTTAGGGGTATGAAGACCCAATACAGAGGTCAGAGAAACAGCGTCAGTTAGTAGGGATGAAGATCCAATACAGAGGTCAGAAAACCAGCATCAATTACATGTAGGGGGATAATGATCCAATACAGAGGTCAGGGAAACAGCAGCAGTTAGGGGGGATGAAGATCCAATGCAGACATCAGAGAACCAGCATCAGTTAAAGGGAAGAGGACCCAATACAGAGGTCAGGGAATCCGCATCATTAGGGGGATAGAGATCCAATACACAGGTCAGAGAACCAACATCAGTTAGGGGTATGAAGATCCAATGCAGAGGTCAGAGAAACAGCATCAGTTAAGACCCAATACAGAAGTCAGAGGACCAGCATCAGTTAAGACCCAATACAGAAGTCAGAGGAACAGTATCAGTAAGGGGGATGAAGATCCAAAACAGAGATCAGAAAACCAGCATCAGTTAGTGGGGATGAAGATCCAATACAAAGGTCAGAGAACCAGCATCAGTTAGGGGTATGAAGACTCAATACAGAGGTCAGAGAACCAGCATCAGTAAGAGGGGACGAAGACCCAATACAGAGGTCAGAGAACCAGCATAAGTTAGAGGTATGAAGACCCAATACAGAGGTCAGAGAACCAGCATCAGTTAGGGGTATGAAGACTCAATACAGAGGTCAGAGAACCAGCATCAGTAAGAGGGGACGAAGACCCAATACAGAGGTCAGAGAACCAGCATAAGTTAGAGGTATGAAGACCCAATACAGAGGTCAGAGAACCAGCATCAGTTAAGGGTATGAAGACCCAATACAGAGGTCAGAGAACCAGCATCAGTTAGTGGGTATGAAGATCCAATACAGAGATCAGAGAACCAGCATCAGTTAGTGGGGATGAAGACCTTAATACAGGGGTCAGAGTACCAGCATCAGTTAGGGAGATGAAGATCCCATACAGAGGTCAGAGAACCAGCATCAGTTAGTTGGGATGAAGATCCAATACAGAGGTCAGAGGACCAGCATCAGTTATGGGGGGTGAAGATCCAATACAGAGGTCAGACAACCAGCATCAGTAAGGGGAATGAAGACCCAATAGGAGGTCAGAGACCCAGCATCAGTTAGGGGGATGAAGATCCAATACAGAGGTCAGAGAACTAGCATCAATTAGGGGAATGAAGACCCAATAAGCAATAAGAGGTCAGAGGACCAGCATCAGCTAAAGGATGAAGATCCAATACAGAGGTCAGAGAACCAGCATCAGTTAGTAGGGGAATGAAGACCCAATAAGAGGTCAGAGGACTACTCAGTGATGATGAGATGGAGTTTAGTAATTGTGTCTATACATACGAGGACACAGAGTGGCAGGAACTTAGAATATGAATAGAGCATTAATATCGACTGTATACTGATAGAACTTAGAAAGTGGGTAGTTGTTGGGGAATTCGGTGATGGGTGGATAGAAAACGTGTATAATATACCGGTATATGTATAAATACCAAGATATTTATTTACAGAAAATAACAATAATCATCAAAAGCAAAGAACCAAGTTTTTCCAAAGATTACGCCCCTCCTCTCTCTCTCTCGGATTGTTAGTCAATAAATGAACAAAATACATGAAAAAACATTTATTGAAATTTAAGGACATAAGAATTACATTCGACAGATCTCTGTTCACATGAACATTTTATTTGCTGATCTATTAAATTTTTTACTGTACATTGGGTATATATATTTGGTTCGAAAACTCGCCTTTCCCATACAAACATGAACACATAGCGTAATCACTATTCCATAAAACACTACACTATTGTTTATTTTATCTGCTACGCTCTTTTATTTTGCAAATGTTTCTTTAGACATTTGTAATATATATCACTATACTGTTTGACTTCCCTATATAAAGGCATCATTCTGACTTCCTTTAGCCGGGAAGTGACGTAAGCAAACCCTGTCTTCCTCTGCTTGTCCGCGTATGCTATTTGTCCTCCATACCCGCCATGTCCAAACCCAATCTTAGTAAAAAAAAAAAATAAAGGGTAAATATAATGGAATATCTTTAAAGATCCAAACAGAAATAATAAATTCTGGCGCTAGGTTAATTTTGAAACATTATCGTTTGTTGACAGACTTAGAATCAGACAAAAATTCAATGGGTTAGGGGAAGGGTGTCAAAAGCCGGGATAAAATTTCATACATGTACATGTATATGAGACTTAACATTGTTGTTATTGGAAACACTTGATTCTCTTATTAAGAATAAAAAACAGAAAAATACATTCTGTATAGTGCAACAAACACTGGTACTAAATAATCATATTTGGACCAAAAATCATCACATTTACCAGTAGTTCTAAAGGGGGGGGGGTTTGGAAAATTTATATTAAATTTAGTATTTTGCGAGATACTGAATAAATTCATAATTTATTGACTAGTTAGATTCATCATTTTACCATTTGTTTATCCTCCATCAACATAGTAACTCCACGGCCAAATGTCGGAATTATCGTTCCATCCAGACTGGTTCCAGATGTTAGAGTTTCTTCTAGTGCTCGAATTGTTTTCTCTGATAGAAGAATCCCTTTTTCGGTTTTTCCTCCATTTGCAATGATTCCAAACAGCTTTGCAAGGTTTCTAGCATTACTGTATCCGTTTAAAGCAGACTGTGGAATTTTACTGTACTCTGGGATATTATACGCTGTATCCTAAATTTAGAAGATTTTTTTCTTCAAATTCTCATTTAATCTTACATTGTAAATATGTTTTGATGAATTTGTAGATAGAGACCCCCCTCTCTCTCTCTCTGATGTTATTGATACTCTCTCTCTCTCATTCTCTGATGTTATTGATACTCTCTCTCTCTCTCTTTCTCTCTCTGATGTATTGATAAATTTCGTTTAAAGAAAACGAGTAAGGTTTACTAGATGGGTTGGATCAGTCCCAGAGTTTATAGCTTTTGACACTATGGACTCCTTGTTCATTATTTTGTAGATCAGTAGAAGGGGTTCAAAATCTAATGACGTCAGAGTCTTCCACAGCACGACAGGGAACGGAGTCATGTCATACCTCGTCGTCCTATAATATTTGTCATATGGAAGTCCATTGTAAAACTCAATACCTGAAAAAGATATTAATGTTGATTTTTCGTGTCAGCTAGATCGTGCTTTTTTCAAAAAAAAAAAGAAAATCATGGCCGTCATAATAAAAGAGTGACAGACATATAATTTATATTTCTATCATTTGTTTTGAACACCATACAATTAACCTTTGGATAGGAGTAAAACACCTAATAATAAAGATTTTACCATTGATTTAGAGTTTTAATAGTACTCACACATGTACCGGTATTATAATAAAAATGATTTTTATATTAAGCATTATACATGTAATACAATTGATACAATGACTTTGTATATTTTACCAAATTTGTCTCCTATTTCTTCCTTAAAAATTTGATCCACACGCCTGTGTTTTGGATCCGCCTTTGTTAAAAGGGAATCGACATAAAGACCGTATGTTATAGCATGGTAAGCATACGAAGTTCCTGAAAAAAAATATTAAGATTATTAAAAAAAAATGTTTTTTGTGTTATTCTTCCTCGCATAAAGAAATTGGTGATCTTTCTTTCCCACTCTGTATGAGCATTTACAAGTGCAATTTTCAGATTTGTTTAATTTAAGATTAGATTGTATATGTAGTTTACATATGTACCAGGTTTCCAATAAGGGGTCTGCTCCTCTAGAAACCTGTACACCTTATCTGGGTGCTCTTCTATCCATTGCATTGGAACTGTTCCATTTGTTATAGACAGACCTCCCTGCAGAAATGTATTCAGCCAGATTAAAGCCATTTTATAACCTATTTACATGTAAGTCGGAATAAAATCAAGTCATTGGAAAATAGAGTTAGATTTCCTTGAAGCAAGTACCTGATGGCTTAGAAGCATTTCTACGGTTATTTCATGTTTTCCATTTTTCCCGAATTCTGGCCAGTAATACGCCACAGATTTTTTATAATCTAACCATCCCCTAAAAATCGTATTTCGTAGTTTATAAATTTTTAGAATAAATTTCTAAAAAAAAAAAAAAAAAGAAGGAACAATAAACTTAAGACAGTATTTAGTTTATTAAAAATGTGAATCGAAAAAAAATGTATTTCAAAATCAGGTGAGCAAGAAAAAAACGACACAATTTTTACCTAGTCATGTATTTGCTATAATTGATCGATGGAAGCTTTATTTGTCTTACTTGTCCACAAACACTGCCACCAACAAAGCAGTTACTCCCTTAGTGACGGAGAAGATAATGGAAAGTGTGTCTTCTGTCCAGGGTCTCTTCGTGGTCACATCAGCATACCCACCCCATACGTCCACTAATGGCTCCCCCTCGTGAAAAATCGAAAGTGAGGCTCCAGTCTCAATTCCACGATAGAAGTTCTCCCTTTCAAAACATTGAATACATGAGAGACACACAGATATAGAGAGACCTATTTTCAAAAGGAACCTTTAGTTAACACATGTCGAAACTTGAAGATGCATGTACGAAATGGGGGATTTTTTTTCATGATGAAAACGAAAAAATTTTCCGAATTTGGAGAAAACGTTTCGAACGAGCTGTCGAGGAGGATGACAATTTAATGTTTAAAATAAATATTATGGCAATACTATTACTGTGAGCAAGTATAAACAATGTGTTTAGATAATCCTTTTTATTGACCCTCGTGAGTTTTATCTTATGCCAATTAAATTATGCAAAGATAATTTATATCAACATTTTTTAAATCATACCTGAAATTATCCACAACTTCTTTAAAATCCGGATGAAATCGTCCATCGAAAGGTAAAGGTGCTTTCTGTGTATATTTGTATTCTTTATAAATATAAAACAAAACGGACAGCACCAGAACGAAGAGTGAGACTTTTAAAACTCCCATGACGAGTGAAGGTCAGGGTATATATGTACACTGTACGTGGTGATAACGTGTACAAAAAAATGTGTGATTTGGACCACAGGAAATTTGGAAAGGAAGTCCATGGACGTGTAAATGTGAACAAATGTGCACGTACATGTAGTGTTTCCATAAAGTTTTATTTAGTAATAGTGTACATATTTATTTAATATGAATGATTATATTATGATACTATCTACAGGTTAAGGGGTGTACTGTATGAACTATCATCCTCAAGTGCTTTGCAATCATTTGAAACGCATACAATGAAGAAATTTAATATATCTATCTTGGTATACATTTGGGTAAAAGAAAGAGATATATTGATCCATTTGTACAAGTTTATCTGAGGTAAGATGACGCTAAAGTGTTCACTAGAGTTAAATTCAAACAATTTGTTTGCACGTATAATATCATGTTTATTTTAAAATTGCTGTCTCACGTTTAACTGAGTAATAAGACAGGGTCCTGCTGCTGCCGAGCAAAAGATTTTCTCTTTCAGAGAAGTATAAAATTCAGGCGCGTAGCCAGGCGTACGTTTGTACGCAAAAAACGTCCACATCATTTTTTTTTTTTAAAGGAGAGAAATAGGGGGCATGGGTAATATCAATGTATGCTCTTAAACTTTACACATCATTTCGCAATAAAATAAATAAAATTAATAAATATGTATGTTTTAAGTAACTAATTTTAAAAATAAAAATAATTAAGATTTAGAGTAGCGATAAAAAAAATGAAAATTAACAGGATCAGTTTTAGGGGGGAAACGATAGTATATGCAACGTTCTGAAATCATAAGATTTTCCCGGAATTTTGTTTACTTATTTTGAGGCTTTTTTTTCTAAATGCATTACATTCTAATATTGACTTTCCAATCCTACTGCGATTTGGACAGATCCTATCTCAATTTTGAATATTTGTCCGGTTTTTTTTTTTGTTGTTTTTGTTTGTTTTATTTTTTTTTTGTACAAAACAGAACAGGACTCGAATATGACTGCGTAACAAACGTTTAAAGTGTAAGAGAAATGCGATCAGGAGGATCGATTATGCACATCGAAATCGTAGAAAATTCACTAGCTTCCGGGCGCTTTGCCCCCTCCTTCTTCCCAAGGAGCGTTACCCTGGACCCACTTTGGGATTTAAGTCGGTCTCTAAACCCCCTGCCTACTCGGGCGTCCACATCAAAAGCACCCTGGCTACGCCCCTGAAATTATTGTAACTATGAAGAAGATTCAAAAGATAATTTAGATGAAAATTGCAACCCACTTGTATATTACAACTGATCAAAATGTTTAAATATGTACTACTATTATTGTCCCATTCTTTTCAAAACGTGTTAGGATATGCTCCCATCAAAGATGACAGTTCAGGCAAACCAGATTGACTTCTTTTCGGTGGCATTCACTCTTGAACCCAAAATTTGAAATAAATTCTTCTAAATAACAAAACTGTCTTAATGTTTCTAATTTGTTTATTAAAGAGTACTACCGGTATCACTTCTTCTTTAAAAATGGTCGACAATTTCTGATGCTACAAACTTGTATATATATATATATATATCAAAATGGCGTTTGGTTATATGAAAGGTGACTCCGATCAGAATGGCGAACCCAACATAGTGATTGACTTTGAATGGTCCCATATAGAAATCCCTGTAACAACCTCCGCAATAGTTGGAACTGGATGAAAACAATCTTTGTTGTGGCAAAATTGAATTACTTAATTGGTCAAACAATTCTGCAAAAGCTGTAGCTTGATGACTTTTTTAATGTATTCAGATAACAGAAATTATATATATCTTTAAAGAGTATCTTACAATTTCAGATAAACTGTGCATATTACCGGTATATTAAAACATTAGTTATTTCATCAATAAATCATAACCCTTTTCATCAATTCAATCCATAGATATTCTCACAGAAAAGCTCATCAACAAAGCACTAAAACCACCTACTTCTCCGCGTTCAAAGTTAATAAATCTATGGATTGATCGAAACAAAGAAGTTCTTTTTTTTTAAATTTCATTCAAGCAAAAGAGTTACAACACATCTTTAGATGATCCTTAAAAAGAAAGAGTAATATTTTTAAAAGTTATGTTCAAGGTAACATGGTCAAAATCACTGCACACTTGTAAAATCTTGGCACACGATGCACGTGTCAAATACAAAAACCTTATCTTTCAATCAAAAGTTCATATGAATGTTAACATTTGGAGTACTTCAAACTTCAAGTTTGAGTCTACGGGATCAAAAGGCGTAGCATATTTAGAAAGGTTTTGTCTTGTTCAAGATAAATGTACATGAAAACAGTGGACCAACATACCACACGTTCTTTTATACTGAATTGCACTTCATTCTTTTATGAATATTAGGTTTTATCAAGAATTAAATGCAAGAACATTTAATATAGGGAAAAGGACACAGTTTCAGATCGACATTTTCAATTTTATTTTTCCCATTTTTTTATGTTTACAAATATTTAACTAAGCTATTTCTAATGATCATTTAAAATTTGAATTTCAGTTGTTGAGATGCAATGCAGATTTAGAGCTCCAAACCTTTTGTTATGTATGTTTACTGAAATGTCATAACGCTATTTCTGGGAATGACAAAGTTATTCAAGATATTCTTTATTCCCAAGAGTGCTTGAAAATTGTTTAGAACTATTTTGTGGTTGGTTATTTACCAAAAGTAAGAAAACGTCATTCATTGGATTGCGCTCGGTACTATGAGTTGTCCTGTTATGTGTTTGTGACTCGACAATATTATTAAGCATTTGTATCATAAGACTAATAACATCAATAAATTTTTAAAATTAACCTACAATTCCTTTTAATTTTGTAAAAAAAAATCCTAATGTTTTAAAGGGTGTTTTATATTAAAAGAAGTTGATCGGGAAGACTTATTTTGTTTATCAAAAATTAATTAATTAAAGGCTGTACGCATATCCGATGCAACTGCTCTCACTCATTATTCATTATTATGCTTCCTGTCAGTTTGTCTCTATATAACCCATACCCTACTATTCCCTCCTTTCGTAATGTTTGCTTATACGAGTTATCGTTCCTGCGGGACGGTATGTACACTTCCGGTAAAGAGTTCCATAGCGCTATATTCCAAACGATGCGATGGAACCACTTCGTAATGAAGGCACAGACTTGCCGTTATCATTCAATACCACGGTGGAAGACATACTTAATTACCAGAAATCTCAAATACAAACATTTCTGTAAATCACATAAAAGTGAGTGGCAACAAGCTGGAACTCGCCCAACGTGTAGTGAAGGCTATAAAAGATCGTTCGTGCACGACGCCCAGTCAAATACCCCCACATCAATCGTGTCAAACTTCAGATGTACCTGTACCAGATATTAAGGACCTGCATTCAGGTTGGGCAGGTAAATCGAATATGTTTCCCTACATTAAAATTCAAGATGTGGAGAATTATTTAATCCATAGTAGCCACAGGACTGTCGATGCAAAGAAAATGCAGTGCTATAGACAATACATTAGAGGATTAAATTTTTTCAAAGAGGGCTACATACATAAGATTATGTTGAATGAGATAAATCCTGACAGCGAGTATTGCTGTATACGATCAAAATGTTATCCGTCAATGAAGCAGGGTGTGTATGAGCAGTGGATCCTAATGACAAAGAAACCCCCTTTCCATGTCCAGAAAGCAAGTTGCACTTGCCCAGCAGGGTATGAATTATCAGTATTAGCTAAATGAAAATCCCTTTCTTAAATGAATGCGGGTGGGTACGACTCGATTCCTTGTTCGACCCGCGTGGTTTCGACCCTTTTCCTTGTTCGACCCGCGTGGTTTTGACCCAAGTGGTTTCGTTCCGAAGCAATATTAATTATAACAATTTCGATAGTTTAAAAACATTTTTTGGGGTCTAATTCAAAATATTCAGATTTTTTTAACCGCTCGTGACTGTTTATTATTAAAAATATTGCTAAATAATTATGTTTATTTAAACATTTAATATACATGTATAGACCATAAATTCGTATATTATCCCACAAAGGGCTGGTTAGTTTTTAAGGAAAAATGTTCAAATATAAATTATTTATATATTTCAAATGATATTAATTGCATCATTGTCCTAAAAACAATTTCAAGTTTACTATTGACTTCAATGTTGACAACCAATAATTGACACGTATCCCTCCCTGAAGCCATACAGCTACCGTGTAACCATGTGTATACCTAAGGTATACACCATACCTTATAGTAAGTAAGTAAGTAAGTAATCATTTATTATAGTGACATTGTGCATTTTAGACATTTCAATATACAGTGTAAACAAAATACGTCAAACTGAATCTGCACCCGGCCCATTGGACCTATAAGTCACTTTTTCCATTAATAACATTTATATAAATTTACACATGCAGAAGATTCTTTCTATGGTTATATGCTGTATGTACAAATTTGGCTAACTTTATTTGGTAATTTTGATTTAGAACCTTGAACAAATAATCATTATCATTACTATTTGGGTGCTCTTTGTACACGCTATCAAAATATTTTTCCCTAACATTATTATACAATTGACAGTCTAATAAGAAATGTTTTTCGTCTTCAATAGTGTGAACCCTTCTGTTTACCTGTATGTATATAATTATAAGTAGGTCGAAACCACTTGGGTCGTTACCACGCGGGTCGAACACGGAATCGGGTCGTAACCACTCGACACCTCTTAAATTATATAAATATGCCAAATTAAAATTATGAAATAAATGGATTATTTCAATCATGCATGCATTCATAAAGCAAAAATTCTAACAATAAACAATTCAATTTTATTTTTAATATCTCAGTGAATAAGCATTATTTAATCAATTTGATAAATGATATAAACTCTCATAGCTGATATGAATCCATGTATATGATTATGTTATGTATTTTCAGCCTTGGTGAAGGATGTACCCATGTTGCCGGACTGTTGTTTGCCCTGGAAGGACGCCCTGTTGCAGACGATGATGTTCCATGCACTTCAAAGCCTTGCGAGTGGAATCGACCCAGCAAAAGAAAGAAAGACACTAAACCTGTGCAAGACATGAGTTTCAAAAAGATCAAATTATCTGGAGAAAATGTAAAGAAAAAAAAACGGTGAATTATAAAGTAGATAGCATAAAATTTAGAAACTCATTGTGCGCAAAACTTGGAAATAACTCGCGTGCTGCTATTTTTTACATTCTTCCCCCATGTGCCAATGACAATATTGATGTACAAAGTGACCTCAATATTGCTCATCTTGAAGAAGTAGAGACTAGTGACCATATTCTTCACCTGTCGGACAAATATATTGCGTTACAAAAAACTGTTCAAGATGAAAATATGTCTCAATCTGACTTTTTGACTTTTATATCCGCATGCAATCAAGAAATAGTTGATGAAATTGAAGTTCGTACTAAAGGGCAACATAACAATTCTTTGTGGGTTTCAGCTCGAGTAGCTCGTATAACAGCTTCAAATTTTCATGAAATTAAAACAAAAAAAGATTCCACAAAATCGGATAATATCATATGTAGACTCTTGGGTCAGGGTAAACCTATAGAAAATAGTGCTGTGCATTGGGGGATTAAGCAAGAACCCATTGCTAAAAAAAGGTATATAGCTTACATGAAATTGAAAAAAAAACAGAATGTCATTGTTGAAGATATGGGGCTGGTTTTGTATACACATTGCTCTTACTTAGGTGCAAGCCCTGATGGTTTAGTAAAGTTTGAAATGCACAAATATCTTTTGGAAGTAAAGTGTCCTTTTAAATGGAGACAGTGTACTATTTTAGAAGCTTGCAAGGATAAAACATTTTGTTGTTATGTTGATGATACAAATACAATTCAGTTGAAGAAAAGTCATAAATATTATACCCAGGTGCAGGGTCAAATGGGTGTATGTCAAATGGAGAGATGTGATTTTGTTATTTATACGATCAAAGACTTTTTAGTCATTCCCATCCAATTTGACAACTCTTTTTGGGAATCATTACTCACGAAGCTTAAAAAATTCTACATTGAAGAGCTCTTTCCAAATTTGAAAAACTAAGACGAAGTTTTATGATCCTTTGAATTGCATCATTTTAAATCATAGTGTATGCATATATCCTATGTTTTATTTCCTTTAATAATATCATGTGTCATTTGACAATATTGACATTGAGTGAAACTTCTATAACTGGTGATGTGAGAGTTTACAGTTTTAGTACACTTGTTTTCTTTGTATAAATTGTTTAAAGATCTGTTTTACATCAGATATAGAATGCATATACATTATTCACTGTGTTTCTGTAAATATTAGTTATTTAGATACACCATACTTTAAAATGAATAAAACTGTTTAAGTTGAACACTGTGTCTACTCATAAATAAATACAAGCACACTGTTTTAAAACCTGTATATTTGATGTTATTATCCCCCTGGCTTAAAATAATGGCATAAAGTTTGATAATTCCATCCTGACAGAATAATATGACAATGCAAAGTGTGTGTCCACAGAGGTGAGACATGTGCAGCGAAGCACTCTAAATTGTTTAAATAGGTCTGGTCCTATGCAAGGGGTTAATTGTAGGGATAGTGATGAGTAAAATAAAAATATGGCAAACTATGCCTTTCATGAGAAGTGTTCAGATTTAAGTTGATCAATCCAAAATTAAAAACAATATTTTTATACATACTGGTACATGTATGAATAAACATGTATCATACACCAGGCCCCAAGATCATGAAACAAACTTAGACTTGAGTCAAATTTTCTATCACCTATAAAATATTCATCAATTGAGGATTTAATTAGAAATTTGCAGATAACAACTCATCTGAGAAGCAATATTGAAAAATATTTTAATTTTGGTCTTCTCGACCTTTACAACATTTTATAATAAAAAAAAAAAGATTTTGACTTTAGCTTAAGATGTTTCATGATCCCGGGACCAGGTAAATGGGTACATGTATATGTAAAATATACACATGTGATACTGTTCATATTAAAGTAAGATTAAGAAATAAAATTGAAGTAAAACAATTTATTTCAGTTTTTTATAAAACGTGTTCTGACAAAGCGTAAGTACCAGTAATTTATTCAGACACCAGGGGTGGTAGAAGGTTGGTAAGAGCAGTACACACAAAGAATATTTGGTCAGCAAAGTCACTTATTGCTCAAGGCATAATACCCTGTAAAATTCTAAAATTCTTTATCTGTTCCATCTTGCGTTCTACATGAATTCTCGCTGAAGCTATTCTACGAGTAGTTTCTACTTCACCCCTACTAAACTGGAGTTCTGATTTAAAAGGCGGACAATAAAGTTTAACACCTTTACATTTGAAATCTTTAGCTATATGAATAAAACCTTTGTCAACCATGACTGCATCTCCTCTCATAAGAAGATGTATCAAACCACAATTTCTAGTAATTTCAACATCAGAAGCTGATCCTGGCCAGAGTTTTGAAATAAAAACTACAACCCCTGTCATACTTACTCCAACCAATGCTTTGAATGTGTCGTGTGATTTGTAATTAGAAAAAGTCAGGGACTTGTTTTCTAAAGAAGATGGACTCTGGATGAAAATCTCAGTGCAGTCTAAAACTACACGTGTGTCTGAAAAATTTTTGAAACATTTAGGAACATGTAGCTTCAAAACTTCAAGCTCTGGCAAAAAAACAAGAGATTGCATGCACTCATACATAAAAAGTATCCAGGAATTGAAAATTTTTGACACAGCACTTGAAGACAGTTTAAAACGGAATTCAAGATCTTTTAACAGTAATCCTAATCTAAGTCTCATCATCACTAACAAAAATTCATCTACCCTTCTCAGTTTTCTTTTACGACCTAACTTATTGTTATTCATTGTGCCCAAAACCTCTGTTGACAGCTTGTCGGCTCCTTGTTCCATAAGCGAATAAAATAATGCGAAAAAAGTATCACTGTCAGTCATTCCTGTGTAAAACATCATCAACTCATTAGAATGTTGTATAGACTCAATCGTAATCTCCGGTAGGTTGGTATCTATTCCAACAGACACTAAGGACTGTGAAAAGGTTTGGGTCTCTTTGGACATATTTCCTGGTCCACTGGGTTCTTCATGTGCCATCAAATCAACCAATTCACTAGCAGAATACCTACAAATTTAATATAAAACAGTTTCAGCAGTTCAGTCCATTAACTGGGTCAGCTTAAAAAATTATAAGTCAAATCATATAAAAAACATACAAGAGATACTCTGATACAGAAAACATTCTTCTAAATGTAACCAAACTTACTGTAATTAATACATTAAGAAGGGAAGTGGGTGGTGCATGAGCCCCATACTGTTAATTAAAATAGTTGCCTATACACACTTCATATAAACAATAAATATGTGTTAATGTTTATCAGATTGCAGAATGATTATGGTCCATGGTTAATCTATGAGTCCATTATTTTTTTTTTTACAGTATAAAATAGCAACTGAATGCTACATATACAGTACTAGTGTACTACTCACGAATGGTGATGCAATATCCCTGCTTTGCCTGTGGTATTAACTAAAGTGTCTACACGTTCTGGGCCACTGCATGTTCTCTTGGGTGGATCTCTTCTTACGAGGATCTTTTTCTGTTTTTGAGGCAAGTTTTCGCTCGGTATTTTATTTCTGTCCTGGGAAGTTGGCCCGACACCATCTTTGAAATGATCTGAGCACACACGAGTATAACTAGTTGGCTTCCAGTTTTTTCTACTGATCAAGCGAATCCACGCACGTCTTGTGTACACTTCTTTAGGAAGTTTATGTAAAGTTACTTGCCTTCCAAATGAACCAACCCTGCCACTAAAATTGTGACATTTCGTGACACAACAATAATATTTCCCCATGTTTTTCTTCGCTTCGTAACCTTACCGGAAGTTTATATACCGTCCCGCAGGAACGATAACTCTTACAAGCAAACATTACAAAAATCCGGAATTCTCGCATAGTGTTCTAAGGATTTATATAGCGTAAGCATACTATGCCCACAGGAGTCTGAAGTTTTTATTGTCAAAAAAAAAAAAAAAAAAAAAAATACGGAAAAAAAATTTCCAACCCTTAACAAAAAAAACACCAGGATGGCAACGTGTTTTGGGGGTACCCATCTAAACAAATAGATCTGGGCTTGGCCAGAAAAATCTTGCGACTAATTCAGTATCCGGAGCGTTTGTGTTATTTATTCAAGGTGAAAAATCCAATCTGCTTGACGACTATGGGCCGTTCCTAGCCCTTTTTCTAGTTTGACAGCTCATCCTGGACTCCATGCCACTAAACCGGAAGAGAATCTCGCAGTGTATATTTGACGTCTATAAAAACTTGTTCAAATGAAATAAAATAAATAATTGTTCAACGTAATTTGATTCAGTTATTTTAAATATATTTAAGAGAACTTAAAAAAGTTATTAATTCTTTTTCTTACTTGTATGACGATGTGTACCAGGGACAGATAATTCAGTTTTTACAAGGCGCCAAATTTAAATCACTGAAAAGCCAAGTCGACAAAGAGCAAACAGTTAGACTTAGCGATCTTATAAGGCATTATTTTGTTTGAAAAAATATTTTTTTTTATTAATCACATATGGTAATATAATATTGTACATGAAGTTTTACATACAATTGTTTTGTTTCTTTTCTTCAATTACGTCATATATTCACTTCGGAGTACACTTCCGGTTTAGTGGCATGGAGTCCAGGATAAGCTGTAAAACTGGAAAAGGGGTCATGAACAGTCCGTAGTCGTCAAGCAGATTGGATTTCTTAACTTAAATAAATAGCACAAACACTATGGATACTGAATTAGTAGCGAGATTTTTCTGACCAAAGCCAGATCTATTTTTTTAGGTGGGTCCCGCCAAAACACGTTGCCATCCTGGGGGTTTTTTAGTGAAGGGTAGGAAAAAAATTTTCCGAATTTTTTTTTTATTTATTTTTTTTTTTTTTTTTTTTTTTTTTTTTTTTTTTTTTTTTTTTTATTTTTGTTGACGATAAAAACTTCAGACTCCTGTGTTATGCCGAAATAGAGCACGGCTTCCATTTTTGAGGAAAATCCGACAATGCCCATACCGGGGAGCGAACTCACGACCCCGAGATTGTGCGTTCGACGCGCTACCGATTACGCCACAGACGCCGATATTTATAGTATTGTACTATAATATATATAAACTTAGTTTCAAATATTTTATAATTAAAATTAAAAATAAACAAAATAAATCTTCTAAAATTATTTCTTGCAACCCCCCTTCCTTCACTCAAATAGTATTTTCTAAAACTATCTGTAGATTATACCTAAAGCATGGAACGTTCAAACTTAAAGAAAAAGATTATGACGTACATGTTGCATAAGGTGACGTCATAATAGAGTAGACGAATGTTACAGGTGATGAAACATTGGGAAATAATTTAATTCTGTTTGTATTCTTGTCTCTCATTGGTTGATTTCCAAAAAGGAACGCATAACATTTTGTATAATCTGGTTTGGTATGGGGACACACCCCCTTGACAACCAGCTAAATCATCTGTATCCATCAATACCCTCATTTCCAGTCCTTCGGATTCATGAAAAATTCCAGATTTAATGAATGTACCTTTAACTTCAAACAGTTGCTCGATCTTACCTCATGTAAACAAGCATCATGGCTGCTAGATCTATGTATCAGTTTTTACCTCCCCTTGCTTCCCATCACTTCCGTTACTACGGTTGTATTATTGCGCGGTAAATTTGAACTAATAAAAACAACACAATTTTACATCCCCAGTTGTTTAATTATTTTAAAATTAAATTATAAGGAATGACTCTAATTCTTGGCCAGATTATCGAGTATAATATGGTTTGGGTCAGTTTACGCTTTTTTATAATCCGCTTCGCGGATTATAAAGCGTAAACTGACCCAAACCATATTATACTCGATAATCTGGCCAAGAATTAGAGTCATTCCTTAAAGAAGAAAATATTGCCTTTTTTATACAGTAACAACAGTCAGCATAATAATAATAATAATAGTGTTGTGTTTTGCGTGCACTATTTAGGCATAGTGCACGCAAAACACAACACTATTATATAAATGGTTAATTTTACGTAGATATCTTTTTATGCAATTTGTTCATTTAATGATTAATAACTAACTGTATTTATTTTTTAATTTTTTTGGTCATTGGTCATTGAAAAGGATACGTATATAAATGTAAATTATGTTAGGAATATATTTGCACCGTCTACAGAATTACTAGTACTGTCACTTTCCCTGAATATTTCTTTTTTTTTTTTTTTTGATAACAACACTATCCTGCTTATTTTTTATATTTAATGCAGAACAATAAGATTAGACATGTAAATATGTTACAGTAAATATGTGAAATCAGGAATTTCTAGTATTTCCTAAACTGTTCAGTAAATACATGAATTATTGTACTACATGTAGCTGTTTTAGGAAATACGTGTAATTACTAAAGTACTAGTGAATTCACGTATTTACCATGTGGGTTCCTTCTGTAATGTTATCCCTTTTCGGCGCTACATTTCGACAAAACCAAGAGGTGTATGGTAAATGAGTAAAGATTTTTTAAAAATACTTACCTTTAAGAAAATTTAAAATTTTCAACTACATGGTATCAAGGAAATCTCGTTTTATACAGTTTGTAAAAACCTTGGTAGAATCGTATAGTCGAAACATCCCGCCATTTATTTATAAATTTCCCCTTTAAAACATCCACTTTGGAAACTTAAGAAAATAATTTTAAAAGACATTCATGCTTGACATTATATAGGTAATGTAATGTAGGGTTATGTCATTTTACTGCAGTTTGAAAATGGTAATTTTTATTTCAACAATGTGACCTTAATTTGTGCGAAAAACCATGTGAGCTTAAAAAGTGCGTTGAGCTGTATAACAATTTATCCACAGAGCTGATATTCATTACAGGTTAATTTCTGATTCTTGACAAGACTCAGTGGGCGTTCTTTCCGAAATTCTCTTTAAGGAGAAATTCTTTATACTAAGGTTTTGTTGTTGAGATATTGATATTAGTTTGATTACATTACATCATTTTTCCAGAGATAATATAAACTAAGAATTGCTTGATTTGAAATTAAGATGCCTTAGGGTTTTAAATTTGCTGTTAATAAATGCATAATAGCTTAGTATGAGTTTGTAATAAAACTCGTGAAGAAAACCTCGTATGCGATTTTAGTTGTTTTTTTTTTTAATTAGCAAAAAAATGCATTTATGTGATGACATTTAGTAAGAGTAGAGTATGTTGGTGAAAAAAATAACCAATTTAAGAAAAAAATCACATCAGTGTGCATTTTGCATTTGTGCCATTTTTACCAAATACTTACTAAAAACTCTCAGAGTTTCACATATTTAAAACTTGTAAGTCAGTAGGGTGCATTACTTTTAATTCTGACAGCTATAATTGATGATTTTATCCAAATTTTAAAAAAAAATATTCACAAATAAAGTATTTAAATTTAACTTATAAATAAACAAAATAAAATATTTCATCTGACTCCTCTTGGCATATTTTTTTTAGTTTTAGAGTATCATTATTTATTCATTACATGTAACAGATAAAGCTATTTTATACATTTCTCTCTTTTTTTTTAAAATGCATGATAAAAATGAAATATTTCAGAACTAATATCGGTCGTTAAAAGTTGAATCCATATTTTAAAAGGGATGTCTAAAGCATTCATGAATTAAAATCTGATTGTAGCATTCCTCCTTTAAGTTTATATTTCTTTTAGCAATCAAAATCATGTACCAAGTAAAGAGTTATTGGGTGAAAAGACTCTTCTTTTCATCATCGATTCCTAAGCACGATAGGAATTCCATATATTTCCTAAAATTATAATACAAGGAAATACATTAAATTCCTGATGACACATATTTACTGTAAGAGAGTCTTACAACTTTGTCCAGATATCAGTGAAATTTATTTTACAAGAACGAATTATATTTCTGTTTTTTTTCTTCATCGTTAAGAGTATATGAACAATGATTGAAAAGGGTGAGATTTGGAGTTTTTATGTAGCTTTGCATTTAAATAGACAATCCTACATGAAATTCTTATAAATCGTCTACACCAATTAACTTATGTTTATGTCCTGCTAAACAAGGAAAAACATTCACATTAATTAATTTAGTATGACCGATATAATTAATTTAGTGTGACCGATGTTTTGTTTGATGAATGTTTCTTATTTTTCAAACAAGCATTTGCAACGTAATGTTTTCTTCTGAATTGTAATCTTCTTTAAATTATGCCAATTCATTTCAATTTTTATCAACCATTTTACATAAACATTTATTTTATCAACACAAGCAAAATTTTAAGTCAGTGAAATCAATAAATTTTCCTTTTATTACTCTGACAAATGTCAAAATTTATTTTATTGCAAAACTTTTCTGAAATAATGAGATGATTGAGCAACCTGAGGAATACAATATTTCCCAAGCATTTGGGACATGATTAAAAGCAGGAAACAAGCTTTGAAAACACAGTTTGTCGAATATGTAACCAATTTTCTGGAATACACTCTAAAGCACAGAAATTTTACTTCAGTTTGATAAATGACAAAGTCTTTTTCAGCTTAAATTAGTTGTTTATTAAATTATCTCAGTTCGCTATTATTTCATAGTCGTGATAATCTCTAATCATAAATAAAAATGTTTGGTTATCAGAAAGGCGACTCCGCCCATCAGAAAGGCGACCCCGGCTCTCTTGGGATACACCAGCGATTGACTTTGAATGGTCCTAAATAGTAATCCCTGTTACAACCTCCGCAATAGTTTGAACTGGAAAAAAATCTTCATATAAATTCCTTTAAAATTAAAAATGACAATTTTCAATAGGATGTAATAAAAGATAATTTTTATTTCAAGCCTGGGTCTGTAAACAAAAACATGAAATGTGCAAGTTATAAATTTAATTACTTCTGTATCATTATACAGGAATATTATAAATACCCTAAACTATCTAAAATGAAAAAACAAATTATTTATTATTCAATTGATTTTACCTTAAGGACATACGCAAGGTACCTTACCCACTGATAATTTTTCAAGATATTCTAAATTTTAAGTTATAATACCATTATATGTTCTTAGACAAAAAATGAGCATGTGTTACCAGGGGTATTGAAAAGATGTAAAATTAGGAAAAATTTTGTATTATTCAAAGAAAAATGTACAAAAATTACAAAACATAAATTCCAGATTTTTTTTTCATCAAAATTTGTTGTAGAAGAGGTACAATGCCATATATAGACATTAAAAGTATTGTACATACAATGTAGGTCCTTCATTTAGTGGAACTCTTCAACTCCAGGGAAGAACCCAATAAAGTTCAAACTACGTTGCGTACGACTTTAAGTCCAACATAATGTTGCAGATATTAACTTGACAACACTGTGCTTGAGTATATCATTTAAAACAGGCATGACTTTATAAGACAATTTGTATATTACGTTTTACTTGAGTGTAATGCAGCTTAGTTTGCTTTTTTTTATCTTACCGACATCTTGCTGGCCTAATGTTTGTACAACCAGGGTTACTGCATGGATCTACGAAGCAATTATATACTGGAACCCCTGCAGGACATACTGTAAAACAAAAATACATTGCAATAATTAGATATAATACTGTCCAAAACCCCTTACCCACAACCTACCACAAATATCAAAAACGCAAATTTGAGATGTATAGAAGAAAAAAGGGAAACCCTGCATGGAAAAAAATTGGCATCTGGCTTCTCCATAAGACACTCTTCATCATCCGATTTACTGTGGTCGTTTCAAAACGTGACTTGAGAGTATAGAATAGTACATGTAATAGTTTGTCAAAAATGAGAATAAATACAGATCATTTTTGAAGAGTCAAATCAGCTGCATCCTTGCTTTATAACATAATATTAGGTGCATTATCAATCGCTGTCTGAAGAATTTAGTCGAGGAAAAATCCCTAGTAGATAACTAAAAGATGATTCCTTAAAGCAAGGAATAGGGTTTTGAACAAAGATTTTTTTTAACATATTGAGGTAACGAACAATTTAAAACGGGGGGGGGGGGGTCGAAATAAAAAGTACAAAAAGAAAACAGAGCAAATACGGGTCTACAAAACATCAGAGGTGGGATCAGGCGCCATGAAGGAGTAAGCTTCCCGTGTCGACCGGTCAAGTAGCTGTGTGTTCCTTGCAGTGATCAGGTAAAAGAAAGTTTAGTGAAATATATTGATTTGAAATGGATGGAAGTAGCAATTGTGAATTTTTGATGCGTCTTTGCTGCAAATAAATGTCTAATTGAAGGCCCACAGCAAGTGTTTTTTACGCTTCTTTCTCGCCTTTTACAAACTCTTGTCAAATAGCGAACATGATTTTTCATTTTAAAATATATTTCATTGCCTACAAGTAGTTTTTTTTCTATCAAACAGAATAATTTTACTTGATGTAGCATCTTTTTTTTTTTTTTTTAAATTCTTCAAATAAAAAATATTGGTATAAACAAAAATGAAGTCAGAACGGAAATAATTTCAGCAACGAATTTTTTACTGACAGAACTAAATGTGTACCTTTTGCTATGAACTTATTTTTAAATATTGATCCCAAGCTGATATAATTTTGTTTTGTAGTCCTTTCAAATTTCAAATACTTTCCAAAACATTGAAATAATAATCATACTTACAACTCTGTCCTATTACCAGAGCGGCTGACTGAAGAAAGACGAATATCACAATTGTTCGCGTCATTGTTTTAAAGACGTCAAATTATAATGTTGTGCTGCTTTTTATACTGGTGCATTTTGTACAATCCTAAATGATTTCCCCAAAAATTAATTGTTTACACGAATTCGTGGTTTTGGTATTACTGAACGAGCAGAACATTATTAATCTATCAATTCATCATGACCCTCATACCTTTATAGAGTTAAATAAGGGCAGGTTTTTGGTTTAAAGAATCTTGTTCAATTCAAACACGTACAATATTTGTAATGATAATATTCTTCCCAGAACTATGTTAACATTTGTAATGTCATTTATTTACGTCTATTCAAATTTGTTTAATCAAAATTCTGCACCTTTATTCCACGTAGGCCCTAGATAGAAGTTGACGTTATCAACATATTTTAAGAATACCGAATTCTCATTTCATTAAATCTTGAAATATTAATCGTATTTAACTTTGCAAAAATATCTTGCAACTAGACCCTTAAGAATCTTTACCAATTAAAGTCCGAGTCAATAATTTAATTAATACTAATTATTCAAAAATGTCATTTGAAGCATTAAAACATTCTTAACAATGTCTATGAATTCCTGTGTAATATATCAACCATAGAAAGTGTAAGAAGACATACATTTTTAAAACTATATATTGGATTGCGATTTACGAAAGAATCTTTCCGTTTTTTTCTTTTGTTTGCTTGTTTGGATTAAAAAAGCAGATTAAAATATGTTAAAAGTATGCATGTTTTAAATTTACATTTAAAATGCAGCAGGATCTTATGTAATTTTTAGATATTTCATGCAATTCTAATTTTACGTACTTTTACGTCAACCGTTTGTTTTATTAAAGATATACTACATAATCTAGGATATCCGATTCCCCGACATGAACAAAGTCACGCGCTCTGTATTACACACCCTCAATCAGCACCCTTTATTTTACCCTTTATCACAACCTTTATTTTATCTTCCCGGAATATCTCTGTATGATGGTGCAGGTATTGCACAATCAAAAAGGGTAGTTAAAGCCTTGTGGTTTACAAGTGAGAAAACAGTTTACTGTCATAATGATGTCTGATTATTTTTTATTTGAATGTTTTTTAACGTTTCTGGTGAGAAAATTTCACTCATATTATGGAGACGCTACCACTTGCAGATGAAAATTGCAATTTTTTTTACCTATGCTCAGCATTCACTGAGCAGTCAGGGATCTTTTTCAAGCCAGCACCTCATGCGACACAGAACCTTGGTAGATCCGCTGAAACATGGCTGAAAAATTGCCGACTTTGCATTAGACAATATACAATCAATCTCATCTGAACGTTTTCAAGGTCAACAGAGGAATTTGAACCGCTGCGCAAGAATCAACTCCTTAATTGCCACGCTTGCGCTTTAAACTTAGACAAACAAACATGCCAAATACAAATCAATTTGTCTCTTTTTTGGAAACAACCAGCACCAATAAATGACATTTTTAAAAAAAAAACATTGATTCAATTACAATGCAATTGTGTGTTTATTGACTTTCTATATTATTATAATTAACAAAGTCTTGTACATTAAGTTAAAACACTTTGTTATCAGAAAGGCAGTTCTCTTGGTATACACGATCTGGTGACGTTTATTATTCCAAATAGGTAGAATCTTCTATAACACCCACCACAGTAGTTAGGACTACAAAAGAAGAAAACAATGCGGTGCTGTTGCAAAATGTCCAGTTATTAATTGTTCAGTTTTTCTTAAAGGACATGAAGGCAGCTAACGCGCTTCATAAAAATATGAATACATGCATACAATTGGATTATGTGCATTAAAGAAGAATTGGGGAGACTAGGTTTGAGCTATTTATGGGACTCCAACATTGTTGCTAATTGTACATATAAAATAATTGAGCAAAGGATGGATATTTATAGACAAAACATTTTTTTCATTTGTAACTTCATGTTCAAAAGGTCAATTGTACCAGTACGTTGTAAATAATTTTGTATTACAAAGATATTTAAGAAAACCTATTGATGATAGATATAAGAGAATGCTACCAAGATTAGGTTATCAAACCACCAATTAAAAACTGAAACTGGTAGATATAATAATACACTTAGATCTCAAAGAATTTGCACACTATGCTCCTCTAGTGATATTGAATATGTATTTCATTTCATATTAAAATGTCCATTTTATGAAAATCTGAGAAGTATGTACATTAAGAAGTATTATTATGTCAAACCAAGTGTATTTAAAGTTGTAAGTTTAATGAGTAGTCAAAATGTAAAAGAGTTGTCTAAATAGGGAAAAATTTTATATAAAGCTACAGCTCTACGAAAGTCTAATTTGTAACTACTATTGATATTTATATCCTTTGTGTATTTATTCTGTACTCTTCATCATGTTTATATGCTGTATAAAATCTGATGACTGAGCCTTTAGCTTAAACAGAGACGTCTTATACGTCTCTAGCTTAAAGAATGAAGAAAGGAGATGCAAATTTTAGTCTGTGTGATGAATTACAAATTAAATTGCTCGCTGATTTATATTTAGCTCGAGCTTCTCCATATATATTTCTACGTCAATTCTATGCTTGGGTATGTTGACACAGCAACTGTAACTAGAGATACTGTGAGCACAGAGCTCATTAAATGATACTCCGCCTTTCATTAGAGTATAATGATGGTAAAGTTCATGTTTTACTACAGGAGACCCGAAATAAGTATTGGATGCAAAAATAAAATAGAAGTTAAACAATGGCTTTATAAAGAATCTGTGAAAGTATCATTGAATTTTAACCAGTGATATATGTTTTGGGTATGAGCTGGGTTTCCTTCAATATTGTAGAAAGAATGGCAATACAAGTGTTCATGTTTTGCTCTGGGAAACCAAAAATGTATGTCCGATCAAAAAGTAACAAAGGAGGTGCACAATGGCACAATGAAACAAAGATTCTGAGAAAGTCTCATTAAAATTAATTCAGTGATATAAGGGAACATTTCGATCACTATATACATGACTGTACCCTCCCACTTTTCAAACAGGGGTGTAAATTAAGGAATCACTGTCTAGTTTGTTTAGTATGCCAGGGCATCAACAATAGTGGGAAACATGGGATAATTTGCATAACGGGCGAAGCCCGTTATGCATAAATTATCCCATATTTCCCACTATTGTTGATGTCCCTGGTATACTACACTAATTAGACAGTGATTCCTTATATTTCCATTTCATTGTGAAATAAAATTGTAGATTTATACTTTAAAAATGCAGACATACATTTAAACTACACGAGGATTCCCATCCCAATCTCAATAGTCCTCGCCCCTTGACCTCAAACACAACGGCAGCCGCACGAGATTTTCATGCATATTTGGCCTCCTTAGCGTCAGATTCAGAGACACATGCGCTCGAGATTTGCATGCATATCAGGCTTCCTTAGCTCCTGGCCTATTGACCTGCTTTATTTACATTCCGGTAGAATTATCAAGAAATTAATTTCGCTAACTTTCAAAGAATTATCACAAAGAGAAAAATTAGAAATGGAAATATTAATTAAATATGTACTAGTAACAAATAATTTAATTTCACTTGTATCAAGCAATTTCATTGGCTGAATCATTCAAAGGAACATATAACATTTTGTATAACATAACTTGCCTACGTCACAATGAGTTACATCAAAAACGTATTACTCCGCTTGACGTTACTTTTAAAATAATGCTCAATTTGAAACCTTTTTCCGGAGGAAATATTGTCTCATTATCTACACAGAAATTAAATTATAAGGAATGAAGCTAATTTCAACTTATGTTATCCGATATAACAAAACTTGGGGCAGTTTACGCTTTTTTATAAACCGCTTCGCGGTTTATAAAGCGTAAACTGCCCCAAGTTATGTTATATCGGATAACATAAGTTGAAATAAGCTTCATTCCTTAAATAAACATACCGAAAGACAGCTCCTCTTATGTTTGAACACCAGCCTGAGGGTGTACTGGGGGCTCATCACAGGGATTAATAAAACATGAAACTTCTGTAACCCCGAAAGGACAACCTGATGGAAATACAGACATAATTGTAACGTCGATGGGATGAATATCCATTTCAGAATCGAACAATTAATTTTATATTGTTAACATAGATTTTTAAATGCAGTGTTCAGTACAATACATATTCTTTGCCATTCATAGTTAGCAGTAGGTGGTAAATTAGAAAGCAAAATATTATCATGAACGATTTGAATTCTTTTATTGCATGAGATACTTTTCATCTGATATGATAATTTACATTTACATAAGTAATACTTACGTCTTTGTCCAAGAATCGGAGTAGCTAACTGACAAAAAATAAATATCAATAATATTCTCTTCATTGTAGAATGAGTGAATGAAATTGATATACTGTAATATAGTCGTGCTTTTATGTCATTGCTTCTAAAAAAAACCCATTCTAAATCCCTGGTGGTGTGATATATCACATCAGATGATTGAAAATGAGCAAAAAATCCAGTAATTTGTCATGCTGTCAAGAGGCTAATTAGCTAGTGAATTAAAAGATTTATTAAGCATGTTAATAAGCTTCAAAATAATTTGAAGTTTAGATAATATTTACTACAGAGATCTTGTACTAGGAAAATCCAAAAAATTTAAGAAGTTGATGTTTTTCATTCTCTTGATATATATGGTGGAAATCCCTATTATGTGTTTTAAACACAGAAATGAAACATTCAATTTAAGTTCTTATTATATTATTCTTGATGCATGACTGTAGCATACACACTCGATATAAAAACCGTGCAGAACAGTACAATGAGAAAAGACAGTCTGTGCGTTATATATCATAATCAAAAATTAAATGAACTATATTCATTACAAAACAGAACCTGATGAAAAGAAAATTTTGGATATTTGATAAAAATTAGATATGAAATATAATTATGTAAAAAAAAAAAATAAAATAAATAATTTTTTTTAATGTTTTAAATCTGTATACCACTTTCTAATTGATTAATACATGTATATTATTGCATCTATTAAAACGCTTGCCTATACCTATTCTTCATTTTCAGCGAAATTCTTTAAAATTCTAAGATTAATAAAAAAAAATTGAATATCAAATAAAATTAAAATCACAATGGATTTTACATTTCGTTGTGCATTATTATTTATCCTGCAACTACCCCCTGCATTGACCTAATAAAGTAACCTAATAAACCAAAGCTTTATCCGGTCACTGCCCTAATAAAGCCTCGTGCCTGTATTCCGACGTTCTAAAAGCATTGTGACGTCACGTATACTGCAATGTTTACACCATGGCGTCATAGTTTCATCTGCAGAGATGTGTCTAAATCTGTCGAAAATAGCTAGTTTTGGACGATCAAATGGTAAAATTATGTTGCAGGATAAACAAAATACATGATACCTGTCTTGAAATATAAGCGATATTTGGGCTCGGGTCGAAAACATAACAGGGCTCGGCAAGCCTCGCCCTCTATCACGTTTTCTTACCCTCGCCCAAATATCGCTTATATTTCAAGACAGTAACAATGTATTTTATATATACATGTATCAGGAAATTTGTAAATATCTGAAAATTTAATGATAAATTCAATGTAAGTACCAGGGCATGGCCCCTTTATGTAAACGTTATTCAAATAAGCTTTGTCGATTAAGGAAAAATTACTTTTTTAATATTTATTGTGTCAAATTTAGCCAAAGTTTTGCAGTAAATTTGGTAATGAAGTCGAATACGTGTATAGCTTTTAACAAAACAAAGTCAAAGGATGAAAATCTTGTTACTCAGAGAGAATTTGTCTCAATTAATTCAAGTGTATAATCATATAAAAGCCAATCGTTCTAAAACCATGGTCAAGGTTAAAGTGTTTAAAAGTAGATCAAATAACAAAGTCAAGATCAAAGGGTTAAAAATAATGTATCATTTAGAATCTTTTATTTGAAAAACAATTTAAAAGCTACCTTGTTCAATAGCGAGTCATAAGTAGACAGAATTAATAAAATATAATTGAGCGGCAAATTAGTTATTGCAATACGTACATGTATGTCATGCATTTGTATTGCTCAACTTTAGATTCCAATATTAGTCAACTAAGAGCATCATTCTTGTAATTAAATATATGGAGATGACGAACAGTATTCAACCCAAAAGTCCATTCAAACAATACGAAGTTTAGAGCAGAGCAAACATGGACCTCTAAAACATCAGAGGGGGATCAGGTGTCATGATGGAGTGAGCATCCCCTGCCAATCGGTCTTATATGCCGTGTGCTCCTTGCAATGATGGGGAATAATGGAAAAATATGTTGACAATTCAGTATGTATAAGGTGACCTGACAATAGGTATAAAAAACGCTAGTCAGTTTTGACTCAATGATAGGTTGTGTTTGCTTACAAAGTCATTGCGTCGACAGCAGGAATTGTGAAATAATTATTTTAAACTAGGTGTTGATATTTTTTATTCTTCAACTTGTTTGTCAATAACCCATCTGGTTCTAGAAATTGTTCATACAAAAACATTCTCTTGCATTTTGAATCAACTGAGAGATATAAACCTAGTCTACATGTGATATGGGTATTTTGCTGCATAAATAAGGGAAGATTAAAAAGCCATAACCTTATCATAAAGATTGGTTGTCAGGTTATATGTACATGTACCACTAACGTCTTTTTCTATCCAAGTTTGAAAGTAAATAGACAAGTCCGTTTTTGAGTTATCTATAACGACAAGCTCACTCAGATATATCGTGTCGTATAATTTGAAAGAAGTGCTAGTATTGTGAATTGATAACACGTCATCATTTTAAGGAAATGTCAAGTTGAAGTCCACAGCAAGTGTTTTCATTTTTCATTTGTACTAGTTAGAATACATTTTGCTTCAAATGTAGACAAAAATAAGTCTGCTACAATGTAATCACAGAGAATAATTCGTGCCTATTGGAACTCCTACAGATTGTTAGCTTGGTCTCCAATTCAACCAGAAACTCAGATATTATTTGCTTCATTGTTAAATGGTGGAACGAAAAGCTTTTTAAAACAAAAGTCGGTAAAGTCCTGTATACATTTCCATATTTTGCACGTCAATTGTTTGATATATTGTAAATGAGAGATTTTCCAAAATTTTACGTGAAGAGAAAATTGTTCTTGCGATTATATAATAGAATTGACAAATTCAACAAACCATTCTCGTTTAAAAATATATTTACTGAAAGGATAAAGAAACGCATATTTAACTTTTGAGTTCAATTAAAACAATTATTTCAAATATGTTTCCCATCATTTTTATCATTCATTTTAATTCATCTTTAGTCAACAAGTTACCAAAATTTTGTGTGATTTTGAGTGACAATTCCTGAGATATTGATATTAACATATCGACACCCCTAAAAAATAAAACTAAAAATTCTCATAATCTCCCTTGCACATCAGTAACAAACTTGATTTTCATCTGCATTGAGTTCACCAGAGCATTTGTCTTTTTCATAGCATTATTATTCAACCAGTCTTAATGGCTGAGATTAGCTGTATTATTCCAAAGCCAACAAATCCCCCGCCCAGTGAATCCCACTAATTTTCGATTTAGGATAGAATGTACAGAACCCAGCAGGTTTGTCACACGTGAATGTTTGTAAAAAAAGTCTCGACAAACACTAGCTACATTTTCCCAGTGTAAACATGCTAAAAACATCACGCAAGCGACGCGTACGTGCGCGTGTGAGACTAAAATCGACGCAAAGTTGCCAAGCTCGCAGCCCAAATTAGAACAGAAGTTCTCTTTCAATTTTAGGGTGAAAAAAATGAGCATGAATGTCTGATGTATTAATATCAGTTTCAGTGATAATGAGTTGACAAAAACCTAGGTGGCATGATGAAAAGCCTTATCTTGATGTGACGTTGTTACGCGCCAACGTCACCGTCATGGTTGGTGGGAAACATTTTAAGTTAACTCTCTGGCAACCAAAAAAACTTTTATTTGGTTGAAAAGTTGAAAACAATCTTTACAGCAGCATGTTGTTGCCTTTTTATTCACTTATACAATATTGAATTCAATTACTTGTCCCACAGTAGCTTCCATCAGCCATACTACGATTGTAAGAAATTTATACTGGCTGCAAATATGCAAAAACGATGTCTATAACTCTAATGCATCGTTTGGCACAACAAAATGTGATCACAAAATTACCATCATCAACATGCACGTGTTTTTGACTTTTTATCATTTCCCCTACGTGACGCCATACATTTCATGGTTGAGTAGTTTTGACCAGCGATTTTAGTGCAAAGTAACCAAAAATCACACTTGACCAATTTTCATAATTTTCGGTCACATAGTCAAAAAAAAGTTCCCATATTAAGTTCTTATGCATTTCTTTTTCCTTTCAGTATATATACTGTAATCTCCGGATAATTAGATAATAATTAGATATGAAACTGTCCAAAAACCCTATATACACAGCCTTCCCAAATATTAACAACGCAAATTTGAGATGTATTGAAGACAAAAGGACCACTCTGGAAAAAATTAGCAGCTGGTTTTCTCCTTATGAAACTCTTCTTCACCCGATATACTGTAGTCGTTACAGAACGTGGCTTTAGAGAAAAGAATAGTAAATGTAATATATCAAAAAGGAAATAAAGATAATCTAACAACCAAGCTCTGTGATAATTGTGATGACTTTAAATTTTCTGGCGTCAACTTCCCTTACTTATACAGCAATATACCTTCATCAACTGGATACGGAGTTTATATATCAAATATTGGGGGGGGGGGGTCAATTATTCTTTCAAATCCTTTTCAAAATCTTTTGTCAAATAGCTAACTCGATTTTTCTCACTAATGAAATTAAAAAAATATATATTTCAATGCCTTCTAGTAGTTCTCATCTATCAAACAGAATAACTTCCTTAGCATCTTTTTTAAACATTCCATGACATATCTTTAAAAAACAAATTTGGTATAAAAAAAAAGTCAGAAATAATTTCAGCAGCGGTTTCTACTTTTACTGACTGAACTGGAAGTGTATTTTTTTCTGAACTGTGTGAAAAAGGATTAGAATGAATTAGGATCTTGATAGTTGAATTTTTAATATTGATCCCAAGCTGAAACTCTTCTGTTTTTGTAGTCCTATCAAAATACATTCCAAAACATTAAATTAATCATTATACTTACAACTTTGTCCAATTACCAGTGCGGCTGACTGAAGAAGGACGAATATCACAAAAGTTCGCGTCAGTTCTTAAAAGAACTCAAATTATAATGTTGTATTACTATTTATACTGGTGTATTTTATAAAATCTTAAATGAATTTCTCTTAAACTGCTTACACGAATTCGTTGTTTTGTTATTACTGAACGAGGAAAACATTATCAATTCGTCATGACTTTCGTACCTTTGTTATGTAAGGGCAGTGTATTTTGGTTTAATGATTGTTGTTCAATTCAAACACGTACAATATTTGTAATGATAATATACTTCCCAGAACTATGTTAATATTCTAACATTTGTAATGCCATTCAATTACGTGTATTCAAATTTATTTTATCAAAATTCTGTACCTTCTTTTCACGTAGGCCCTAAATAGACATTGACTTTTCAATATGTTTTAATAATACTGAATTCTCATTTCATTACATCTAGAAAGATTAACCGTATTTATCTTAGCAAAAATATCTTGCAACAAGACCCTTTGGTGTCTTTACCAATTAAAATCTGATTCAATAATTAAATTTATACCATTTTTTTCACAAATGTCATTTGAAGCCTAAAACCATTCTTAACGATGTCTATGAGTTTCTGTATAATGTGTCGATCATAGAAAGTGTAAGCAGATTTTTTACTATATATATATATATATATCGGACTACGATAAAGAAAGAAATTAATCTGTCTTTTAATTAAAATAGCAGAGTAAAGTGTGTTAAAAGAATGCATGCCTTTTATAGAAATAAACATTTAAAATGCAGCAGTATCGTATACTGTTGCTGTTGTACTATTGTATTACTATTGTAATATTAGGATAATTCATGTACATGTAATTCTAATTATACATATTTTACGTCAATCGTATTTGTTATAACATAATTATTATATTTGCATCCCTGGTATGAACAAAGTCATGCGCTCTGTATTACACAGACCCATATCAGACCCTTTGTTTTACCCAATATCACACCCTTTATTTCACCGTTCCTGGACATCTCTGTATGAGTGTACTGGTGTGGCACTATCAAAAAGGGTAGTTAAAACCTTGTGGTTTACAAATGAGAAAACAGTTTACTGTCATAGTGATGTCTGGGTTTTTTGTTTGAATGTTGTTTAATTTCCCTGTGGAGAATATTTCACTCATATGGAGACTCCAACAAAAGCCGGTTGAAATTGTTTTACCTATGCCCAACATTCAGGTCCACTGAGTAGTGAGTAAATATTTTTGTCGTGCCATCACCTAATGAGACACAGGACTTTGGTTTAATATACAATCTCATCTGAGGGTTCTGTCTTCATGTCCCACAGGAGAATTCGAATCTGCGATGTAAGGATCAACTCCTTGCTACGCGACTCTTGACCTTTAAACTTAAAAATATATTGAGACAAACAAACAAGCCGACTACAAATATATTTTCTCATTTTATGGAGATAGTTATCACTACTAGATGACTGTTTTAAAATGTCATTAATTTTATTGCGATGCAATTATGTTTTATTTACTTTCTACATGAACATTATTATTATTAACAAAATCTTATATAAATGCGTTTAAGCCCTTTCTTATTATAAAGGTGGTTCTCTTGGAATACAAAATCGGGTGACGTTCATCCCAAAAAAGTAGAATCTTCTATAACATCCTCCACACTGGTATGGACTATTAAAGAAGGAAACAATAAAGTGATACTAAAAATGTCCAAAATTGATTAAATATGTTCAATTTTTCTCATAGAACTGGAAGGCAGATACATGTATTTGCATTGACTGAGTCGTCATAAAGAGGGGAGAAAATTTATCTAAATTTTCATTGAAATCTGTTGCTTGATTTAGTACATACAAAGTTAGATGTCTAGAAATATAATTCATAAGTCATTAAAAATAATTGTCTTTCACATCCCAAATGATACAATAAGAACTGTTTTAAGTTTCGTGTGAGTGATTTGTGTGTAAATAAGACTTGTCACGAAGGCAGATACGCGCTTCATGAAATCTATTAATACATTGTACATGAAATGCAAATCTCTAATAACGTCTCGACACATAAATAGCTTCATCTTGACGCCATTTTATCGCGAGTTTCTTTATGTATATTTCTACGCGTTACTATAGGACACGTAAAATGCATTGAAATCAATTTCATACTTGGCTATGTTGACACAGCAAATGTAACAAAAGGTACTGTGGGCACTGTGCTCATTAAATGATACCTCCGCCTTTCATTAGAGTACATGTATTATAATAGTAAAGTTCATGTTTTGCTCTGGAAGACCCGAAATGTGTCAGATCAAAATGTACAATTTGAGGTGCACAATTGCATTATGTTATAAAGAATTTGTGAAAGTATAATTAAATTTTATCCAGTGGTATAGGAGAAGTTATGGATATGGGTACCTTTCAATATTAAAGAAAGAATGGCATTATCCATGTTTTGCCATGGGAAACCCGAAATATGTGTCCGATTAAAAGTATGATAAGACGTGCACAATGGCACTATGTAACAAAGATTCTGTGAAAGTTTCATTAAATTTCAATCACTGGTATATGAGAATTTGCGTATATAAGAATGTGCGGATAAGGGACCCAAAAGCGTAACAGACGAACGGACGGACGTCCTGGTTACTCTGTACCCTCCATATACCCTCCTTCTTTTCAAACGGGGGTATAAATGATTTAATATGTACTTGTAACAATTGAACATACCGACAGACAGCTCCTCTTATGTTTGAACACCAGCCTGAGGGTGTGTTGGGGCGCTCATCACAGGGATTAATTTTACATAACACCCTTGGAACTCCGAGAGGACAACCTGAATGTAAATACAGACATAATTGTACCGTCAATGGGATAAATATCAAAATTCACTTTAGAATCGAACAATTCATATTGTTTACAAAGATAGTACATTGAAAATGTGCAATTCTTCAGTATGCTAGATTCTCGAGAAATCGGGCATTTTATTCAGTCCGGCAGCTGGCTGGTTTAGAGAAGTTTTACTGTATTTGAAAATATTTACATTTACAAATGTTTTCATTTAAGAAATAAGATATCATTTTTAGAGATTCATTGGTATATGACATGAAGTCGGTCACGTCATCAAATTCTATAACGCCCGAAGGGCGTTATAGTAGATTTGATCACGTACCGACTTCAATTCATACCCCAATGAAACTATAAAAAAATGATCTTTTATTTCTTATATTTATATTTTACGTTCCATTCATATTACAAAGAAATATAGGCATTATAAAAACTTTGATTTTGAAATTCAACATTCCGTTACTACGACGTCATATGACGTTACAGTCGCAACTTTCCAAATTGCTCGTGCAGCTTGCTTTCCATACACAAGAAAGTCTGATCATGTGACCTACTGCATGTCATTGAAAATTGAGTTTCAATTTTATTAGCTTTGTTATATAAGGAAAGACATCAGCAAATGTAAATATTGATATAACATTACTGAAAACAATGCATATCTATAACTGTATAAAAACCGGTACGGGGTCAAGAGGTCATACATGTAGATGTGCGTATGGATAAACGTTTGACGTAATTTCTCAGTGACGTCATAAAGGGTTGGCGCGCGTTTAGTTGATTAAATATATGCCGTTGGGTTTGAAAAATAATGCATTTCACACGTTAAAAGTCATAATCAGATAAACATAAAGTATGAATAAGTCACAAATGTAAATATAAGTAATAAGGTATCATTTTAAAACATCTATCGGGTTATAAATACGGGTTGGTACGAGATTAAATTCATCATATTCGGTCTTTATGGAATTTAATCTCGTGACCAACCCGTATTTATATCCCGATAGATGTTTATAAATACCTTATTTATTAAATGCAGTGTTCAGTAGAATACACATTCTTTGCAATTTATATTTAGCAGTAGGTGGTAAACTATAAAGCACATAATAATCATGAAGAATTTGAATCTTTTATTGCATGAAATACTTTTTATTTGAAATGGAAATTACATGTACATAGATAATACTACTTACGTCTTTGTCCAAGAATCGAAGCAGCTAACTGGCAAAAAATAAATATCAATAATATTCTCTTCATTGTAGAATGACTGAATAAAATTGATATAATAAAGTTGTGCTTTTATGACATTGCTTCGTAAAAACCCAAAAAAATCCTTAGTTTTATGATATATTACATGATTGAAAATGAGCGGAGATTCCGGTAATTCTTCATGCAGTCAAGATAATAACTAGTTAATTCATAGATTTATTTACGCATTCCAGACGCTTCAAATTACTAGTAATGTAAAATTTCGATAAGATTTTCAACCACAGAGATTCTTTAATAGGAAATGCATGCATAACTTTAAGTATAGAAGTACAATGTAGATCATTAAAAATAACGTGATTTTTATGGACTTTGTCAACAATCCAAAAAGTTCATGCTTTTTATTCATTTGATAAATATATCGTATAAATTCCTTTTATGTGTATTAAATATTCATTTTAATTGCTTATAGCAAATTGCCGTTAACTTCAAATATTTATTTTAAAAGATATATCTAACTGCATATACTTTAGACAATTGATTATACGAGGCATCTCTGTTTTGCGATGTGTAAATTGGACATTTTCTAAAGTGGAGAGTCATTCTTGATGCAAGAATGTAGGATACTCACACGATCTAATAGCCATGCAGAAAAGTACATTGAGAAAAATACATTATATGCATTATACTAATAATTAAAATTTCAATGAACTATATTTATTACAAAACATAACCTGATAAAAAGAAACTTTGGATTATAAGATAAAAATTAGATAATAACTTTGTTTTTAAAAAAATGAAATATTTTTTTCTCGAATTTTCTTTTTATCTTTATTCCACTTTCTAATTGATTAATATATTGAAATGCATTATCGTATTTATTAAAATGCTTGCTTATAATTAACAATTCTTCATTTTCAAGGAAATTCTTTTTAATTCTTAGATTGGTTAAAATTTTGAAAATGAATTAAAATTAAAATCTTTATGGATTTTACATTTCGTTGCGCATTATTATCAGGTCATAAGCAATATCTGAAAATTTTATGATGAAGTCAATGCAAATGCTAGGGCGTGATCCCTTCACACAAAAGTTATTCAAATCAGTTTTGTCGATTAAGGGAAAGTTACATGTACTTTTTAAAATCTTAATTGTGTCAGGTTTTTCCCACCATTTTGCAGTAACTTTGGAGTTTTTGACAAAACAACGTCAAAGGATTCAATCTTATTTCATGTACTCAGAAAAACTTGTCGCAGTTCATTCACTTTATATATATATATATATATAATTATATAAAAGACAGCCTTGCAAAAACCATGGTCAAAGTTAACGCGTTTAAAAGTGAATCAAATTCCAAGGTCATGATCGAAGGGTTAAGATTAATGGTATCTAGTACATAAAGAATTTTTTATTTTAAAAAATCAAATGCTATTATGTTAAATAGCGAGTCATAGATACACAGAATTAATAGTATTATGTATAGTACGCATGGCGCAGTGCGTCTACTCTAGAGTCGCGACGTAGGAAGTTGATTCTTACGTCGCGGGTTCGAATCCCACTGTGGAAGGTGGAGACCGGTCCTTCGAAACAGATCGTATAAACCGAGGTCCCATGTCGCAGTAGGAGCTGGCACGAAATAGATCCCTCCCTGCTCAATGGTCCTGAGTGCCGAGTATAGGAAAAAATCTGGAGCTCTCCACCGGCAAGTGGCGGCGTCTCCATATGGGTGAAAAATTCTCGAGAGGGACGTTAAACAACATACAATCAATCAATCAATCAATCATTTAGAGTGCCAAATCGGTTAATGAAATAAGTATGTCATGTATTTGTATTGCTCAACTTTTGGTACTCACATTAGTCAACTAAATGCATCACTATATAGAGAAAAAGAACAGTGTTAAAGCCCAAAATCCATTCAAACAACATAAACTTTGGCCTCTAAAACATCAGAGGTGTGATCATGTGCCATGGGAAGTGAGCATCCAACGCCAAGCGGTTCTATCTACTGTGTACTCCTTGCAATGATGGGAAACACTGGGAACATTTGTTGACAATTCAGTGTGTAATAAGTGATTTGACAATAGGTATGACAAACGCCAGTCAGCATTTGACTCCGTTTACAGGTATTATTGGTACATTGCTGCAGGCAGGTAGCAACGGGGGTGGGGGGCATTGAAAGACTGGGTGGCCCACCCAGCTTTTACTACGGTAAATTGATGTTAGGGAAATGTAGTATTGTATTCCAAACAATTGGTACTGAAAGAAGTCGGCACCTGAAAAAAGTTTGCCTATCCATCCCCCCCCCCCCCAGTTGCTTGCCAACTGTTCCAGGTCAGTAATTTTTTTTCTCTGGCTGGCCCCTTCACTCTCAAAAACGATGCTACGTGCCTGTGCTGAATAAGGAAGGGAAGATGACCATTGAAAAGTCATCACATTTACCGAAAACTTGGTTGTCAGATTAAATGTACCACTAAATTTTTTTCTATCCAACTTTGAAACACAATAGTCACTTTTTGTGTTATCTTTAATGACAAGCTCACTCTGATATATTGTGTCGATATATTATAAGAAATAAGTATTGTTAATCGATAAAGGTCATCGTTTTATTGCACTTTAGGGCCACAGCACGTGTTATCTTTTTTCATTTGTACTAGTTTGATTACATTCTGCTTCAAATGTAGACAAAAATAAGTCTGCTAATCACAAAGAGCAATTCGCGCCCATGGGAATTCCTACAGATGGATAGAAGATCTGGTCTCCAATTCAAGCAATTATCCTTTTAATATCAATTTCTGAGTACTTGTGTGTACAAACAGAACGCTTTTTAACAAAATAATTTCATAAATGAGAAACTGATGACAAGTATATTTACAAGTTCCATTTTTATTGAAAAGGCAGCAGCTATCAATGCTGTCAGAGAGCCTTTATAAATAAAAAGCAATTTTTAGATAGAGATATGAAAAGTATATACGTTTTTATGCTATTGATTTAAGAAATTAAGTCCGCGTTCTCGTGAATGTTGCAGGATAGCTTCTGAGTCGAGATATATTAAATTAAAGATAAAACCTGAGGCGTTTGCCACAAAGTATTGTTTGAGATTCATTATCTCGACGTCGATATGCTTTTTATACTTTACGAAAATGAATGGAAACACATGAGGACACAAGGATACGAATCAATAAATTCATGTCCATTTTTTTGGTCAATATATTTCTAGATATCAGTTTAAATGACAGTGTTTTTAAAATACTGATGCACTTCAAAACTTTTTTAAAGAAAAAACATCAAAATTCAAAATAGCAGCATCAGACAAGAACCATACAGATGTCTCATTTCAATGGAATTCGTCGATTTTCATTTTCGAAATTTTTATAATCTTCAAGAAAGAAGGTTAAACGCCAGGTTTTAATTAATTGTATTAAGGAATTTCAAAAGAATCAAATGAAGCCAAATTTCTGTATTTCATAACCTTATTAAAAAATACAAAATTATTCAACTTTATGGGTTATCAGCTTATTATGCTTATAAAGAAATGTGCATCTTAATGAATGTAGCTTGATAACCTTCTATTGCTTATTTTAATACCAAATTCATTCAACAATGAAACTCTTCCAATAGTAATGGGTCATACTGTTCAGGAATTCAAAAGTGTAACACTCTTACAGGACTCGACTGAGAGAAATCTTGGAGTTTTCTTCCTTTATATGCATATAGGTATTAAATACAAAACAATTAAAACAATGATTCATTTTATTTATTCAACATCATCTCTCTTCATGTAATGTTAGTTTATATTGAATACAACAAATGTATTGCATTGTTTTTAAGAACTTAATTGTTTTTAAAGAGATGGTTCCATTGGTATACACAAACGGGTTACTTCTATAGCTGGAAATGCGCTTATGTAGAATTTTCTAAAACATCCTCCACAATAGTACGGACTACAAATGAAAGTAACGTACGAAGGAAACTTTTTCAAAAAATATATAATTAAAAATGTTTTTACATAGTTTAAATAGCAGTGAACTTCAAATTATATGAAAATAAAACTTAAAATTCTTCATACGAAAAAAAGATTATGAAAATAATCTGTGAAAATAACATTTTGCATTCGTGTTTTACAATGAGAATATATTTCACAGAATTGTCAAAAGAAAAAATAACAACCAAAAACCATGAGAATTTTAGTGCGAATTGACTATCTGTGTAATCTGAGGTATTGCGACTCTTTTAAAACAATACTGGGTGAAAACGTATGGACTAAATGAAAATATTCTATAAAGATGTTGTAAATATTTTAACAAGGTTACAGGATTTAAAAATCTCGATTGTTAAAGTGCAAAAAATACACAAAAAAGGCTAATGGCTAAAAATTGCATGAAAACGTCGTTTTAGAAAGTTTTCAAAACACTTAACTGGGAAAAGGTAGGGACAAGAGGGTAGAAAACCAGTCTCATAGAACCATAATGTTTGGAAGAAACCCCAAAAAGATAAAACTATGTAAAGGGAAAATAAATATGAATTTGAGAATGAGAATATACTTTCATTGCCATTTTAAAAATCAATTTTAAATCTACTCTAGTTTAAAAAAGGATAACAGCTTTACTAATGTTCTTACCGACATTGAGCTTGAGGAATGTTTTGACATCTGTTCCGTTAATCACATGGATCTTTTTTACATTGAACCTTTGGTTTGTCTGCAGGACACCCTATCGGCAAAAATATATAAAGATCATAAAAACCTTAACTTGGCAAATCCAATGATATGAATATTAGAATTTATTTGAAACACAAAATTTTATTTATTTTTCTTTATAGCAGAATTTCAAATATGATGTAAGTGATAATTGATACTTTTTAAATTAATTAGAAAGATATTTATATTAACTGTACTGTGCAGTGTATGACATCAGGGTACTTACAGTTTTGGCGGAGACCTAGGATCAGAGCGGCTTCCTGACAAATAACTGACAAATAATTGATACCAGTATTATTTGCTTCATTGTTAAATGGTAGAAAGAAAACAACATTTTTATGACAAAACTCTGTAAAGTCCTGTATAAATTTCCATATTATGCACGTCAATTGTTTGATATATTGTAAATGAGCGAAAAATCCAACAGATTTTCCAGAATTTTACGTTAAGAGAAAATTGTTTTTGTGATCAGATATTAGAAATGACCATTTTATCAAACCATTCTCGTTTAAAAATATATATATATTATTAAAAAGAATTAATAATACATTGAATATTTTCTCTGAAAAAATATATTTGCTTTATATAAGCCATGGAAGCGTATCTTTAAGATCGATATGCTCTTTATACCCACCGCTTGAAATGTATATAGTGATCGGAATGTCCGTTTGTCAGTACGTCCGTCTGTCTGTTACGCTTTGGGGTACCCATCTCTTAACCGCAACTCCTCTTATTCTACTGAATTAAATCTCATGAAACTTGAATTTTTGTTACACACTGCCCTTATGCACAACCAGTTTTACTTTTTTTAACGGACACATAATTTTGGTTTCCCAAAACAGGAACTTTGCCATTTTTTTCTTCAATATTAAAAGGGTATCTCTTATCCGCAACTCCTCCTATACCACCGGATAAATTTTAATTTTACTTTAACTACATGTAACTCTTTATTAAATTTAATTTTGATCCAACACTTGTTTAGAGCAAAACCTCGCCATTAATATATCTCATTTAGAAATTTTGCGATTAAAGGCAATGCTTTTTGCCTTTAAACGCAGTAAATTTTTGCGTTTAATTGCAATAAATTTTTGAGTTTAACAAGATTTAGTAAACGTCTTTAGACTAACCTTTTGATGCTGGATCCATTATGACGTCATCATCACTTTCAACTTTCTTTTTCCAGTACTAAAGACTCTAATAGAATAGAATGAAGTCAGGGGGAATTTTTTTAGAAAGATTTATTATAAAGTACTAGTAATTGGATCTAAAATCTAGAGTCGTTCAGGTACATGTAAACAAATGAATTTATCGACAGACAGTTTGAACACCAGGGCGTGTTCGAGGGCACCTCACAGGGATTAGCAAAACAAGAAACGTTTGTAACTCCAATTGGACAAACTGAATTCAAAGGGTAAAAAACACCATAGTTGAGAATTATTTTCTTTTTATTATAGTGTAAAACATATTGCATACTGTAGATTCCTTTTTGCAAGTACTTATTATAGCGAATGGGCTCTTCTACGTCATATAGCGAGAATAATAATTCGCGAATGGATGGTTGTTCAAGATATTTTACATAGATTTTAGCACCATGAAAGGCAAGTAGTATTATTTCACGAGATCGCGAAATTACTCAATAATTAATTCCACGCATATAATTAGGAATCTACAGTATTCAATTTCTATTTAGCAGTACCTTGTAAACTCACAGGTCAATTATGCATTATTATGTTCCCCAAACGAAGTTGGGGAACATATTGTTTTTACTCTGTTTCTTATTATTATGTTCCCCAAACGAAGTTGGGGAACATATTGTTTTTACTCTGTTTCTTATTATTATTATTTTTCTTCTTCTTCTTCTTCCTGGGTACTTTTTTGTCCGGGAGTGATCTTATAAACTACACATCCGACTTAGGTAAAACCTTTTTAGGGTCAGTAGGCATGTTATGTAGATTTGCGGAACAAAGGTTATTTTGCGCGCACGTGCTTGCAAGAGCGTGCACGTGCAACGCGTGAAATGACCAATATAATAGATATAGCCGTAACTTTTCTATTTTTGGATGAAATGCTTTGAAACTCATAATGTGATAATATATTAGTAGCATAGACAATATGACATGGTCAAAATAGCAAGATCTTAGGCGCATGCACGTGCGCTTCACTCTGATTGGCTGAAACTAAAGTCTCAATATATTTCTTGATTTTTGACGAAATCCTTTGAAATTTTGAACATAGCCATGCATTAGGATATCCTACAACATGATATATAGCAATTATCATGAAAGCACGTGCATGCACATGTGCTGCAATCTGATTGGCTTAAACTTTAAATAGCTATAACTCCCTTGATTTTCAACCAAACAGGATGGGATTTGGAACATAGATAGATATAATGGACTTCTACAAGACGGTATGGTCATCATGCACATGCATACACGTGCGTGTACGTGCGCTGCAATCTGATTGGCTGAAACTTTGAACAGCTATAACTCCCTTGGTTTTTAACCAAACGGGGTGGGATTTAGAACATAGATAGATGAAATGGACTTCTAGAAGAAGGTATGGTCACCATGCTCATGTATGCACGTGCGTGCACGTGAAATGAGTAAATTCTTGAATGAGCGTATTTTTAAAAAATATTTTTGGGTTTAATACATTAATATTTAGTGTATTAAAATATATAGATTGTGTTGACAAGATGATATGGTCATTACGCACATGCATTCACATGCGCACGCGTGCAATGCTGTTTTAATGAATTTGGTACACTTCTGGGTAAACGTTGTTAAAATCTCAAATGCATGGAGTTTGTCTTATTTAATGAAGCTTACAGGGAATATGGCACCAAAAGGGAGTTGGGGAGCGTTTGGGGAACATCTGTAACGGTCCCCGTTACAATTAGCACTAGTTATGTTCCCCAAACGAAGTTGGGGAACATATTGTTTTTACTCTGTTTCTTATTATTATTATTATTATTATTATTATTATTATTTTTCTTCTCGGGAAAATTTTGTCCGCGAATGATCTTGTAAACTACACATCCGATTTAGGTGAAATGTTTTTAGGGTCAGTAGACATGTTATGTAGATTTGCGGAATCAAGGTCATTTTGCGCGCACGTGCTTGCAAGAGCGCGCACGTGCAAAACTTTAAATGACCAATATATAATGGAAAAAACCGTAACTTTTCTATTTTTTGACAAAATGTTTTGAAACTCATAATGTAAGGATATATTTGTAGTATGCACAAGATGACATGGTCAAAATAGCAAGATCGCACGCGCATGCACGTGCGTTTTGCTCTGATTGGCTGAAACTAAAGTCTCAATATCTGTCTTGTTTTTTGATAAAATCAATTGAAATTTTGAACATAGTCATACATTAGGGAGATCTACAGCCTGTATTATAAGAATTATCATGAAAGCATGTGCATGCACGTGTGCTTGCAAGAGCTCGCACGTGCAACATGAGAAATGTCCAACATAATTGATACAGACGTAACTATTTAAATTATTGATGAAATACTTTGAAACTCATATTATAGGTATATATTAGAAGCATAGACAAGATGACATGGTCAAAATAGCAAGATCTCACGCGCATGCACGTGCGCTTTGCTCTGATTGGCTGAAACTAAAGTCTCAATATCTTTCTTGTTTTTTGACGAAATCCTTTGAAATTTTAAACATAGGCATGTATTAGGTTATCCTACAATATGATGTATAGCAATTATCATGAAAACGCGTGCATGCACATGCGCTGCAATCTGATTGGCTTATGCTTTAAATAGCTATAACTCCCTTGGTTTTCAACCAAACAGGATGGGATTTGGAACATAGATAGATATAATAGACTTCTACAAGATGTATGGTCATCATGCACATGCATACACGTGCGTGTACGTGCACTGCAATCTGATTGGCTGAAACTTTAAACAGCTATAACTCCCTTGGTTTTCAACCAAACGGGGTGGGATTTAGAACATAGATAGAGGTAATGGACTTCTACAAGAAGGTATGGACATCATGCTCATGTATGCACGTGCTTCCATGTGAAATGAGTAAAATCAAAAATACATTTTAATGAGCGTATTGTTTTAATACTTTTGGATTAAATACTTTAATATTTAGTATATTAAAATATATAGATTGTATAGACAAGATGATATGGTCTTTACGCACAAGCATTCACATGCGCACGCGAGGAATTCTAAAATTTGAATGAACTTGGTACATTCTGGGTAAATGTTGTTAAAGCCTCAAATGCATAGAGTTTGTCTTATTTAATGAAGCTTACAGGGTATGTGGCACCAAAAGGAAGTTGGGGAGCGTTTGGGGAACATCTGTAACGGTCCCCGTTACAATTAGCACTAGTTATGTTCCCCAAACGAAGTTGGGGAACATATTGTTTTTACTCTGTTTCTTATTATTATTTTTCTTCTTCCTGGGTACTTATTTGTCCGCGAATGATCTTGTAAACTGTTCATCTGATGTAAGTAAAATCTTTTTAGGGTAAGTAGACATGTTATGTAGATTTGCGGAATCAAGGTCATTTTGCGCGCACGTGCTTGCAAGAGCGCACACGTGCAACATCTAAAATGACCAATATAATTGATATAGCCATAACTTTTCTATTTTCTTATGAAATGTGTTGAAACTCAGAATATACGAATATATTAGTATTATATACATCAGGACATGGTCAAATTATCATGACTCACGCCCATGCACGTGCGCTTCGCTCTGATTGGCTGAAACAAAAATCTCTTGACAATTATATCTTATTCGTTTTTTGACGTATTACTTTGAAATTTAAAACATAGTCATGCATTAAGATATCCTACGATATGATATAAAATAATTTTCATGAAATCACGCGCATGTACATTCGCTGCAATCTGATTGGCTAAAACTTTAAATGCATATAACTCCCTTCGTTTTCAGCCAAACAGGATGAGATTTATAACATAGATAGTCTTAATAGTCCCCTATAAGAGGGTATGGTAAACATTCACATGTATGCATGTGCATGCACGTGCAATATGTATAAATACAAACGCACTTGATTTAGCGTATTTTCGAATACTTTTTGAATGCCTTGATATTAAGTACGTTTAAATAAATTAATAGTGTAGATACAATGATATGGTCATTCCGCATATGCATGCAAGTGTGTGCACGTGCAATGCAAAAATTTGCTATATACTTGGTATACTTTAGGAAAAACGTTCTTTAAGTTTAAGATGCATAGAGTTTAGTTTATTTGTTGAAGCTTAGAGGAAAGGAGGGGAGGAGTTATGTCCAAGACACGATGTAGTTACGATATCGACACATTACTTTTTTATAGTTTTCCATTATATTTCTCTATTCTCGTTTGTTTATTACAATACTTCCTGTTTTAGGACAATTTCCATACTGTTCAATATTTTCGATATCGTGCCGATATCGAATCATGGTTGTTCCAAGAATTGTGCTTTCAATCCTTAATATTTTTCTAACAACTGTTACTTTAAACTTTATAAATCTTTTTGAAGTGTCGATATCGTCGATATCGCTTCGATATCGAATCATGTTTGCTAAACCCTTTGTAAATACCTTCCCTGTTACTTTGAATGTGTTTATATTTTATTACTTTACTTTTACAAAGATTTTACCTGCCATCGATATCGTCGAAATCGACCATATCGTATCGATATCGAATCATGATTGTTAAAAGCATATAACTTTGCCAACCTTCACCCTAAATACAAAAAAATTAGTTTTACAACACTTCTGTGTTTAATAAGTTTACCTTACTGTCGATATCGTCGATATCGACGATATCGGAATATCATTGTTAAATCATTTTCAAGAATTGAACCCATACATCTTACTCTAAATCTAATCTTAAACAATAACAACCCTAATACATTCTTAATCATAATTTATTTTCATATTCATGCCAATTATGAATCAATTTTGATTTCACTTGTGACTTTGTAAAATTATGTAACACTCACAAAATAAATAGTGCAAATAGGATCGATATCGATACGATATCGTCATGATATTGTCGATATCGACGACATCGACACAATAGAGAGTCTCAAATATGACACCAAATATTTCAAATTAATAGTGCTGAATACGATCGATATCGATACGATATCGACATAAAATTGTCGATATCGTCGATATCGACTGAATTTCTTGGAAATGTATAAGGGGAGCGTTTGGGGAATCTGTAACGGTTCCCGTTACAATTAGCACTAGTTATTATTATTTTTCTTCTTCTTCTTTCCTGGATTTTTTGTCCGGGAATGATCTTGTAAACTGTTCCTCCGATGTAGGTAAAACCTTTTTAGGGTTAGTAGACATGTTATGTAGATTTGCAGAATCAAGGTCATTTTGCGCGCAAGTGCTTGCAAGAGCGTGCACGTGCAACACGTGAAATGACCAATATAATAGATATAGCCACAACTTTTCTTTTTTTAGATGAAATGCTTTGAAACTCATAATGTGAGGATATATTAGTAGTATAGACATGACGACATGGTGAAAATAGCAAGATCTCACGCGCATGCACGTGCACTTCGCTCTGATTGGCTGCAACTAAAGTCTCAATATCTTTCTTGTTTTTTGACGAAATCCTTTGAAATTTTGAACATAGTCATGCATTAGGATATCCTACAACATGAAATAAAGCAATTATCATGAAAACACGTGCATGCACGTGCGCTGCAATCTGATTGGCTGAAACTTTAAACAGCTATAACTCCCTTGGTTTTCAACCAAACAAGATGGGATTTGGAATATAGATAGATATAATGGACTTCTACAAGAAGGTATGGTCACCATGCACATGCATACACGTGCGTGTACATGTGTTGCGATCTGATTGGCTGAAACTTTAAACAGCTATAACTCCCTTAGTTTTCACCCAAACGTGGTGGAATTTAGAACATAGATAGATGTAATGGACTTCTACAAGAAGGTATGGTCACCATGCTCATGTATGCACGTGCGTGCACGTGAAATTAAAATCAAACATACACTTGAATGATATTTTTTAAATAATTTTGGATTAAATACTTTAATATTCAGTGTATTAAAAATATAGATTGTGTAGACAAGATGATATGGTCATGACGCAAATGCATTCACATGTTCACGCGTGCAATGCTAAAGTTTAAATGATTTTTGTACACTTCTTTGTAAATGTTGTTAAAATCTCAGATGCATAGATTCTGTCTTATTTAATGAAGCTTCAAGGGAATATGACACCAAAAGGTTTTGACTATGTGGCCACAATTAGCACTAGTTATTATTATATTTTTTTCTATTATTTTTTTTTGAATAAGCAAAGTGAAATGTACGTTAAAAGATACTGAAAGGAAAAAGTAACGCATAAGAACATCATATGCGTAAAGGTTTTGACTATGTGGCCGAAAATTATGAAAATTGGTCAGATGTGTATTTTGGTTACTTTGCACAACGTACGGGAGTGATAAAAAGTCAAAAACACGCGCATGTTGATGATGTTAATTTTGTGATCACATTTTGTAGTGCCATACGATGCATTAGAGTTATAGACACCGTTTTTGCATACATGTATTTGAAGTCAGTATAAATTTCTTGCAATCATGGTATGGCTGACGGAAGTTACATTGGGTCTAGTAATTGAATTCAATATTGCATAAGTGAATAAAAAGGCAACAACATGTTGCTGTGCAGATTGTTTTCAACTTTTCTAGCAAAAAAGTTTTTTTCGGTTGTCGGAGAGTTAAATTAAAATGTTTCCAACCAACCATGAAGCTGACTTGGTGCATAACAACGTCACATCAAGATAGGGCTTTTCATCATGCCACCTCGGTTATTGTCAAAGCATTATCACTGAAACTGATATTTATACATCAGACAATCATATTCCTTTTTTTTTTACTCTAAAATTGACAGAAACTCTCTGCTCTAATTTGGGCCGCGAACTTGGCAAGTTAACGTCGATTTTACTCTCACACGCGTCGTATGCGTAATATTTTTAGCATGTTTACACTGGGTATATGTAGCTAGTGTTTGTCAAGTCTTTTTTTACAAACATTCACATGTACCAAACCAACTGGATTCTGTACATTCTACACTAATTAAAAAATTCGTGGGATTCATTGTGCAGGGAATTTGTTGGCTTTGGAAGAATACAGCTACTTTCAACCATTAAGACTACCGCTGGAAGGGTTGAATAATAATCCTATGAAAAAGATAAATGCTCTGGTGAACTCAATGCACAGGAAAATCAAGATTTGTTACTGATGCGCAAGGGAGATTATGAGAATTTTTAGTTTTATTTTGGGGCGTGTCGACATATCAATTATCAGTCAAAATCACAGAAGATTTTGGTAGATTGTTAATTAAAGATGAATAAAAATGTTTGATAACAATGCTGGAAAACACATTCGAAATAATTGTTTTAATTTTTAAATCAAAAGTTTAATATGCGTTTCTTTTTCCTTTCAGTATACTTACATTGTTGTCCGGAGAATCAGTAAAGCTAACTGACAAAAAAACAAATATCAATATTGATCTCCTCATTGTAGAATAACAAAATAAATTAACAAATTTAATCGAGTGTTTATAGCAATACTTTGTAAAAACGCATTCTACATTTATCCGAATTCAACGTCGGTTGTTTGATATATTGCTTAGTATGATTGAGCGAAAAATCATTTTCTTTTCTTGCATCAAGAGGTTATTTAGTGTTTTGATTCGTGAAATTATTTAAGCACGCCAAAAGCTTCAAAATATTGTAATGCTTTGATTAGATATTGTTACTACAGTGAGCATTTAATCAAACTCAGTAGAGAAGTACAACATTAAATGATATGATCTTTACAGACTTTAATAATAATTTATAAAGACCATGTTTATCGTTATTCTTATTTTTTCAGAAATTCTTTTGAGGGGTATTATACAAAAACAAAAAAAAAATTCAAAAGTGCAAGAAAACATCATTTACTACAAATATCTAACTGCATGTACTTTGGACAATTGTTTTAACATTTTCAAAAAGAATGATATTCTGAAACCTTGATGGTAGGATAGACCCTCGACTTTGTCTGTGGTAACAGAACGATGAAATAGCAATCTGTGCATTATATATCGTACATTTGTACTAGTATTGCATTTCAAGCTTAAACATATAATCATTTTAAGCATGGGGAAAATGATCATCCAAAATATTTGTTCCAACCTAAAACTTCTTCTTTCATTGAAACTATAAATAAACTGAAGAGTGACAAATATTATTTTATAGGATGAAGGTGAAACAATGTTAGAGGCAGTGGTTGTGTTCCAAGTTGAACATGTCCTGGATACAGTAAGAATATTTCTTCATCTGTAAAGATTAATTTGCAAAAATACAAATATCAAAATGAACATCTTCAATTATTTGTTATACTTTTTTTCTCTTTATTGTCTAAATTGCATATTCTTTCATTTTTGAAATATAAAAATAAAACATACAATGGTCTTCAAATACAAGCAAATTTTCTTCCAGTTTTATCGTTGAAAAACAATTTGAAACTTTTGCTTTTCTCACTTTGACATTTGTTTATCGGGATAACAAATACTATAGTATTCCATTGAAATATTGTCGTATTATATACATATGCTATGTACTTTTTTTATCTCATTTTAGCATACTCTATTAAATACTCTATTAAAAGACAGGTCACTGCATTTTCTTGTAGCTTGAGAAAGTCTGTTGTGTTTCAGTTGTGCAGCAGCATAGGAAAATATTATCAACACTTTCAGTAATAAAAACACACGAATGTTGAATATATTATTTATTTTTTCTATATGTGTTCCTTGTTTAAAAGTTTTTCTAATGTCTGTTCAAGTGCTGTTCTCTCCCTTTCCATTTTTGCTAAAAGAAACATTAAAAGAGCATGTAAATATACGTTTCATAAGTTTATAAAAATCTTTTTAATTCCTTATAGATGCGAGTCTTTCTTTGCTATTTTCTATTGGCAATCAAAAATCTTATAATGAAAAAAAGTTCATATACAGTGATAAATGTCTTTTGTTTATTACCTTTTTCTGTTAAATTATATTAATTTTATAATATTTACTATAATACTAGTTAAATTAAGTTTTTGACCAGTTAAAGCAACGGCTCATAAATAATCATAATTCCATCTTGCATGTTTACAAACCTTTTCCGGATAAATTGTTTAATACATCTGTGAGAGAAAATCCTTTCTTTAGCAATAAATCTGTGTCCTCTAGTAATTTATCCACCAGCACGTCGAGAACTGAAAAGAAACAAAGGGGAATATAAAAAGTATGTTTAAATTCATGACTTTCAATCACTTTAAAATACTAAAAAAACCAAAATTAAAAAAATATTTAAATTGTATTAAAGACGAAAACTTTTTTAAATTTCTGAAGGTTAATCTTAATATATAAATGGGTTTGATCATGACAAATTATATCAATGTTTCAAATTAACCACCAGATTTAACTTAATTTTTTTTTAAAGAAATACGGTAAATTAAGCTGTCTACTATCATTTCACAAGTAAGAAAAAATTCATACATTTTATTTTAAAATTTGATCATTTTCTATATCTTCATATGGAGAATATTTGCCTTTTATAATCAAACTTTGAATAATATTTAATTAAAATGGCTGCCAAAGCACATAAGTAATGACCCAGCCTCGTTTTTTAAAGACTTTACAGAAAAATCTTTTTGTTTAAATTTCTGAAGGTGTGTTCAATCTATTTTGATATAATGTGTAGATATATAAATGTGTTTGATCATTACTTGCGATTATCTTTAATTTATTTTTAAAAACCAATGTTTCACACAAAAATTGTGAATACACTGCTTGATAACATATATTTTCTGTTAATTTATATTTCTAATTTATTGAATTCGTTTCTTTTTAAAATTTGACTTTTGAGGGGGCAAACAAGATGCAATTTGCAACTGAATTTGCTTTTCCAGTTTTTGTTTAATTATAAGAAATACTAGCTATCATACTGTGTTCTCACATTCTTCATTGGCAAGTACAATCTTAGAAGAGAGGTGCATATTTGATTTTGAGAGAAAATATTTTTAATGGAAATTTGATTTTGCTTTTCCAAGAAAATTGTTTGTTTAATCATATGAAATGGCAAATAATGCTAGTATTACATGAAGCAGTGAAAGTTTTGTCATCATTTTTTTTTTTACCCTACGCATTGTCATTATTAAAGCCCGCACTGCTTTATTGATTTGAAGCCTTCCTAAGGTTTCTGAATACATATTTCATCACGCTCCAAATGGTCTTGAAAGCCTGTTGTTAGAGGACTTGCTAAGTGATTGTAAGGTACCAGGTTTAAATCTCCGCCGTATCTCTACCCAGATTACCATATGAGCCATGATAATGGCATACCTGAATTAATATTAAGAATCTACCAGATGATGATTAAATTTTCTTTCCAGTTATTCTTGGGAAGAGTGTTTAAAATGATTTCCTGGGTTTTTTTTACGTTTCCTTGGATATCTTTTTTTTTTTAAAAATGGACATGGTCCCACATTCAAAATTGAAATTCCTTCGACCCAAGAGTACTTTATTTTAAGCTTGATTGAAATTTCTCTTGAAAGTTTATGAAGAAGAGGGAATTGTGAAATGTTTACTACATCAATGATAATAACAATGACGACAAATTTTGATAAGAAAAGATTACGTCTGCCTCCAACTCAGGTGAGTAAGAAAATGATATTAAAATAATAACTTTCTAATTATGTAAGTTAATGTTATGATATGTTATGTTATTGTAAGACAAAATAATTTTATTCTTAAAATGTTTTGTAAATATATATATTATGGGTTCCATTACTTACGATTTTCTCTAAAGGACTTTTTGCGAGTTGAAATTGTGTTTTCTGAAAGTTAAAATACAACTATTACATTTTATCAAGTGTCTTTTCTGACTCATTCTAACAAACACATTTCTATTCGCAAAGAAAAGGAAGAACTAAAGAGACAGGGCATTTTAAAAAATTCAATTGAAAATAAACAATCTTATTATTGAAAGAATCTAAAGCTTTTATAAATCTGTGTCATTATCATTTAGCTATAACTGCTCCTGTCTGGCATCTAAAATTTCTGTAACAACATTACAACTTACTACTCTCTTGAAGTCTACCAAAACCATCTTTCTCAGCTGAAAAAAAAATGCCTGGATAAATTCCTAAAGCTCTGTGTTTGGATCAAAGTTAAACAGGTAGATAATCCTTTAATTCTTAAAGTATAGTATTCAGATTCATTATTATTAAGTACTCTACTTACTTTGTTCCTTTTTAGATCTCTCAGACATAAGAGAGGCTAACTGTTTCAATCGATCTGTGTCTGAAACAGATTCCACAGGTAAAGGTCCATCTAAAAAGGTGCCTACCTGCTCTGGCACTGAAATTAATTTAAAGAGAATATGAATACCTGTTGTTTAATTTTTAATTTTCTATGTATTTGTATTATTTTATTGGATTAATTTGGACATAAAAGACTACCGATTATACTTTTTTAAAACCATTTTAAAAATCATATAAATCGATTAATGTGTTTTCGCGAGTCATACTTATGGTTTGTTTGAATTTTTGTGCATTAAAGAAATTATACCTTTCTCATTCTTAATATATTCTTTGAATGATTTTAGGCCTTCATCACTTTCCCTTATCTCATCCTTTAATGTTGCTTTTAGTTTCTGTGTATAAAAATTCAATTTTTTTTTATTTTCATATTATTTATCCAGCAATACATTTTTGAGTATATGTATATTTACATGCCGTTACAGGTGAACATTTCACATTTCCAATTCGCAGCTTTTTAGGTGATATGAAAATAATTTAATTTCACTTGTATCAAGCAATTTCATTGGCTGAATCATTCAGGAAATAAAATTTTGTATAACAATTGAATATGCAATAAATCATAATGTTTACTATCATTATCATTAAATTGATAAAATAGTATTTCAAAAATTATAACAATATTAAACCGCTTCTTAAATTTTAAATCTCTGTTTAATCTGATTGCAATGAATTTTTTGAAAATTGAAAATCACAATATTCAGAACTTTAAACTTGTTGATCTCTGTAAAACCTGGTAGCAATAAAATCTATCAAAAATTGCGTAATTTCTTCTTATTTTAAAGGACTTTTACCAGAAAAAACGAATTGCTTGTTTGAAATCACACCCCTTTTTCAGAAATTCAAAATTTATGAGTCAGCTAACCTTTAAAACGGCAATTTCTTCCGGTGATAACTGCGAAGATTTCTGAGTGCTTGCTATGTTGGACATTTTAGGTGATGTCATATCGCTTTCCTTTGCAATTGAACCGCTCTTTACAGTGACTGTAGCATCCTTTTCAATATTATCATTCTTGATTTCATTTAACTAAATTAAATAACAATTTATAAAATCTTTGTCAATAAAGAATAAAATATTAAACATATACAATGCGTGTACTATAAATGAAAGTTGATTCTCAAAAGAAAGAAATTTGGTTTATACTTACAAGATCACGAAGCGCTGATAACTGTAAAACGAACGAAACTTTAGCAATTTTATTTGAATTTTCAAGAAAAATAAACGTTACATAAAATCATAAATGTTTGACGTGTTTTCATTTATAGAAACTGAAAGATATAGAAACTTGAATTGCAATACTATACATTGTACCTATGAATCTATGTTATCCACCTAAACATTATATTTTTTCGAAATAAGAAACAGAGATGGGAGTCCTGGGCCTAATATATATCATTAAGACAAATAATATTTCTTGACTGAGAATCAAAACTGGAAAAACATCCCTCTAAGCAATATTACTATTATTCTCTCATATAACTGTTTCTCATTAAATAAAATTGATAAATTGCGAGTGCTTGCAGAACAACAACACATGTTTTTCATAAAATTATGAGTTTCTTTTATTATTATTATTATTTTATCAATTTACTAGTAACATTACATGTATTATAGATTTCAATTTACCTTTCTGTCTAAAGTATTTCCATCTAAAAAAGAATAACAAATATCTTAAATTAAAGAATATAACCATTAGAAATATTTTTTGTCTATTTAAAAAGACCTGTCATCAAAAATCTTTCTTTGAAAAATGCATCATACCTCTTTGATTACTTAGAACTGCAGCGTATGAATATCCAGAATAAAGTAGAACACAGATCACGAAAAATCTAGACATCTTTATTTTATTTCTAGTGTAATGTTTCTTCTGGCTAAAATGTCCCTGGCATCCCCTTTAGATGCGTCTTATATCACACCTAAATTTTAAATGACGTAAAACAGGCTAAATCCCCAAAATACACAAGAGAGAGAGAGAGGTCACCAAAGCCCACACCCACTTCCGCTGTTATCGGTTTATTACTACCCTGGTGTGCTAATGGGTGTTATATCTAACAAAGAAATAATTGGGGAACACCCCATCCAGCTTCCTTTTATTTTCTTGTTCAAACAGTTGATACCACGATCCTTTGTTCTACTTTCACATTTTCTAATATTTTGATTTTATTATACGTTACAACAATTTAAAATATACTTATGGACTGTACTTTTCAGGATCAAAAAAATACTGTATCCGGAAATCTCTTTCACCTTTAGGGATCTACGACTTGTAATCAAAGCATTTCATAATGTTTACATGTCTTACATATTTGAAATGTTCTAGTATTGATTTTGAATTATTTCCTATCTGCTAAGAGAATGATAATACCCACTCCTAAGACATCATGATGCACATATTTCAAGCGTCATGTCCTATCCGTAGTTTTTCTTATTTACCTCGTCGACACAGGTATGCCGGGGAAGTGTTTGTTTTAATGGCACCCACAGTTATCGTAGCAATAAATTATTTTTTGAATTCTTTTATAAAGGGAAGTAAGCTTCCCTTCTTCTCATGTGATTTTCGTAAGTGGTTTTCAAGTACTGAAACTATCTGATTAATTATTTTCAGAAAGCCTACAAAAGAAATTTTAAAATGCCTTTTAAGACACCTTTAATGGTCTCCATAAAAGGGTATTCTTTAAATGATACATAAACATATAGAGACTTTTAAAAGAAAAATAGAATTTATTTCATATATGTAGAAAAGCATTAATCAAACAAAGCTTATACATAACATGAACATGAAAAATTAATAATAGCACATGAAAATCATGTTTGTTACTTTGTATTGTTTTACTTTGAAAAAATAAAACATGTAAAATATATAATTGGTATTTTGTTGTATTTAAAAAAAAAATAACATCTTAAAATTATAAAAATATTTTTCAGGAAAAGGTGTTAAACACTGTTTGTACTCCGCGAACGGTATTTCAGCTGAAGTCGCTTCTTCAATGCTTTTTGGTCTTCAATAAAAGCGAGTTGTTTCAGTTTGTGTTCAACTATGTCTCCATTCTGCAAAATGAATGTTCGCTAAATATCAATATATGCATATCTATTTATATGTTTAATGAATATCAGGACATAGAACATGTATTAGCATACAAGTACTTAGCTATATTTTAAAGTGTTGAAAGTTTATTATTTTACCAGCTCAACACCATTTATTGCATTTTTTTAATGTACAAAAACAATTATCTATATTCCACGTCTTTGTACTATCTAAGGTTATCTTTGTATACTGCAGTACCTTGTCATATGATTTGATAGACTTTGTTGGAAACGAAAAGCTCAGTATCGTTTTTCTCTTTTTACTGTATTTTTGCAGATCCTTGGAAGTAAAGGCCGTGAATTCTACGTTCTTATCACCAATGTACCGGCTGTTGAGCAAAATGTCGTTGAAAGGTTGATGATGCTAAATAATTTCAAAAAGCGCTTTAATGCCCAAATACAATAACTACTGATACCAAGGTAATAAAAAGTAACATCTTAAATGTTTATTGGTCCTTCAAGTCTCTTTACTTGAAATTTAATCTACATAAAGCTGCAGTGAATTCGGTATTCCTTTCTATAATTTATATAATTTTCACACCAAGGGTCAATCAACGCATTAAATCATACTTACTGTGACTGGCACATTCCTTTTCGAACATCTGCGGTAGAATATTACAAATACTAGTAAGAGTAAGATCACTGCTGCCGCTAAAGAACCTCCGATTATCACAAAAGTCATTTTTTGGTTCCCACTAAAATAGATTTTTGCACATATTTGGCAGTCATGTAGTCCGAAATATCTGACGTTTTCCAGGTTTTCTTCACTATTTTGATATTTTACGTGCCAGGAATATCAGAATCGTGAAAAAGAAAACTGGAAAACGTCAGATATTTCGGACAAGTAGCCATGTAGTGTGCATATTCAGCCTTACTACTCCTTTTGCTTCTTGAATAAGATATGCATCTATTAATATATTTAATCGAAAGATTTTCTCTTTAAAACTTTAATCATTTGTGTTGACATTTACAATCTACCCAATTTCTCAATTCTAATATCTTCGAATTGTGCTGTTTTTGTCCACTTACTATGCTTTTGAATTTGTAGAGGTTTGAACTGTCAAGTTTGTTTTTAGACAAACAATCCCAAGTTCTGCAGACCTGTTTATGGTGCAGACTGAATTGTTACCGCAATATCCGTGGACCAAAGCACAAGGGGACGTTATCTCTTGGTTATCTACAAAGTAGCAGCAACTTTCTTCCATCTTATCTCTTGATTTTATTATAATTAGACTTAATAGGATTTTGAAGCATGTGAAAAATCATTTATTTATTTTAAAGAAATTTAAAAAACTTACAAAACGTTTTCTCTGCACAAAATTTTGATAGCTTCTTGCAGTCTAATTTCCAGTTATCAAAAGTTATACAGTTTTTTGATAGATTTTTAGAGACAGTTTCGTTGATACATCCTCTGAGATGGAATTCCACATCAGATTTCATTTTTGTCAAAAGCTTAGGCACACTGAACATTAAGGTAAGTAACACAATCATAGAATTATATTCTCTGAAACGAAATAAGAAACAATCTTATAATTTTAAACATCATTATATTTCCATAACTATGTCCTTTGTATATTGAATGCCGCATATTTATCGAATTCCCAGCAAATGTTTCAAATATAGCTGAGTTAATGATACTTACGTTCTTGTCACGTTCTTGATCAGATCAAGTTCAAGATCAACAAGAATACCAGAGGGGTTGTTGAAAATGGCAAACAGCTGAAATAGGAATGTTTATATGATAAAGAGAGAGGAAATAGAGGTAAAGATGCCGGCAGATTAATTCTTATTTAAAAATATGCTCATTTTCCAAAAGAAAAATTGCTTCTTCAAACGTGTTGTACTGCCTATATATATATTAACTGTATGGTGCACTTAACACATTTCTGTTTCATATTTTGGTGATTTTTTAATGACATATGTAAATGATACAATAGTAATAACCATACACACATACCTATATTGTCTCTTACCTTATCATGTAAGGACGAAAGCATATCACTGGGGGAGGAATCACGGAGACTTCTTTTTCTGCTCCTGAACTCCAGGTTTACAGAAATATTATGCAAGACATTTTCTGAAAAATGGATTGTATAATATCATCATATGCTTAATTCTCAACTCGTGGTATGTAAAAAAAACCTAATAAAATGTTTTTTATTGTTTGATAGTGAGTTATAGTGGGCATTCTATTTTGTGTTCTAATATTATTGATAACAGAAACATTTCTTTTTCTTTTACATAATGATGAAAAGAAGAACAATTAATTATATATGTATTGATGTTTCATATTTAATTTAAATTCAACTAAATAAGAATTACCTATACTACTTTCATTAATCTCAAGGTGATGATGTGATAAGGATATACTTGCTTCTGTTGTCAGTTTGTGCGTTTGTTCAAAGCGAAGAAATGAGGATGATTTTGACGTTTCTGTAGATAAAACTTCTGACTTAGCATTGTTATTTGTGAACGGTGAAACCGTTGATGTCAAATGTTTTCTTAAAGTCGTGGTTGACTTAAAAAGAGACCCTAATGTTGATGATGTTTTTGGTGGTGGTGGTGATGTCGATGATGTTGATGATGACAATGACGATGTTGATGGTCTCAACTTGTCTTTAAATGACGTGTTCATCGATGCTTGAAGTGACGAAGTCGATGCTTTTGTTGAACTAAATTCCATTATTGTTTCAAATGTGAAAGGAGTCGTGTCGGACCTCGCATTTTGCGTTGAATGTGTAAGATCAAGATTGTCTGTTATTTTACTTAATTCTGTCTTTTCTGAAAAGGGACTTAAAGTCAAATTCTGAGTTGACTTCACTACATTTTCTGTTAGTTCATGTATTGATTGAATTGTACTAGCTTGAGATTCTGTGCTTCCTTCAATGAATTTAGTGTTTGTCACCAAAGGTCTCGTAGAATAGCTCTTTTCTTGTGTTGAAGTAAAATCATACTTCTTTGACGTTGTTTTATGTATGTCTGCTTCTGGTTAAGAAGAAAAGAATTCATTCGTTACAGCAATATTTTTAGAACAAAGGTATTAAAAAAAATTAACCGATCCTTTAAAATTTATTACTTACCAGTTCTTTCAACTTTGATTCGAAATCCACGTCCCTGCCTTTTGAAATCAGACACAAATCCAATACTCAAATTCTTATTCCGAGTAGTCACTTTCGTCGGTCTATCAGTAACTCCACATTTTCTATAGGATTCCCCAAGAGAAACAGCCAAATAGTCACTACTACACGATAAGCTGCTCTCTATGTCCATATCCACTATTGTAATCGTCATATTATCTGCTTTCGGGTTAACTATTTCCCATACACAACTGACACCAGGAGGGTAGGGCCCAGGGTATCCAGGGGACACTATTTCTACTTCTGATTCTGATAATTTAATCCTCCTGTGACACGCTTAAAATACAAATTTCTTTATTCTAATTATAAGGAAAACTAAAAATATTTTTAAAGTCGATTATCTTTTATGATCATAATAAAAAAGTCATAACTTTAAAATTTGTATGTGAATTATTAATTACTTACGTGCCCTAAAATATAATTCTTTGCTTTCTTCTCCTTTTATTTCACTTATGTTGGCGTATATAGAAATCATGAGAAGCTGTCCTTTGAAGTTTCGAGTATCAATGCTAAACCATGTAGTTCTGGAAGAGAGCACGATTTCTCTCTGGTAATTTGTAAGGCGATATTTTAGAGTGTATGATGTCAAGGGTAAATAATGTCCACCTGGAGGTAACCATTTGATAAACACGCCGTTTGTGGTTGATGTCATCGTAATATTTACTGGAGGTCCAGGTGCTTTAACTAAAAGGTATCAAAATAGTTTATTACTTTGGCATATTTGGTGAATTCTGAATCATGAAATCGATTTACTAAATATCGTAATGACACCATCTTTAAAGTATGAAATCATACTAATCAATTTCGTTAGACATTATTACAAGTAATGAGTACTAGTGCATGTAATTTATAAGCTTACTAGTATATTCCTACCTTTTGTTGTAATCAACATTTGAAATCCTGTGATGTTTAGACTCTTTACTCCACTAGAAAATAAAACTGTTTCCATTGAACTGCCGAATAAGTCTGAACTATTTCTGCAAATCTTATGTAAATTGTCACCTATTGATATGAAAGCATCTGTGCAAAGGGAATGATCTGTTGAATTGTTTTCTCCTATATCAACATGGAGGAAATGAAAATGCAGTGAATGCGTTTCTGCTGTTATAATATCCCATTGACAGTGCACTCCCCTTGCTACTTGACTTGGGAAACCTGGAGAAGAAATCATCTTCTTTGATCCTGGTTCCATTGTGATTTTCCTTCCACAGGCTACAAAAATAATGAAAAAATGTATTGCCTCTTCAAGTTATTTAACTTAAAACAAAGGGAAAGTGATGTAACTTGTTTTGTTGTATATTTGCCGTTTAAATTCATTGCAATTTAAGTAGAAAATACTGACGTTTTCGTATATAGAAAGGTCTGGAAGGTTTGCTCAGGCCATCTTTGTTCTCAGCTGCCACTGTTATAAGGAACATTCTTCCAGCATGTAAAGATGCATCTGTAACGGAAAGGAAAAGTACGAATGTTTTCAACCAAAGTTTCATAATTCAAACATTTTAAGTATCGCCCCACACTCACCTATGATTGTCATAGGTATATTTGATCTGTATATGGTGTGATTCGCTTCCGGTAAAATGGTCGCTAGTAGCACGTAATCGGTGATCTTTCCGTAGGTTTGTGAAGGTACATCCCAAGTGACAATAAACGAGTTTTCTCTGTTCACAACATTGACGTTCATTGGTGGGGAAGGTGGAGAGCAAACTGTCGTAAACAATAAACAATTCTAATTTTTTTTTAATAACTTCTTAATGTATATGATACGTATGATTTTAAAAAATATTCTATTCAGAATTTCGTACTGAAAATCATGTTATTTTTATACGTGAATTGAATTCATAGATATGGTTTTTCAAAGTCAAAGAGCTCTCTCTCTCTCTCTCTCTCTCTCTCTCTCTCTCTCTCTCTCATTTAAAGACTACAACAATAATTTTCAGCGTATATGTATTTATGTTTATAGAAGATACATTATATACAGATAGTTTACAAAAACATTAATTATAAATAGATATTTGGATATCAATCCGTATTTATTTTCTCGATATTTGGTATATTAGTACGTTAAAATAGACTTGAATCATAGATTACTTAAAAGAATTTGAAAATGAAAAAGAGAGAAGCGTAAATTAAGTTGTCGCAAAGTAAGCCTTAATAGGAAAAAACAGTTGCTTCTGTATGAGACTATCTTTATTTTCTTCATTGCACTTTGGAAGTCTGAGACAATATTGAATTTTGTAGACAGGATAATCTCAGCTCATTGTTGATTAAGAAAACTAGTTAGTACTCTTAAATATTTGTAATTAAAAATGCATTTTCAAATAAAACTTTAAAATAGATTTCTGTAAGATCATCATTGATTTCTTGGGGACTAATGCTCGTGAATTCAATTGTTTTACTTACACACAGATTAACATCCCGAGAATATATAATTTCATGAAACATATGGAGATAACGAACAGTATTCAAGATCAAAAGTCCATATAACAATCGAAATATGAGCAGAGGAAATTTTCTTAAAATACGTGTTATCCACGAAACAAACACTCATGGACTAAATTCAATTTTTATTGCTAACAACATTAATTGACCCTAACGAATTAAAATGACGTCAAGTCAGTACTACATGGAGTTAAAAGTTCCTGGTCAGTTTTTATAGATACTGCAGAACCATTCTAGTTTCGTGGGTCGGTTTTTTTTTTGGCATTTGTTTAAAATTTTACCAGTTTGTGATTTTATGGTAACTTGTAAATACAAAGCAGAGATACGATGATAAAGCCTTTGTCCTAAGGATAGTCCATGAGATCAAAGAACAATGGTCTATTACGAATATTGATGAATTCACATTAGTATATAAAATCACGTATTAAAAATTGAATTGTTGTAATTTTTAAAACTTACCTGCAAAGTTAATCAATTTAACGGCAAAGAAGAGGATGAGCCAGCTCATTTTCGCGACATTTAATTTTCATCCTCAATCAGTAAATTCCAAATAGATAATAGTTCCAATACTCCCTTTACGTGATATTTTGAATGACCTGTCAAACATTGTGTCAACTAGAAACTTTTCTCACCACCCTTCTTCACAGTTAGAACATTTTCTAACTATCATATATTTCGTAACATCGGGCAGGTGCGCGTTATCCGGAAATGATAAGTGCAAGATAATATGGACCTGTATTCATCCATCTCAACGAGATTTTCCGAATGGTCAAAGTAATGTTATCATTGACAAACAATATCTCAGCTGACCATCCTCCCACAGTGGTCAGATTTATTTTCAAAACTATCAGCCATGTTTCCTGTTATAGAGGACTTCACACAGTTCGCTATGGTTTGGTACTATTACACAATAGTTTTCTTCTCTTTATTGATAATATTCTCAGTTCAAGATATCACTTGCCATATTTGATATAAATTACTGACAATGAAAGACAAAAATGCATGTTCACAGATAAAACATTCGATGGGTACAAACATTTTCTTTACTTAAGTGCAGTTGTAATGAACACTGAAATGAAAGTTACAAGATCCATGATGTAAACTATATTATAATAATAGCAAAATGGTCCTTGAATAAATTGGTATTTACTTGACCTTAATTATTATCATTACGCATGCACAGTTAGATAGTTCGATAATTCTATAAAATTATAGTTTCAAATTGCTTAATATTCATATCAACTTCCTAAAATGATACTTAAATGTATTTTTCTTGTAAATTTCTATACTCATCTGAATATGCTTGGAAGTGACAACTTATTTTGTTTAGAAAAAGAAAGATTATTTTGGTACCTGAAATTCTTACTCTAACACATATATTGTACATAAATACACATATACATGTATAAATACATGTATATTTTGATTTAACAATTTTATTTTTCATATTTGTTGTTGTGTGTTGAAGGATGCATGTAAATCAACGCTGCTGTTCGGATGCAGAGAAGAATCTATTGTAGTCTGTCTTTCCTCACCCGTCTGTTACACAGTGTCAGTGGGGGAATCACCAAGTTTTCTTATTTCACAGTTTATCGACGCCGTTGAGACGGAAGTTGTACAGTCTATGACGTCATTACTGTTCTGAGTTTCATTATTGTTTGCTGAATTCGGAAAGGTAGCGGAACTTTCGCTGGATATGGAAAATACTGCCGAACCCGTACTCTCTGGTAAATTATTCATTGCTTGCCTTTCTTGTTCCATTTTCATGGCGGAGTCATATGAAGGGAGATAATTCACATTTGTCTTTGAGTATTTTCCAGGATATGGCGGTGGTGGATCGTCGTATCCAAAACAGGAAATGGAGGATATCGAACGATCTACAACACGGATCAAATATCTAGTAAGCTTTATTTTTTAAAAGCTAATAACAAATTAAGTTATTTTCATTGGTTATGATTTTATTTTCTGTAGTCTCAAGTAAGAGCTAGGACGTGTGTTTATTTGGTGATATTCAACAGATTCTTTGAAAACTGTGATATAATCTTCAGACTTAAGAAGCCTTTGCATTCTGGTGCCCTCCGTTCCTGACCTTTCACCAGAGAGTTTATTGAAAAGCACCCTGAGGAGCATTATTATCACAATGGCTCCAAAACCAGCCAGGACGGAAAGAATCACGGGATCCGCCATTACGTCAGTCTGGTATCCTAGCAACGAAAAGATTTAATGCAAAATTATCATGCTAATTTGAAAATTCAAAAAGTAGATTACAACTCAAACTTATTAACATCAAGTTAGATAAAGGCTGAAAATCCTTGAAACCCACAATTTAGGAATCAGTCAGCACTACAATGCTGTACGGGTACATGTTAACATTTTTGAAAGAAAACAATACACTGTATATACATATATTAGCACATACATTGGTTCACAATCATGATTTTGAATTTTTATCAAATGCAACATTTATGCTTTTAGATAGATATAACTGAATCAGTGGTCAGAACAACAGATCTACTCACGGTACTTATCGGGAATTACAGCTGTAACATGACTGGACACGAGAAACATAGTTGTATTATCTCTAGGCATCAACGATTCTGAATCAGTAAATGAATAAGTTTATGGAACCAGAAATCCATTCAATAAAACCAATAAGGCCATCGATTCAATCATTATTTGTATAATATACTTATATCACTTACCTGTGCTGATATTTGCCATCTTATATAATTCGTACACTTAAACTGTACTATTCTGGGTACAGAGTTAAAACACAAGGACAAAGAGTCAGCTAGTTGAGTAAGACAAATACATATAAACTAAAAAGAAAAGACAAAAAAATTAAGAAATGGAAGCTGTGATTTGCTTACTGTATAATATAAGAATAAGAAATATTTCAATGTTTAATATTTAAATGTGTACAAAAAATGAAAGTAATATACTCAAGGTAAAAATACAAACATGTATATTCTGTTTTTGACAATTTTCCAATATGTTCTCCGAATGGCAAATTTTTCATACTTTGTATTTTTCGTAGCAAAATGGTTCCATTATCTATGTTACAAATATGTATAATGTCAACTGAGTATTCACTCTTTGAACCAAAACATATATACCGGGTATACGGTATTAAAAATAAACTGAAATCAAAATCAACTCAAGTTCTGGTTTCTGGACATAATGTATAATAAATCTTACCTTGGTCCGTTGTTTAATGTAGACACTTCTTTTTATACCATGATGCAAATGTAGAGTTGAACAGTTGTCAATATAAATGCACCAAATAAATTACTCAATTCAAACTTCTAAAAATAGGGAGAATTTTAAACTGAGAGTCACAAGATGTTTCTGGTTACCACTCCCTCATTCGGGGTATATCCCCAAAACGTGTCGACATAAGTAAGCACTTCACATTGTTTTGTTTTCCCAAACAAGAAGTGATATATTATGAAGAATAATGCACCCTAATGCAATTCCAGTGTAGAACAAGCTTTGTTTTCGTCTGTGGCCAAGTATGTGTGACCAATTTTCTGCTCCAGTGCCAGTCACCGAAGATTTATTCAACAATTCCAATTACAGTATACGTACGTGTGAATTATGCAATTCGCGCTCCGTGCTGAAAGGAGGACAACTGATAAATTTCGATTGGCCTGCACAACTCAATACAATATACACTGCTTAAGCCTTTGTCATCAATTAGAATGGTCTACTATTAAAAGGCTTGCCGTGAATCTGCATAAAATGAATAGATTTTAGAAAAAATCAATGTATATGTTTACTGTTTATACATTCTTTCTCTGAAAATGTTGATGAATATTTACCTGTAAGAGAAATCACAGAATCTAAGCTGAATATAATGTTTAAAATTTTAATTATTTAAAGTGTTATGAATTAAGAATTTAAGAGGTGTAGATTTACATTAAAGCCTTGTAAATTTAGTGAAAATAAGGGCCCGAAGTCAAACAAATTATAACACAAAGTATTTTGATATTAATAAAATCTTACATGTACAAAATATCTGGCATGACTATGTCACTGTTAGCCCTGTCCGTCTGTCTATGTGTCTGTTTATCTACTTGTCCGAAAAACTTGTACCTTTTCAATAATTTTTGATTGGATGGAGCTATGGTTTTCAGGTGCATTTCTTGGGAAAGATATTTACATGCATTTGAATACCTTTTGACGTTGACCTGGGAATGTGGCAACCTTTATTTAGAACTATCAAATTTTAACCTTAGCAAAAACTTTTAAATAGTTGGATATATGATTTACATACTTTTCAAATATATTAATTGCGACAAGGCTGTTCTTTGGGTATGAAAAAATCATAAATGGACCCAATTTTAAAAGCACTTTAACCTTGGTCATGACTTTTCAACGGTTGGTGCCTTGGCTTTCATACCTCAAATGCATATTCATTGAGACTAGTGCATTTTGGGTAGGGACATTTTTGATTTTGACTTTGGAGTTTGACTTGCGTTTGAGAAACTACCTTCGTCATTAGTTGACACATGGGTGCATCAGTGTTTCGCGAAGCCAAAGAACCAACCGTTCAAAGGTTATGGCAAAGGCTTTTTTTTTTTAAAATTGGACCAAACTCCAAGCTCAATGTCAAAAGTTCAAAATAAAAGTACCAAAGGGAAAGTTTTGTCACAACAATTAATACAAGTGAAATCTATAAATGTCACATACATGGCATCAAAAAATTCAAAGGTTTTTTAAAGTCAAATTCCAAGGTTAAAGTCAAAATTGTCACGGGAAATACATCTATGAACTATAAAAAGCTAGTTCTAACTGTTTAAAAGCTATGGCCAAGGTTAATTCTAATTTTGAAATTGCTAAAACTCTTATATACCTGAAAACTATGAAAGAACTATCACCGACTGTTAAAAAGATATGGCCAAGGTAAAAAAAACAGATTTTATTTTTTACAAAAGTCAAACTTTTAAGTCAAGGTAAAAAAACTCAAATATGTTAATACCCAAAGAAAGGTCTTGTCACAAGTAATACATAAAAAACCCAGAAATTAAAAAAAATCCATACATGTACGTTTAGGGGGACGTAAAAATTACGTATAAAAATGATGGAACTATTTGAAAAATAAATAACGAGATAATCAATTCCTTTTGTTTATTCTGTATCCCGATGTTTCCCAATTGTAACCTATATAATGCAAATAATTTAAGTAAAAGCATTAGATTAACGTTGGTAGGTTCTTTTTTTTTTTTTTTTAAATATTTCTTGTATAAAATGATTGCAATAATTATAAATTCTCTTCATCACTTGAACTTCTAGGATTTAACGTTAATCCATCAACATTTATAGATGTCTGGCGTGACGAACCTCCTTCACTAGGTACCTGCTGATCACCTGTTATTGTTCTAAGTTCACGTTCTTGATTTGTCAAAAGTTCATGGCTCACTTGGATAGAGACAGAATCATTTTCTGTTTCCGCGGTGCCTATATGATCACTGTAATCTAAATATTCACTTTCATCAAAACCAGAAAATTCCGCAGGTGGAGTCATTTCATTGATATTGCACATTCGCAACTCGGGAGCCATTTTGATTGCGGAGTCATATGAAGGGAGATAATTGATGTTGGTTTTGGAATATTTCCCTGGATATGGCGGAGGGTCGTCAGAAAATGGCGTCGATGAAGGCGAGGCTGCTGGTTCGCTCTCTTGATCTGTAAAATTATACTGACCACATACAATTTTTAATAAAGAAGACGCTTAACGAGTTAGCATAATCTAAGAAGTACTGGCGAAAGAAAAGCACCTATTTTTTAAAACCCATGATGGCTTAAAAATCATGTTTTAATATTTTCAATCTGATCTCTTTTTCATGTACATGTACCAGGATCTAAGTCCTTTCTGTTCAACCATAGCCTACAAATCCTGAATGTTATTGGAAAATCTGTATCTAACATTGGATGTCTCTCTTTTCTTCATCTAAACCATTGGTCCTCCGTGGTATATTATTTGTTTTGGTGACTTTTACTGTAATCTCACCTTTAGTTTTGTTACCTTCACTTGTTAGTTTCAAATGTTTCTTCGTGCTATATATTTTGTTTAGTGGTTTTCTTTCCTTAACTCCTAATTTGTATTGTTTTGATGGCCTTCACATGATTACTGTTCCTTGTCCTCATATATATGTCATTCTAATCAAATATTGCTTTTTTTTATCTTAATTTGTAGTTTTGAAATTGTACTCGATGCTGTATATCATTTTTTTTTTTGCCTTTAATCTAATCTCAGGTTTGTTTTTCGTAGCCTTCATTTGTAGTTTCTCTTTGAACTGTATTGTCATCGAGAGAACGATTATGGGCATTTATGCCTGATTTTAATCGGTTTCATAAATTTGAATAAAATATATTTTAAAGCAACTATATTATCTAATTCTTTACGCTTTTAATTTGTTTTCTCACCTCCACTCCTTCTTCGTCTGATAGGATGGTGGCCGTGCTGCCGGTCCTTTATCCTAGTGATGATTTCCCTCACTAGAAACAAAAGTCCAAAGAAAAGGATCACTCCTGTAATAGCCATAAAGACAGGGTCCTCCATTATAAAAAGCTTGGGTTCTGAAATTCCAAAAGGTTGTAGTTTGTATCTCTTTCACACCATTGAATTTCATAGAAGTTGGCGTGTTGCATTCAAGATTACATAGTTTTCATACTGTACGCCATATGTTAAAAATAACAAGAGGCCCACGGGCCTTATAGGTCACCTGAGCATTCTGCAACAACTTTCCAGTTATTGAATTTGATTCATGTTTTAAGCCAGATGCTATATGGCATTCACAATTTTGAAAGAGGCACCATTGATCATCATAACAATACACTTAGCAGTTGCTTAGCTTGGTTTATTGATTTAAATATGCAATAATAAGTTCATAGGATCTTCATGAACGTTTCATGTTTCATGAATAAAATTCATGAAAAATTCAAGGTAATTCATGAATTATTCATGATCACCTCGCAGGGGTATTACCCATACACAAGGTAGGGGAAAAAAAATGCATTCCAACTAATCAGTAATATTCAGCAATAATCAGTAATGCCCCTAACACTGTGAAATAAACCCCTGACCCTAGGTCCACACATTGCACAAATTTTAAAAAGGCCTTTTAAAATTGCCTATCAAAAAATAAATAAATGTTTTATAAATACAAAGGAGCAGATTTCAAACAATTAATTCATTTTCAGTATATAAGTAGAGCCCCACATCCACCCCTGACCCTGGGGCCTTGAAATTCAAAATTTTGCAAGATTAGGGCCCTTGCTCATCATAACTATTTAGGTAGTTCATCTGCTTCATACCCAGAGACAGAGAAGAAAATTTTCAAAGATTTAATGTATATTCACTATATAATCAATAGAGCCCCCCCCCCCCCCACCCCCACACACCAGAACCCCTGACCATGGGACCATAAAATTCACATTTTGGTAGAGGCACTCTTGCTAATCATAACTATGTACTTAGTTAGTTTATTTAATACCTAGGAGCAGAGAAGAAGATTTCAAAGAATTTATGTATTTTTACTATATAATCAATAGAGCCCCACCCTAACACCAGAACCCCTGACCCTGGGACCATAAAATTCACAATTTTGGTAAAAGCACTCTTGCTCATCTTAACTATGCACTTCAGTTTATTTAATACCTAGGAGCAGAGAAGAAGATTTTCAAAGAATAAAAATATAATCTAAAGCCCCCCCCCCCCAACACCAGAAGCCTTGACCCAGGGACCATAAAATTATTCACAATTTTGGTAGAGGCACTCTTGCTCATCATAACTATGCACTTAGTTAGTTTATTAATACCTAGGAGCATAATTTTCAAAGAATTTGTGTATTTTCACTATATAATCAATAGAGCCCCCCCCCCCCTTCTTGGCCCTGGGGCCATAAAATTCACAATTTTGGTAAGGCACTCATATCATAACTTGCACTTAGTTAGTTTATTTAATACCTAGGAGCATAGAAGGAGATTTTCAAAGAATTTGTGTATTTTCACTATATAATCAATAGAGCCCCCCCCCCCCTAACACCAGAACTCTTGGCCCTGGGGCCATAAAATTCACAATTTTGATAGAGGCACTCATGCTCATCATAACTATGCACTTAGTTAATTTATGTAATACCCAGGAGCAGAGAATAAGATTTTCAAAGAATTCATGTATTTTTACTATATAATCTTGTATAACCCCCCCCCCTCTGACCCTGGGGCCATAAAATTCACAATTTTTATAGAGGCACTCATGCTCATCATAACTATGCACTTAGTTAATTCATTTAATATCTAGGAGCAGAGAAGAAGATTTTCAAAGAATTCATGTATTTTTACTATATAATCTATAAAGCCCCCCCCCCTACCAAAACCCCTGACCCTGGGGCCATAAAATTCACAGTTTTGATAAAGGCACTCTTGCTCATCATAACTATGCACTTAGTTAGTTTATTTAATACCCAAGGGCAGAGAAGAAGATTTTCAAAGAAATCATGTATTTTCAATGTATATAATCAAGAGAGCCCCGCCCTAACACCAGAACCCCTGACCCTGGGACCATAAAATTCACAATTTTGGTAGAAGCACTCTTGCTCATCATAACTAACTACTTAGTTGGTTTATTTAATACCCAGGAGCAGAGAAGAAGATTTTCAAAGAAATAATGCATTATCACTACCTACTTATTTAGCCCTGCCCTAGCACTAGAACCCCTGACCCCAGGGCCATGAATTTCACAATTTTGGTAGAGGACTCAATGCTGATTACAATCATGCAAACAGTTTGACTGCTTGATGTCCAGGAGTAAAGAAGAAGATTTTCAAAGATTGCATTAATTTTAGTGGTTTTGGCCCCACCCCTCAGGCCCCAGGGGGGCAGGGATAATGAAATTCACAATTTTTGTTCCCTTTCACCCATAGATGCTTTGTGCCAAATTTGGTTGAAATTGGTTCAGTGGTTGCAGAGAAGAAGCTGAAAATGTTCAAAAGTTTACGAACGACGTACGACGTACGACGTACGACGACGGACGAAAACAGATAGCAATAGGTCACCTGAGTTTACTCAGGTGACCTAAAAATTAGAAAGTTCATTGTTTATGTCTTTGAGCAGATGAGCAAGCATGAGGGTTTTGACCAAACAAAGTACTCAGTAGGATAATAATGTTTGTGATCTCAGTGATTTAATCCCATATTCCTTTCCTGCTTTCCTAAATTCATCAAATTATTTCTCCTTTCCCATTTTTACCTTTTATGTTCGTTATGATAATTCGACTCATTCCATGTCCTGGCAAAGAAGGATGGAGGTCTTCTTCAAAAATGAAAAGAAAAAATAATAAATGAAACTGAGAATTTCTTTGCTGCGATGCTCTACATTTCCTGCAAAATCTGAACTACACGATTTAATTGTGCTTTTTTTGTCGTTTAGAAAAGTAATTTTATTCAGCACTCATGGTTCCCCATGTTACATTCATACCTGTACCATTTGAATCCATCTGTATTCTACATCAGCTGCAAATAATAAAAATTATAAAGATGAAATCCATTTCATGTCTTTGTAATAATTATGGATTATATTAATAATCATGTTATACAAAATACCTTGGTATTATGAACAATTAACATTTAGAAATTGTGAAATTAAAACCTTTCTAAAATTTTCTGTTGGTTTTTTGTTTCTTCCCATTTTGAACGCCTAATAAAAGTGTATACAAATATACAGTTCAAGGGTATTTTTAGAACTTGTATAACTCTGTAACTTTAAGCTCTACCCAGCGGCAAACTGTCCAGAATTCTCGGACATATTCGTTTTCAAATTTATCTTTTAAACACGTTAAACTTGTACTTCTAATTGCTCTTCTTCACAAAGAAAGTTCACTTACCGTTGTAAAATCTGTACAGCGCGTCCATAAATATGTCGTCACGAGACGAGAGTCCTTAGGTATTGTAAATTCTTTGTTGACATTCTTCTGCACTTACAGTACTTAAACTACTATCTTTTGTCAGTCTAAGTTAAACATCCCTCTACAATCAATCGCGAAGTCGTTCTTTATTTCAAAGTCACGATTAGCTGAACACAGAGTCATGTATTTTGATTGTTGTTTATAATTTGTTATCACCGCTCCACGTCGCTTGTCACTTCACTTTCAAAACACTTATAATACACTTGATATATTCGTAAATTATGTAATCTGGACAGATGTTCGGTGCTTTTGTGGAAAATATTTGCTCATGACGCTTCCTTTTCCAACAATAAACATAGGTCTACATTGTCTGTTTATTTGAACCTTGCTCAAGTGTTGTGACACAAACTTATATCTAGGTTACTTCGTCATTCCACATAAAGTTCATAGGTGAATGTACATCGTAGAGCTTCGTTAAGCACTTTTTTAAAATTTCCAGAGGTTTCCTTAATCTAAAACCCAATATCCGTGCATCACTTCCTTATTTTTGCTTGTCTCATAATCTTATCATGCTGCGTCTTTCTAAAAACTATATGTGTCAAGGTATCTATGAAATTATTCTCTATTGAGAAATTTATGGCTGTTTTAATATACTCCCTCTAATCAAGCCATCAGTCTCTCAATCCAGAATACTATGGAATGAAATACTAGTAACTTTTAAGAATATAATATACATCTCTGAAAATCCTGTGGATAAGTTTTTATTATAAAGATAATGTAACTCGATTTACTGAAAAAAAAACAATCATATTCCTCACCTGACAAGGGAAATTATCAATACCTTTTTTGAGAAAAGAAATACATACCTATTTATCAATGAATACCATGTTCTGTGACCTTGCACAAGCTCTCACCAGTAAACTAATATTTGAAAGATTTTTGTTCAGTTTGAACGTAAAAATGAAATAACGAAAAAAATATCTTAAGTTTTATCTCAACAATCGAAGACATCTTTGTCAGCAATTTTCTGTAATCAGTTCACAATGTAGGTCTTTGATTTCCTTAATATATACGATTATCAAATCTCATTTAAACAAGGTCGGCGACCGTTGATAATTTTGGCTACCGTGTAAATGATCTTTCAATACGCTCTTAACCATAAAGCCATGATCTCCAGTCTCTCGTGTCTTCTAACCAACTAGTCTTTCAAAGATCGTAAAAATGCATGGTTTTGCCTACACAGTTTGTAAAACATTTGGTCGATATAAAATTCATTCGATCTTTTGTGATCTTAATATGCGGTCTAAACGCGCAAAGAAAGTTCACTAAAATATTATTAAAAGATTAATGGTTGCACTGCTTTCTGTAAAGTAACCTTCGAGGGTTCGCTAAATGTCTCTTTTGTGACCATTTGAGATCATTGTCAGGTCTATGAAGATTACCAAAAAATCAAATGGTACCAAGAGTGATCAGTGAAAGACTAAAGGAGACAACCAAGAGACAAGTTTTGTCCTTTTTTTGATAATATGCCTTGAAAGGTGTGAAATCCTTGAACGATCTCCTTGGTCATGCAATGATCTTTTTTGATCCATTTGACATCAATATGCAGTGTACATAACTTAAAGATCTCGATTACCTGTACGCATAGTATTCACTCTGTAAATTCTTAAAATTAATGCTCCAGGAAGAGATATATAGGAATATATAATTATGAAACATATGGAGATAACGAGAAGTATTCAAGATCAAAAATCCATAAAACAGTACAAAATCCAAAACATCAGAGGTGGGATCAGGTGCCATGGAGGAGTGAGCATACCCTGCCAACCGGTCACACTGGCCATGTGCTCCTTGTCATGATTGGGAAATAACGGAAAAATCCGTTGTCAATTCAGTGTATAAATAATTGACTAACAATAAGTATTAAAAGGTCAGTCAATATTTTACTTTATGATAAATTGTATTTGCTGACAAGGTCATTGTATAGAACTTACAAAATGATGACTTTAAACGAGCCTGCTAATATTTTTATTTCATCAACTTGTTTATTAATTATTTACCTCGTTTTAGAAATTGTTCATAGGTAGAACATGCCCTTTGGTATCGAATCAACTGAAATATATAAACTCCGTATTGAGGTGATGAAGGGTATATTGCTGCATAAGCAAGGAAAGTTGACGATTGAAAAGTTAAAGTCATCACGTTTATATTATATATACAGTTCATCTCGTGTCACATTAACCGTTTTGTTCTTTAAAGGAAACTTTGATGTATTTTTTTTTTTATTAAAAAAGAGTAGCCAGGGATTTATCAGTGCCTTCTCAGGGGCCGAAATTCGACCCCATTGTGGGCCATTCCCAATTGAAAATGAGTTCAATTTTTCCCAATTTGGCAGTATTTTTTCCCAATTGCAGAACATTGCTTTTTTCAATTATCCTTGGAAAAACACCAAGTAAATTAGTAATTTTCCTCAGTTTAACTCATTTAGCAAAGCTAACACATGTTTAAAAACATCGCCAACTTTTATTCCGAATTTCCTCAGATTTTTTCTGAAGTAGTGATAGTGTGTATTTCTATAGGTTTATTTACTTATTTTGACTAGCTCAATTGATCTACGAGTGAATGGTAAAAACTGAAGGCATTATTTTAGACAGAAAAATATATTTTCAATGCATATTTTAGAAAATGTGCATTTAGTTTGAATTATTTTGCAGGAGGGTTATTATATTTCCCCAGGGACTTAAGGAGGATCCTGATCTCCCATGACCTAAATTGGAATATCATGCCATACAAATATACTACCTTAAGTTGTATGAAATGAATACTCATTGAATTCAAATTTACATAGCATATTTATTAGTCTATTTTTCATACTTGATCTTGTATGATGATTAATGAAGTTGGATCATATTTAATTGTCTGTTAATTGGTAGCCCAAATTACTGCAGTAAATAAATTGAACCTGAATAGTGAATACATGGTTTAAGCAACATATATATATTTTCCCCAATTTCATTAAAAAGCCGATAACTTTTTCCCAATTTCCAAAAAATGGCGTTTCCCAAAATAGCCTGATAAATCCCTGGTAGCTGGTGTTGACCTTGAATTGAGCCCGTTATATAAGCAAACTTGTTTTTGTGTACATAAAGCATAATTTATTCAAAATCATGCATGAGAAGATGAAAACACTTACTGTGGCCATCAACTTCACCAGTTAGATGTACTGGCGATTTATCAATAATTAACAATAGTTTCGTCTATTCATGTTTCTAAATGAGCTTGAAATAAAAGATGCCAGAAAATCTAACAAATCTGATTCATATTTGGATATTTTACTAGAAAAAGACGTTAATGGTTACATTACAACATTACATTTTAGCTAAATGTGATGACTTCAACTTTTCAATCGTCGCATTCCCTTACTAATGTAGCAATATATCCTTATTACCCGGTACCCTGATATGGTAGTAATGTATCCCGGTTGATTTGATACTCAAGACCATGCTCTAAGTATGAAACATTTCTAAAACGAGGTAAGGTATTGACAAATAATTAAATGAAAGACAATCAACACTCTCGTCTCAAGTCATTTCGCAACCTCTATGGTCAAAAAATGACCATGAGTCATGACACCAAATACAATCTATCATTAAGTCAAACGATGTGTGACTTATTTTAACTAATTGTTGGGCCATGAATAACGCACTGAATTGTTTTGGGTTATTTTATCGTTTTTCCTATCATGACAAGGAGCGCTAGCAAGTTGAGACAAGTCGGCAAAAGATATCCACTCCTCGAAGGCACCTCATCACATCCGTGATGTTCTATAGGTCTGTGTTTGCCTTGCTCCTTGGCTGTATGGACGTTTGAGATTGAATACTGTCCGTTATCTATAATATTCATTTTTTAAGAAGGTAATTTGAATTAGCTGTATATCTCTCTGTTAAAGGAAAAATGTGCACCGTTTGAACTGTTGACTTAAAAATGTAAAGCCAATGTTAAAGTACCTTTATTCTTTTTGAGATGTTTTACATTTTTTTTCCAATCTCACCGTTAGATTTTTGTCTAATGTGTTATGATTTAGAAATTAATATGAATGTGATATATCAAAATTTTCACGCCCATCTCCTTGAGGTTTATCATCTTGAAGTTTAAAACTTTTTGCATTTTTTATAAACCAACAGTTAGAATTATAGAATAAGTTAGTGCAAAACAAACAACTCTATTGAATTTTTGACTTTTATCAAATGATTAAATAAAGCAATCATATCAACATACATGTATGATATCACTGATAATTTAAACAGATGTATGAACACGTATAAATTAGTACATGGGTATAATCTCTCTTCATTGGTATACCCAGATCAGTCACCGTAACGCATGTATCACTCATCATAACTTTCATTCAATATGAATGAAAAATGTATAAAACAGATACTCAACTTCAGGTAATCAAGAAAAATTGGCTTGATATGAAGATTTCATATATATATAAATGTAAACATATTTGGAATACACGTTACTTTATGTAACAACAACTAAATTTTTAGACGTATAAAGATAATCACTGGGTATTAAAAGTTATCACAGTTCTAGTTGAGACTGAATACTAGGAATTTCGGTCACAGTCCACATCTTCTTCAGAGTTTCGTGTTAGGCTTCCCGTAGCCCCTTGTAAATCACTTTCTTCAAGTACATTTATTCTCTCTCTTTCAATTTCTATAGAAGTATCTGGTGTTGGGTATACATTGTTTATCTGTCTATCACTGCCGTGATTAGCTGAGTTTTCTTGATTTGTTTCTAAGTCTCCACCCAGAATAAATACAACTGCTGTTACATCATCTCCGCCATCACTAGTCAGTTCTTCTGATGTAAGTGCCTTTTGGTTCACTTCCTCCTCCTTGGACCTTGCCACTTCCGCTGCATCACGTGCCCATCGCAGACGTCGATCAATATCAAGTGCAGATTCGTAAGAAGGGAGATAATTCACATTTGTCCGTGAATATTTACCAGGGTAGGGAGGAGGCTCGTCTGCCAGCCAGTTGAGAAAAGATGGACCAGGTCTAATGCCACCTGAATGATAAAGCAGAAGTCGTGTTGTAATATTCTTCATTTCATAATAATTTGGATCATATAATTTCTGAAAATGTTTCTTTTTGTTTTCCAATACCAAGCTTTTTATAATCATGCAAAGCATAAAAAACGACTCTGCAACACGTGTCTTACGGATTTCAGAATAAAGAAGGGGAAATTAAAACACAATGGTGGGAATAAAATTTGAAATAGGTTTCCTTGCAATCATTTCATGATTTTACTAAAAGCATTAATTATAATTTGAATGCTTAAGATTTATGCTTGCAAATGTGTTGCCTTATGTAAAAAGAATGATAACAGATTGAACAGATAATTCTGTTTTGAAAGCCACTATATTCTTAAGCTATCATTATCAAAGAAAATGTTACATACTTTATATTTCCATTTCTATTTTTTTTTCTCTGCGATAACTCTTTGAAAGTTGTCGGAGTTTATTTCTTGATAATTCTGCCGGAATGTAAATTAGGCAGGTCGATAGGTCAGGAGCTAAGGAGGCCTAAAATGCATGCAAATCTCGTGCGCATCTGTCTCTGTGTCTGACGCTAAGGAGGTAAAATGTGCATGTAATTCTCGTGCGGCTGCCTAGGTGTTTGACGTCATTGGGCGAGGACTATTGAAATTGGTATGGACGTCCTCGTGTAATTTAAGTCTATGTCTACATTTTTTAAGTCTAAATCTACCATTTTATCTAACAATGAAATGAAAATATAAGGAATCACTGTCTAGTTAGGAGAGTATGCCAGGGACATCAACAATAGTGGGAAACATGGGATAATTTTAGCATAACGGGCCTCGCCCGTTATGCAAATTATCCCCATGTTTCCCACTATTGTTGATGCCCTGGCATACTCTCCTAATTAGACAGTGATTCCTTAATTCACTCAAATTGTCTTCCAATCGAGAAAAAGTAAGCAAGTAACTGATTACTAAAAAATCCTCCGATTTGACAACATTAATGAAAGGTAAAGAGGGTCAGAGGATTATTTTTGATAAATAAATAGAATAAATTGCAAAACAGTCTTTTGTAAAAATCTGTTCAAGCCTTGAAAAATAATGAATAAAGCATTGCCATACGTACTACACGTATTGTTACTGGGTCGTCGAGGGGCCCTTAAAAAGCTTACAATGGATTTGAGAGTAAATATCATCCCAATGAACACAATAACACTGGATACCACGGCCACCAGATGAATTGTCCCTTCTGCTTCATACCCTGTAAGGGGACACAACTTTCACTGTAAGCCTACGTATATATAAGATTGTAGAATATATAAATTATGTACAACATCAAATTTATTTTAAAAATTATGACGCCTACCTTCATACACTGATTAAGTATATTTTGAACCTTCAATCGTATAATTATTAAATTATTTCATTTTCAAAGTAGAATTTACTTTCAAATTGCTTGGGTGGATCATAATTTATATCATGGTGAACTGATGGAAGCGTTGTTGTTGTTGACACAAGTAACGTCGAGGAATCACCTGCAATCAATACCGAATGATATTTCTTGTAAAAATTTGACGCAAATACATATTTACCTGAAATAACATGAATTCAAAGACCATTCACAATTAATTCACTCATGATCATTTATATAGCAAAATGGAAACATAAGAGATGACCCAAAGATTTGTATTGGTCTTCTAAAATTTAAGTATTGAACTTAGAAATAGTATGACTATATTTTAAAAGAAAAATAAACTGTCCAACGGATAAGATTAAATTTTTGCAATCTGATATAAGGAATATTATTTTGTTTATATGGTAAATAGCTCCCAAGTGATAAACTCACCCGCCGATAATACTGAAGTACCACCGTTCTCTTCAGGTACACCTGTAACATTTCCATTCATTGTTGGATAACACCATAATGAAAATAATGTTCAAGTCTATGTAGAATCCATTCAGTTGTTACCAGTATGTTCTAGATAAGTCCACGAGTTGTCTGTATATATTTAAACATATAAACAAATAATCTATTTATACCTCAAGGTTCCGCAGGTAAACGCATTCCAACGTTGCATCGCTAAATATATGCAGTGTTTTTAAATGTTGTACGTTTTCTTATGACAAAACATGTTTTGCTGTGTTTTATTGATGATTTTAAAGAAATCTAACCTTCATAAATTATTTAGATATAATCCACAGCCTTGGCCTATTTACACTTTTCCGTAAATAAAAATAATATCGTATTCCAAAGCCGTGATACCCTTAGAAACAATACTGTTGTAGAAGCGGCAAAGCATACAAATATCAACGTGTCTCTGGGTGACAATTTTTCAACAAGAATAACACTGTCTCTTTACAGGGAACCCCTTGTGTCAACGGAATTAGAATGTCAGGATTTTGATGTTTTTATCATTTGCGTTTTATCATCTAGTCGATTTTCATTAAACAATGCAGGTGCACAGCCACACAATCTATCTCAATAGAAACAATAGCGTCCGTCAAGTTTGATAAAAATGACATGTGATGCTGCATCCTAACTTGTTCAAATCGATTGAAGAATTGGAAAATGTTTAATATTGTGATTTTTACGAATCTACTCGAACGGTACATGACTTTTTTGTGTTTTTCGAATTCTTTACATAATAATTATTAAGTAAAAACATATGCGTTTACCTTCTTATTTTGATAATCAGGGAAGAAGCCACAAAAGTACTAGTTGTGTAATTTACATGAAATATAGACAAGTAGAAGTATGTGTATTTATTAAGCATAAAATATCGTCCATTCGTCCCCTATGTTTTCCATAAATTTAAGAGGCAATATCCCTCTGCTCCAAATTTCACGACTTTTTTTTTTAATTCCCAACATTGATTTTCAGCAACAACTATAGCATGAAATTCAAATGGAAAATACTTTGAAGTATGAAGCGTTGCTTACTTTTTCAGAAATGAATAATATGTCAAATCATGATGTGAAGAAATTTGATATGGTAAATAGAAAGATCAATTATTTTTTATCTCCCAATTAAATTACAAATATGAGGTATATATAAAAATAATATTTACTCTCATACTTATCTAATTCCCATAAGAAAACATACTGAAGCGTTGCTTTTTAAATCAGAATATCAAACTGTTTTCTGTGCATGTAGAATAACACCCATCCATAAACAAGAATTATCGCCCTTGAAAATATTTTTTATTGAAACAAAATATTAATTAAATGTTTATAAACAATTCAGCATCTGAAATTTCTGTACAATTAAAAGACTTTTACGTTAAGAGATAGAAATTTCTAAATTTATACCGTTTAAAGGAACTTAGTATAAATGTTTTAGGTAAACTATTATAAATAATAAATATACTAGTAATAGAAACTAGAAATCAACATCTGTACGATAGAACAGGCTAGACTGAGTTGACTACAAAATGGTCCTTATGAATGATACTGTGGCATGACAATTCAATGAAATTCATGACAAAATGTATGAAGAAAGTTATCTCTCTTATCAGAGGGATATTCCACCTTAACCCATACCAATCTTGAATTACGGACAGAATTAAATAAAACTGAAGAAATAAAATAAATTACATTAAAAAGAAAGTTTTTTGTGTAAAAAAAAAAAAGAAGGGGGTGGGGCAAAAAAAAAAGAGAAAATTGTTAAGTATTATTATTTCAGTATTATTATTCTATTGCATAGCAGTTTTGAACTTCATAACGACATCTTTTGAAATGCATTTTGCAAACTCTGTGATATTCTGGCAGAGAAAAATTACTTTCCAATCTTGCACCTGATTGACTTTACCCATATTCCCCCCACGTTCCATTCATAATCCAACTTATACCCACAGCTCTCTATATAAGGAGTAAATTCTTCAAAATCTTTCGTCAGTTTTAAATAGTTTTAATATTCCCAACATTCAAATAGAATTTCAATTACTGTACTGATGCTGGATTCCAAAACTCCATAAAGATCCTTCATAGAAAGATATAAAACGGGTTCTAGTAAATGTTCTACCATACATCGATCCTTTTTTTATTCCGTATATTCGAAAATTGGTGTAAATCGTAAATCAGAAGTGGATTTTATACTCCAAGGAACCTTAAGAAATAATGAAATCACAAACCAAATTCAATCACATCATAACCTTTCAACACCTTACACAACCATTCCCGATGACAAATTAACTCCCGGGCTATTTGATATCTTAGACAGCTGCTTTTTTTCAATAAAAATGGAACTCGTAGATTTACTTACTTTTCATTGATCAATTGCATTACTTTGTGAAAAATATTCTGAATGTACACACAAGTAAGTTCTCTATTTGAAATTAAGAGGATGATTGGTGATATTTAAAAAAGATGATTAAGTTTCTAATTGACAGTTGATGTTAATTTATCTATGTAGTTTTTCATGTTGTTAGAGATCAGATCTTCCAACAATTCTGCTAGAATTACCATGGTACTAACTGCACACAATCATTTGCAGATCTATCTTTATATTATATGGAGCAGAAACTTTATGCAAAAACTTTTACATAAGAAGACAAAACTTGCCTTGCTATGGTCTTCAACTCGACATTTAATTATAAATTAATAATAGTTAAATAACTTTATTTCATATTTGGACTCGATATATCCAAGTAAATTTGAAGTATAAGATACCACAGAGTTTGACACATCCGTTTCATATTTTTATATTATACTTGAAAAAGACGTCAATGGTTACCTTACATCAAAACTTTATGATAAACTTCAACTTTTCAGTCAAAAACTTCCCATACTTATGTAGCAATATACTCTTATCACCTACATATGGAATTTTTATCTTTCAGTGAACCCATACGCAGTAGCATGCAATACTTTTGAACAATTTCTAACAAGAGGCAAACAAACTGGAGACAATGATATCAAAAGTTTTAAGTCATCACTTCGGATGTTTTATATTCGATACAACGACTTCGTATAAGAAGTTCAGTTTATCATTAAGTCAGATGCTGACTGGAGCTTTTTATAATGATTACTAGGCCATTATTTATACACTGAATTGTCAAGAACCTCACGGCAGGGGAAGCCCAGTCCTTCATTGCACCTTAGAGGTCCGTGTTTGCTCCCGATTTGTATTTTTAAATGGACTTTTGTGCTTGAATATTGTTCGTCATCTCCATATATATTTCATTCTTTTATTTAATAATCAAAGTATACTGCACAGTGTTCAATAGCTTCGAATATTATTGTCCCTGAAGATTTGGACCTTTTTAAATAACTTTGAATACATGTATCGGATGCATCCGAAAGTCTAGAAGGAACCTCTCAATGCTTATGAAAAGACATTTCAGAACAGTTAACATTGAAAATGGGTAGGTTACACTGGTTTTAAGTGCATTAAGTACATGTAATAACAAGTAAATTAAGTTTAATTTTAATTATACTAACATTTATAATATATATATAGTTATTTATTTCCATGAGGAAAATAATTTACATTGTTTCAATGAAACATTTAAAAATGCATGAAAACGGCAAAGTGCAAATTATTTCGTATCATTCTCTTTTCTTAATGTTCTCATCAATCTACAAAATAGAGAATAAACATGTTTAGTGTTAACTCCTTTTATTAACATATTAGGGATGTCAACGAGTACCCGGTTAACCGGGTACTCGCTAATACCTGAACGTCCGAGTATCGAACACTAAAATCGGTACTCGGTTACTCGGATGTATATTTTTGAATATTTCTAATCTTATTTATTAATGTATTAAACAATCTGTTTTAAAACGTAAAATGCTCATTGCAATTGTACATACAGTAATTAGGGTTTACTACGACTCTAAATGACCGTTATCGCCTGTGACAGTGTTTATACAGTAATTATCGTGACCAAGTACCTGGGGTACCTGGCTTTTCTCACCTTCGGTTGCCTTCTTCCCTTATTTTTGTTTGATTTGTTTTCACTGAACATCGTTTAAGATCCATTATGTTTTAAATTAAATAAATTAGATGAGTTTGTCAACTGTCCGAGAAGCCGTAAATTCTCGGGAAAAGAGCGGATGATATTACACGTGCGATTGTTGATATGGTTTTGTTTGATTACATGCCAATACAACTGGTTTAAGGCAAAGGCTTTAAAAAAACTGATGTCCATCGTTGCATCAAACTACAAAATACCGTCCCGTAATATTATATAAATCTCGGATCGAACAAGTGTACTAAAATCGTAAATCCGCTCTGTTAGCAGAACTTGATCAAGTTCAAGTTGATACTGTACGTAGCTCTGACGACCGATACCTGGTCGTCAAACGCTACAAAGAGTTACATTACAATTACGGAGCAGATTATTTTTTTTAAACAAAAACACTGTGAACAACTTATGATTTTATTTCTTGTGTTTATCTGATAAATAAATTGATAAATAAATTGAATTTAAAAATTGTTATATTAAATTTCGTCGGGCACGAAGTGGACTACACACAAATGCTCATCATTATTACAATAGAAATAAATTACGGATAAGCCTCCTATCAGTGCATCTGGTTTTATTTCTACAAGTGTTTACCATGTTTTGCAGTCTTCAATTTACTTGTTCATATTTATTTACACTTTTACCGAGTACCCGGGTACTCGATCGGAAAAACGACCGAGTAACCGAGTATTGAAAATTGACCGATTTGACATCCCTATAACATATGTATTGAATATTTTCGTTCAACATTTTCCATACAATTTTATCATTACGGGTTTCAAGATTTATTTCAGACAATGAACATTTCTCGTCGTTTCTTTATCATGACTACAGCATTAAGATATCTAAAGATATCAAAACGTCAAATATTTTATTTCATTAAATTACAAAAAGCATTATCAACAGCATGCAATTCTTCTGCAGCATTAATCTGACGTCAGCCTCAACTCCCACACCCTCCACATCCCCCACCACACCCTCCCCCGTCCCCTCCATCTCCCCCTCCATCGCCGTCCCCATCTTCTACGCCCCATTCAGCCTTGTCCCAGCTCCTCCCAAGTTTTTCTTTAAAAGGCAGATCATCCCATTTATTTTGATCGCCGTACGTGGTTTCTAAAATCCCTACATCACCATTTCCGAGTGGTTTACAAAGTGCTTGTAAAATATTGATGCAAAATACTAGTGCAATATTTTCAGCACTATCTTTTGGAGAAATGTTTAAAGTACATTTTGAAAAATCAGCTATAAAACTCTCAGGTTTGACTTTGAAGTCATAACTCAACTGTTCATTGTAAAAAACCATTTTCGAACGCTTCCCAACTGTAGGCAATGTATACATCATAACCTCTAGGTGACCTGGGCTTCCTGTAGCTGTTCTACCTGCATTTTGTTTGGTGGCTAAAATACAAAAAAGTCCATTGTACTCAAGTTATATATATCACCCTCTGAAGAAAAAAATATGACAAAATTATTTTGCTTTACAATTTACCTATTACTCCTGGTTCACCCTTCCTGACCCCTGTCCAGCGTCCAACTAATATAGCCCAGTCTCCTTCGTTATTCTTTATTATCATAGCTCGTTCTCCTTCTTGTGGTGAGAGAGTAATTGGGGGATTCTCATTAGAAGACTGAACCTATTGTAATTTCGTAAAAAAAATATCAAGATTGCTTTTGGCTTTTGTCACAAAATATTTGCAACGTTTTCGGTTATTTTGAAGACACTGATTGCATTAATGTTAAAAAAGTTATTTTTTAAACCTGAGATGGAGTTGGTAGAGTGTCAGGACCTATCATATGACAGATGACACTCAGCTTATCGAGATAAAACACGTGAACTACTGACGTCATCAGTGACAAACTGTGTATTTCGCGTGCTGTGAACATCACTTCTCCGTCTGTGTTTCGTATTCTGAGGGGAAAAAGATTTTAATTATAAATTTTCAGAGGAGTATAATCAGAGTACCTTTAGTTATGGACGTTTATAATACCTGTGATTTGCCACATAACAACTGTTGTCAACTCCTTCAGGGAGGCGCGGAAAAGGAATGAGTCCCCAGGGATCTTCGTTATTTTCGGGAATGATCGCCGTCTCAAAATTTCCCGCTTCCAACATCAAAGAACAGTCTCTAGATTCTGTAATCTTGATTGTGTGGTGTAGAACAATGGATTCTCCATTAGATAAACGTACAGTCGAAGACACGTCTGATGAGAAGTTTTTACAATTCTTTATTAATTCTTTACACGTTATTCTTCCGCTTCCCACTAAAGTTCCTAATATTCCAAGGGCACCGTACTTAAAAAGCTCCACACTGATGGATTCCACCTTTTCTGTGTCGATATCACACATTGGTATTTTGTGGGAGAATGTGTTCCATACTCCTTGGACATGTTCCTTCAGTGTTATAAGTTCTTTAGCTACTCCATTACTGAACAATGCACTTAGTATCAGTTGATGATCTTTCAAAGACGGTGTATAGTCTAAAATTTCTGCTTTGTTCAATTGAAGTTCTAAATGTTTGGAACAGTGCTGCTCAATGATTTCACTGGGAACAGTAAACAAATGGCCTTTCGATGGTTTACCTCTGTACATTGCACCGAATTCTGAAAAGTTCGTTCCAAATGCTTCGCGCCATAACGTTCGTGTCTCCCGGTCAGAGACAACGAGTTTTGATCCTTCTCTTCTGTCATTGACAGAGTCATCGTGATTAAACAGTTTTCCTAGAAGGGTTTCTGTGTCTTTCTTATAACCAGCCGGGTGAACTTGATGTGAATGCCAAATTAAGTCCACATCATAGCATGGAACAACAAAAGATTCTGGATTTAGCCGTTTTAATGTTAGAAATTGCTTGTACCGCTTTATAGCATTTTGAAGAAATTTTTCATCAGTATAATGAGGTAAGGAGACTTGATAGTAGAACATTTGCTGTCTTTCTGCTGCGGCTTCCAAGTCGTACTGGATGCGAGATTCGTATGAAGGTAATTTGATTCCCGTTTCGACGAGATTCACATTGAAATTAACATCCGGGTATTTCTTTGACCATAATTGTTCTGTACCCGCGGCGTCTATAGTTGGTGTAAGGCTATGGTTGACTTCCGTATTACATGTCCGCAGACAGTCGCTGACGTACATTTCGGGGGCTAGTAAATGACAATGCCACACCCATGCAATGTCTAGCGGGGCAGTCAGAGTCAGATCCTTATGTTCTGCAGCGAATGGCAACCACAATGTCTCATACCTAGAAAGTTGAATTTAAAATATCGGTACTAGTATCTACCAAATTAATCGAAACAAATTATCTTCAGTTTGTGTACACTTTCCATCAAAGGAATTTAGCCTAATAAACTAATTTTCTAAATAAAAAAAAATACTAGCAATAAATAAATTTACTCGCTTCAGTCGTCCGACATTTTGACAATCTGTCCGTAGTGTGTGGAACGAAATCGATCGTTTAACTGTTTGAAGGGCATTATCAAACACAATATGTACCATTTATAGGTGAACATTGGAAATTCGTCTTATAGTGCTGAATTGAGATATATTTGTTAATCAATATAATTATATATTCAACATAAAGTTGATCGCAATAAAATATTAATTTGCTCTGTGGCTTATTCAAACAAGTTATTTTTTGCAAATGCTGGCAGTTGAATCATGCAGTATTCATATGGACCTACTAGAATATCAACATTCAGGTAGACAAGCCACCGTGACTTCTCTTAACAAGCTTTATTAACATATCAGCCACGAAGGAGAAGCATTATCATAGGACAAAAACAAAAGACTTTTTGCAAATCTGCTGAAAATGGCGTATTTGAGGGCGGGACCTCCATACAGAGAAGGATATTCGTCTATTGTTTTAAGGAAGCCCAGTTCCTTGGTGGCTGCTGTCTGGAAGTCCACGGAGAATTCGTAATTCTCAATGTCCGACATAATGGCAATCTTTCGCCTATGATTAAAAAGAAGATGGGCTATAAGAAATATCAGACATTACATCCAAATTTTATGTCATATCTCATCGTATATTAAAGTATACTTAATGTAAAATCTCTATTATTTACAAAAATCTCACAAAAACTGAAAATATTTGCCTATGAAAAAGCATACACTGACTTAAAAGAACAAAAACGATCATTTTTTCATACTTTAACAATTTTTTTCAATGTGCCACGAAGGATAATCCTAAAAGTTTGCGATAATTTATATATTTTTTGGTTTACAAAAAAATGGAGGGAAGACCTTAAAAATACACTTTTATGACAAAACATTCGCAACAAATACTTCAAGTCCATTAAGTCAATGGTCATATCACAAACATGATTTAAATGCCACTGATTCACAAGAGCCATGTAGCTTAGTGGTTAGCGCGTTAGTCAGTCTGATACTTCGGTATTTTATTGCCGGGGTCAAATGGAATATTTTTATGAATGAAATTTTTAAAGAGATTTATTTTTTCTCAGAAAATGTTTTTTTTTTCCTCATAATTTCATAAATTTCAATAATGAGATGTAAATTTATATACTCAATTTACATACCAAATGTGATTTCTTAATATCTGATGCTATAGGCATTCTGCCCGCCTTATCCGCCCATCTTCTTTATTTCACTGCTGCATTTTCAATCAGTATACATAATTTTTTTTACATGTATCTTAAAGACATTGGAAGCTAACTTAAAAATACAAAGAATATTAACTATCTATGGTAGGGTTTTATGGCTGCATAATAATTATTTAACGAATAACAGGTATCCTTTTTAACAGCTATTTAACTGTAAGGAAATTGCCACATTGTGTTTAATTATTAAGCATAACCCTACAAAACACGACCTTATATTCGACAAAAATCAATTGACATTCCATATTCATTTTTTAAAGCTTTCGTATAGAATGCCGATCAGGATGAACATTTTTTGTATTGAAAGTTTACATTGTACACAAAGACGTGATCTAACCCACAAAAAGAAAGTATATGATGCTGTTTCTTTTCGAACACGGAATAATAATTGTATGATTTATCTTTGTACTACTTCAAGATACTAGAATCATTTAATTTCTATAAAATACTTGATTCTGATTGGATAAAAAATTCTTTTGATAACTGCATCAATAAAATCTAGAGTTCGCTTGCACTAAGCATACTTTTTTACATGTATATTCCCGCTTCCGGATTACTTTTTGAAGGAATAGGCCTAATTAAATACTTTTGCTTTTATAAATATTTTCCTGAATTTCGGAACCTGTCCGTTACGTTCCTGACTTACTTTCTACTTTCGTTTTTTCATTTTGAATTATTCCCCTTTGCTAAAACAAATGAAATCGTCTGCATGACGACAATAGATAGTTTTCGATAGGCCTGAATTTAGCGAAAGTTACCTCCCGTTGGCCGCCATATTGGAGGTCGACTCAGTGATTTTCCCTCTTTGTCTTACCAAGTTTAAGAAAATATAGTAGAAATATTTGGTGGAAAATCTTTACCAAATAATTTTTTTTAAATAAAGGAGGCTTCCAAAAATTTATATACTTCAGGAAAATAATGATTTCTAATTCAAAATAGCAAATATAAAAATTTTAAATTGGTTGAACAATGAAGGAATAATTAACCTCCAGTATGTAAGTAACTCTTGGTCAAGGAAATTGTTTAATCGGCATACTTTGCTTAAATGTTTGACTTTTAGATGTCTGGTATGAAACAACAGAACTCTGAAAAAATGTTTTATTATGCTACCAAAGCGGGGAAAACCGTAAATCTGTTAAATCATGGGAAACGAATGATCGAGGACACTATGAATATTGAGGACGGAATTCTTTAATCTTGAACTATCGGCGGCAGACTCTTTCAGGTTTTACAACATTGACATGTTGTGATATACTCGTATATTCAGTTTGAAATTCAGATGAAAAGATGCGCAAATGAAATCCAAAGTTTCTGTGACCTAGAACTGTTATATTTTTGAACTAGATAACTTACCGGAGAAAATATACATAACACAACAGGTAAGTTTTTTGTGTTAAAGAACTGTAAATTATTTCGGAGACTGTTGGTAATCACACGACAATATTTGAAAAGCATGGTATAGAATTTTCAGCAACGTTAACGTTATGGCGATGTATTCGTGCGCACTGTTTTTGATGCATAAATTTAATTTGAAAAGTGAAAGAAACTTTCATTTTATCAATTTAAAGTCATAATTAAATGATAAGAAATGAATGTAATATTTTTTTTCTTTGATACATCGATCAAAGAAAAAAATATTACATTCATTTCTTAAATCACTGACTTGTCTTCATGACTTGTCCATTTACACCTTTTGTTTGTAAGGGTATATGTGGACCAAGACTGCCTTGTGGTGGAACGTCCATATATAATACCATCGTGTATCTGAAACAAATATTTATAATGCACAATATTTTTTTAAATTTTTTTTTTTCATAAATGCGTTATTTTGTCATAGAAGACTTTTTGCTTTTCACAGATTGTTTTTTAAAAGACCTAGTTTCAAAATTTCCATGAAGGGAAAACCCCTAAGAGTAGTAGCCTAGTTAATAGCGTAAAAGAATTTTAAAATTGGTTTATTTTTTTAGCAGACTGAATAATTTTTAAACGTTTACGAAAATTTAACGCTCCCCCTTTTCTATTGTGTATATTTGATATACTTACTTTATCTTTTATAAATTTAAATCTGCATATTATCCTAAAAATCATATTAATTTGTGACACCAGGCACGCACGACTTGCTTCGTGGTTGTCATGAATGAGGTTAGGAAGATGTACCACTGCGTAATGAAAATATCTCTATCAACCAAAAGAATTCCGATATATATCCGCATACACCTAAAAAGAAGAAAATTGTTATTCCTTTTTAGCTCGTGTATATTCCTTTCTCCTGATGTGTAGGCTAGTGTGTGAAGTCACAGATTTAATCTGAGGCGCAGTATGGATAGACAATATCATGATAGGAAGAACACTTCACAAAATTGAGAACTTTTAGCTATTTTTACATTGCTCAGAAAGTATAGAAACTTCCTTTCTAAATACATGTAATCGAAATACGATCAATACGTTAACTTCCTACTAACCAAAAATATTTCCAGTTATCAATTTCAATTATCCTGTTGCTGTCGATGGTTTTGAAATTGTCTGATAAGACTTAACACATTAATATCGGCTTTAAAAGCACGACTGAAAATATTTACATGGGATAGGCAATTTTAAAAAAGCGGATTGCTAAGAATGCTTTTTTTGGCCTTTGCAACAAAGTAATATATTAGTAGGCAAAATTTATTATCAACTCCCCTTTTTTCAACTAAATTTCTATCCTTGACAAAATGATGTGTAGGCTACAGTCCTTTTGCCTACATGGAATATACGCCACTGCCTCAGCCAGTCTCCAGTGAACTTTCCTGATAGAGGTTTGTCCATCATCCATGCACTCCATTTTTTCTATCTAGCTGTCTGTCTGTTTAAAAACCTTGGGGAAGGGAATTTGAGTTTGTTGAATTCAAGCGCAATGCTCTCTTTCAAGGGGAGAAAAAAAGCATAAATATTCAATTACATCTTGAAAAACTTAAAGGGCTTATACGTCTCAAAAATCGGCTGGAAAATATTAATCTTAAGTCAAATTATGACCCCAGGCAGAAGGGGTGGTGATGGAGGTTGGAAGGTAAGGCTTCAATGGGAGATCTATACAAACGTATCAGGAATATTAAGGAAAACAACAGGATCGCAATTAAACCGTCCTTCTCAATTCATTAATTTACTATATAGTTTGGATCCTGGGAATTTTGAATACATAACTTCAGTTTTTTTTTTTTTTTTACATAATGCATGCTCACTTGTTAACACTACTTACCCAATATATGGAAAGTCTGACTTTTTTTTCAAAAAATAAAACTTGTCATACCTTAAAGGACTGTGTTTAAAATTTATTGTAGATAATACAACACATATACATGGACGAACTACATGTAAGAAAAAAAATTAATAATAACATATGAAACTGCTAAAAACTATAATATTAATATACCAGTACATGTACACTCTAATATACAAACAAAATCAAAAAAGTAAATATATGTTTGTTGTTCTAGAATCAATATGTAAATATGCATGTATACACGTATATCCATTAATATTCTCAAGGAAATTTTTAATCACAGTTATAAGGACATAAACTACAAAATAAATAATACAATGAAAACAAAATAATCTGTTCATAATAAACAAATATTGTTCTTTAAAACTACACGTATATACCCATAGCACCAGCAACAGAGTATAATTTGTATAAACATTTATGGTAAAAAACATTATATTACACATGTTCCTTTACTTACAGATATCTTAAACAATGAACATCAAATTCAGATCTATCCTAATATTCAATAAACAAGATACTAGTATTTGCATTACCGAAAATGAATCAATATTGCACAACTAAAACAATTTCTAATCAAATGTAAAGTATTTTCATATCATTACAGAATATTTTTATTAGATTATTTCGGAATCAATATATACATGTATAAATATCAGAAACATTTTCCTCTTCTGTTTACAAGGATGTACCGCTTCTCCGAATCATCATGGGAAAATGTACAGGTTTTTACGAATGGACAATTTAAAGAATTTAATTAATAATTAGCAAAAGTTAGTAAGTATATATTTACATCCAATATATTTCCATCAACTCTTCTCAAAATCTAATGATGTTATCAATTGTAATTAGAACCAATTTCTGAAGACGCCTGTCTAAAGATTGACTAATAATACAATATTTTATGCACTTTCGCTCACTTTTTTAGAAATAATTTATATATGAAAAAAATTAAAACTGTTCTATTAAAGCAGTGTCTCGTTAAAAAAAATTAAAACTGTTCTGCAATGTCTTGATATGTATTTCACTGTTTAAAAATAAAATTGGATTATCATGTAATCTTCAACATAAAAAAACATCACTCAGTTACTGAAGAGATGTACATGTGGCTAAAAACGAAAGTATAAAACAAGTGGCTTAAAGTGGAAAGAAACTGCAGACATTACAAGGATCTGTAAACATTGTTACTGTGTTTCCTAAAACAGCGACGAACCTTTTCATCCTCAACCCACGCTTCGTTCTAGATTTCATTTCTTCTGCTCATAGCCTCGAATCATAATATAAGTTGTCTGTTTCTGAAGAAACTCTCCCCTAACCTAACGGCTATTTGCTTTCTGGGAGATACATCTTTGTAATAATGGGCATTCCGATCAGAATGCTTCATTTCGAATTTTCTTTCATGAAATCGTATGTTCTTTTACAATTTTTGGTTATGGTAATCGACTAAATTGTAAATCTCCGGTAATGCAATGAAGCCATTTTCAACTCTTATAATTGTGTCTTTCTTCCAAAAATATATCAAAAAGAAACTGGAAACAATGTAATGGAGTTCCAAAAAAGGTTTTCGTATTTTTAGCTGCTGCAAGTTTCAATTACAATTCTTTAATTCCTTATCAATGCCCAAAGCATAAATAAATTGTGAAGATATCTAATAATAAAGGCATTTATCCCTTTCACACAGTAAACAAATCTTTTTTTTTTTCATTAAAATGGAAAACAAATTTTGCCAATTATACACCGTTTAAATCTTCTTTATAAACAATATGATGTCTAACTTCAACCCCCACAACCACCACATCCACCACCACAACCTCCACCATCTCCCCCACCGCCGCCACCCCCTGAATCACCACCACCCCCATCACCGCCGCCCCCAGTGTCACCTCCCCATCCACCACCTCCATCATCTCCTCCTGTATCTCCACCCCACCCACCACCACCACCACCATCATCATTATCCCCACCGTATCCTCCAGTGTCCCCACCCCAGCCGCCACCACTCTCCTCTCCCCCATACCCGTCACCCCCTCCACAGCCACCACAACCACCACATCCTCCTGGATCGCCGTCAGCATTGTCCACATTCCCATCATCACCATCTTCTCCATCTTCATCTGCCAACATATTTTCAAAATCCTCGTCTTTACAACAAAACATTGCTGCCTCCCATTGGTCAACTTCTTGATCATCGTCATTTCCATCATCATCATCATAAACATCTGGCTCAATGACAGGTGTATCATGCATTGGCTCACTGACGGTGCCACCAGCATAAACAGGCGCCACATGCTCCTTATCTTCTTTCTTTTTCTTAAAGTGCTTTCTTAGAAGATGATTTGATGGTGAACATATTTGAAATCCAAAGGCCATTACCAATGCTAGTTTGTCTACCGGAAATTCTTTCTTCTTGCTAACATACGCAGGCATTTCTGAGGTAGTTTCTTTGACTGGTTCCCAATCTGGTGGTCTTGGTTGACAAAGTACTTGTAAAACACTGATACAAAATACCAGCGCAAGATTTTCAGCTCCATCTGTTGGAGAAATTTTGACTGTACATTTGGAAAAATCTGCCTCAAAACCGTGAAATTTGACTGTGAAGTCATAGTAACGGAACTGTTCACTGTCAAGTTCAACTACCGAACGTTCCCCTGTAGGTAGTCTATACATCGTGACCTCTAAGTGGCCTGGACTACCTCGTATTGGTGCTCTGCCTGTTTGGTGTTTGGTAGCTAAAATAGAGAAAACTCAGACTGAGCGCTGAAGTTTAAAACTAACCCCAACCTCTAATTTCTAGAATCTAAAGACAAATGTGTTCATGTTAAGCTATAGAACTACCTCTTCTCCCTGGAACACCCTTCCTGACCCCTGTCCAGCGTCCAACTAATATTGCCCAGTCTCCTTCGTTATTCTTTATTATCATAGCACGTTCTCCTTTTTGTGGTGAGAGAGTAATTGGGGAATTTTCATCAGATGACTGAACCTATTGCAAAACAAGGAAAGTTATTTTTTTTAATTTCTTATTTTGCAGTATCGAAAGGAAATATCAGTAGATCTTACATTTGCTTAAGTTTAGAGAGATAAAATTCATGTAAAAAATTATTATATTATTTCATCACACCTGTGTTGGCGTTGGTAAAGTGTCAGGTCCTATCAAATGGCAGACGACATTCAACTTATCATGATAGTACACGTGTACCACTGACGTCATCAGTGGCAAACTGTGTATAACGCGAGCTGTGAACATTACTTCTCCATCTGCGTTTCGTATTCTAAGGGAAAAAATACAATTTCAGAGGGTATATTAGAATACTAGTAGATTAACGAAACTATGCAGGCTACATAACATTTTTTTTTTTAATTTTCTTTCACCTTACCTGTGATTTGCCACAGAACAACTGTTGTCAACTCCTTCAGGGAGGCGCGGTAAAGGCATAGGTCCCCAGAGATCTTCATTGTGTTCGGGAATGATCGCCATCTCAAAGTTCCCGGCCTCCAACTTTAAAGCACAGTCTCTCGATTCTGTAATCTTGATTGTGTGGTGTAGTTCAATAGATTCTCCATTAGATAAACGTACAATCGAAGATACATCTGATGAACGCTTTTTACAATCTTGCAACATTTCTCTGCAAGTTACTCTGCCGCTTCCCACTAAAGTTTTACTTCCAAGTTTTCCTAGCGCGCCATATTTGAAAAGCTCCACACTGATGGATTCAACCATCTCTGTGTCGATATCATACATTGGTATCTTGTGGGAGGTTGTGTTCCATACTCCCTGTACAGGCTTCTTTAGCTTCAAAAGTTCTATATCTACCCCGTTTCTAAATACTGCATTCAGTTTCAGTTGATGAACTTTCAAAGCCGACGTATAGTCTATAATTTCTGCTTTGTTCAATTGAAATTCTAAATGTTTGGAACAGTGCTGCTCTATGACATTACTGGAAACAGAAAACAGATGACCTCTCGGTGGTTTACCTCTGTACATGGCACCGAATTCTGAAAAGTTCGTTCCAAATGCTTCGCGCCATAACGTTCGTGTCTCCCGATCAGAGATGACGAGTTTTGATCCTTCTTTTCTATCATTGACAGAATCATCGTGATTGAACAGTTTTCCTAGAAGAGTTTCTGTATCTTTCTTATAACCAACTGGGTGAACTTGATGTGAATGCCAAATCAAGTCCACATCATAGCATGGGACAACGAAAGATTCTGGATTTAGCCGCTTTAATGTTAGAAATTGCTTGTAACGCGTTATAGCATTTTGAAGAAACTTTTCATCAGTATAATGAGGTAAGGAGACTTGATAGTAGAACATTTGCTGTCTTTCTGCTGCGGCTTCCAAGTCGTACTGGATGCGAGATTCGTATGAAGGTGGTTTGATTCCCGTTTCGACGAGATTCACATTAAAATTAACATCCGGGTATTTCTTTGACCATAACTGTTCTGTACCCGCGGCGTCTACAGTTGGTGTAAGGCTATGGTTGACTTCCGTATTACAGGTCCGCAGACAGTCGCTGACGTACATTACGGGAGCTAGTAAATGACAATGCCACACCCATGCGATGTCTAGCGGGGCAGTCAAAGTTAGATCCTTATGTTCCGCAGCGAATGGCAGCCACAACGTCTCATACCTACATTAAGGATTCACGAGTTAATACAGTGTAATATAATTTCAATTCCCTGTCTACGTCAACACTACGTGTACGTGTATTATTCCGTTTATAGCAATCGACAGTAGGATTCAAAATTCCTTAAATTGTTTGAGGGATTCTTTGCACTTTATCAAGGTTTTATTTCAATCATAATTTATTTCCATTTCGATTTATTTCTCTGTGATAAAGTTTTGAAAGTTGGAAGAGTTTTTTTTTTAATCATCCTACCAGAATGTCAATATGCATTTCAAAATTTGTACATTTTTAAAATTTATTAATTTTGTCAGTGGGCATTACTTGAAATTGAAATGCCTGGGACATCAACGATAGTTTAAAATTTGTACATTTTTAAAATATTAATTCACAATTTTGTTTCAAACTGTAGAAAGGAATCCAACTATTAGTTGATGCCCCTGACATCAACTAGTGAGTTGGAAACATAGATAATTCCTTAAATAATGGGTTTCTGAAACTGTCAATTTTACAACCACTTAATAATTTTTCCACTCTTGATTTCTTATGAGAACCACTTTCCTTATGCAATATTTTAATACTAAACTAGTTAGGAAGGGTTTTTGAAGGTGTTTGAAAGATAGCCAAGGCTTTTCCATCAATGAAGCATTGCTGCATAGTACAGGTCAATAATATTTTACATATACCATTTTTTTAAAATTAATACATTAATATGAAAAAAAAAATCCTTTTAGTAAGTTAATGTGGTTCTTTATTTCCGCAGCATCAAAAAAACAACTTATCGTTTAAAAATCTCATTTAAATACACAAACACGTGACCGCCTCCCCTTTTGACCACAAAGGTGAGACATGTATATAATAAATATTAAATTGTCTTATATACTGACGGACACATAAAACGCTGAGTCGTACATATTAAGAAAAATTAAGAACATAATAATTGCGGTACCTGAATATGGCGTATTTGAGTACAGGCCCTCCATACAGAGAAGGGTATTCGTCTATTGTTTTAAGGAAGCCCAGTTCCTTGGTGGCTGCTGTCTGGAAGTCCACGGAGAATTCGTAATTCTCAATGTCCGTCATAATGGCGATCTCACCTCCTATAATAAAATCATTGATATGACTTTTGTTCAAGTGTTGAACGAATATTTTATCAATGATCAACTTAGTCTATCAGATTTTCATCTAAACATGCACTTTGCTACATTTTAAGGAATGTTTGTAAACAAGATCGTGTAATCACTGTAATGCCCTTTATTCTGTCACTTACATGGGATTGAAGATTGCGAGGAGAGGATACTGTGTGTGGTCAAACTTTTGCCTTAATTAATTAAATATCCCTGTAACTTTTGAGAAAAACTAAGAGGGGTAGCAACAGAAGAAACAAACTTTTCGAGGGTGTATCTTGACTTTAAGACAGAGTCAAATAACAAATAGGGCAAAAGTAATTAAAGCATAACGAAGTGTCGAGATTGTAACGCATAAAAAGGACATATATACTTGACACTAAGGTCAATGTTGTGTAAATCCAGAAAAAAAGGTATCGTCGTCTTTTTCTTCAAAAAAAGTTTTTGGAACAAGGTCAATGATACGGGCTGAAAATCAATGTAGATTTCCAAAAATTGTTTGAAGCTTACCAGGAATTTAAATTTCACGAGGACCGGAGGATGTTTGTTTTTATATTTCATAAATGAGAAACTCATAAAGTTTGCACAGAGATTAAGATCTAAGGGTGTGACATGACTCTTCAAAGTCAGAGGTGCTTTGATCACAGGCACCTGACGTTAATATCCTACCTAATAAGTTTATTATATTAGGTAGGGGGTATATTTTTTTTATTAAAAGAAAATTAAGTAACGTCAGGTACCTGTGGCTTTGATTGCCCAAAAATTTATATTGGATGGCATTTAACATTACTTTTTATATAAAGTACACCTATTTTAAAATTTCAAGGAAAATAATTAACATGGTATTAGGCCTATAATCTATATTTATCATATATTTCAATGGAAAAGTTGCAAATTTGACAAAAGGCTTCATGTTTCTGATATATTCAACAACAGAAAACATTTTATCTGGTGGGGCTGTTGGAAAAATATTTTTAATCGGAAAACTCCTTTCACAAGATCATTTGTTTTCATTTCATCACCATCTTATATATACATGTATATATACTTAAAATAATATTATTATATTGTGAATTACATAACTTTTTGACAAGTTATTAAAAATATAGGCAGTGATACACGCATCCCCATGGGAAAGGCCAATTCAGTATAACCTAACATGCCGCTCTTTTTCTTTATTGCTTATGTTTTGAAAGCTGTTTTCAATCCTGCTACGTACGTCAATGCGGTATGTCTAACGGAAAGCTTCTGTAATCATGATCATGATGATGATTCGAAGCTATTCATGCTAATAATTATAAGATACACATGTTAGTTAATTACACCGAAAACAAAGTAATGGGAATAAATAAAGAACATGTCTTATACTTTAAAAAGATAATGTTTTATTATATAATCGTGTAACTTTTCGTAATTTCAGTAAAGACATGAATACTGACCTTTCCTCAAGACTTGTCCATTACACCTTGTCCATTTGTTTATGAGGGGAAAGTGGGGCCCCGGCGGGATACTTATGATTTTCCATAGCCTAACTGTTACACAAATGAATGGAAGTCACGTAGTACAGTATTTAGTTAAATCCGACAACCGGTTTTTCACGCCACATTTGTTGAATACTTTGTAAGATTTACTGTAAAAGATTGTCCATGGTAGGCAAAGTACAACGATGCCCAGAAGGGGAAAGCCCCTTACCTCATTAATAAAAATAAAAATGATGTATTTTTACAGTATAGTTCGAGGATGAAAAGCCAAACAAAATTATTAAGCAAAATAAAGTTTATATGTTGGCAATTTTTCACAGACTGTTTTGTAAACATTTTTAACAATGATATAGGGGATAGAAAAAGTGAAACAACCTTCGAAAATGAAAGTAGAATAAATGTCAACATGAGCACACCTGAATCGGCGGAGCAGACAAATAGTACAGAAAACCCTACACAGGAAAATGTTCGCAAAATCAAAACAGTTTTACCACATCATATGGCAGGGGGTCCTAAAGGACTAGGTAATTTTTAAATTGGAAAAAGGGTTGCTTCAAAAATGACCAAATCAAAAGGTTGTGTAACGAATTTGTAATGAACTTGAACGTGCAGCATGCTTGAGATTGGATTGTTTGAGATTGGTAGCATGTTCTGATTGTGAACTATAACTACTTTCTCTAATATTATTTGAAGTTGTTGCTTAAAGTTTTTGTCCTTCTCACTTCAGAAACAAACTCAATCAAATTTTGCCCCAGCAACTTGATCCTAGTTGTTTTAAGTCTCTCATTCTGAAGAACCAACCCATTTTTCTTTGGATAACAGGGTTTTTAAAGTTAGAAATTAAAATTATGTACATATGTAAAACAAAACCCCATTTTTCTCTCAGAAACAACCAATATTTAATTTTAAAAAACATAAACATCTACCACCTAGGTTCATTTAATAATGTAATGTAGAATCTCCATTTATTCAATCTTTGCACAAGCAACCCCTTCCAGAATATTTCTGCATTCATATGAACAATCTTCTGTGTTGTGTGTTGTATAAAATGTAATTCATAAATAATTATTTAATGTAATTCATGTGATTTTAATATATATCAGTTAATATAAATATTTCAGGTGATCCTGAGGATAGAACTTTGCGCAAAGTGGAAGAGGATACCTTGGTAGGAAATGTAATGAGAGAACGAGGAAAGATTATTTGTGAGCAGGAACTGTTAGGTAAACAGGCATCATAGATTTCAATGTTTGAGGTTCTTTGGGAATATATCTTTTTAAATATGGTTCAGTTGATGTGTTCACATGAGAATGATGCCAGGAACATTCGGATTATGTCTAGGGCTGTCACGGATACAGGCAATTAATTCATAGATTTCAATTTGTTTGAATAGAGTAGATTTTGCTATAAAAATGGCGTCAATATATTGTCATTATAAGGTGATTTAAATAATTTGATACAATTGTTGTCAGTTGGTTATGTTGTTCACAATTACGGACAAGTGAATGATGCCATTGGACAAGTGATTTTTCATGTAAAGAAGTCTTTGAATATTAATAAAAAAAACAACTATTGATTTAATTGATAAGTTTATCGAATACAAACGGAAGCAGTGTAAACTTGGCATCAATCGCTATGTAAGTTGCAATAAATCTGATTGAATTACAGATTCACTTGCAAACAATTATGTTGTTGTCAGGTCAGGTTGTGTAGATAAAATTTTGTTTTATATGTGTTTGTCTTTTTTATCAATAACAAGACTAATAAATTAAGCACGTTTATTTTTTTTTTCATTTATGTAATAGTTTTCAAGTTGACAGAATAAGACATTCAATGAAATTTTTTTCGGACAAGTGAAGTTGAAGTTCGGACAAGTAAATATCTTGGTCACTTGTCCGAATGGACAAGTAGGGAAAAAAGTTAATGTAGAGCCCTGTGTTGCTATTTCTACGATTAAATGAAAATATTCTTTTTATTGTTGAATTTTAAACATACCCGCATTTAATTTTGGATAAATTTATGTCCATATATACTCAGCAAACCTAAAATTGTTATTGTCATGAAGATTATTTAATTCACGAAATGTACATTAGTCCTGAATTTTTAAAGTATGGTATATTTTTCTATAATATTTTTTAAATGTGTATTTAATATAAATATGGATGATAAGTCCTTTGGATGATTAGATGCATTCATGCAGTGATACACCAGTATTACCAAATTAATACATATGAACTTTTCAGATTTTATGGCATGCTCAGATGAACATTATGTATTGTTTCCATGGAGATGCAGGACACAGAGCAAAAAATACAATCAATGTTTAACAGATCTGTAAGTATCTAAATAGTATATAGAGGTTTCTTAGTTTGTGTCTTCTTGGGCTCCAATGAAATCTGATAATCATATTAAAATAATTTTGAAAATGGCATACGAAATGCTTTACACCAGTTTCATTACAAGATAGTACATCACAGAATCACAGAATAGAATGAAGATGAATGATCAACAATAATGAATTTTACACCTGAGGCTTGTTCAAAAAAGCAAGCACTCACAAACATTTCTACTGGAGGTATAAGAAATTTGGCAAGCGCTCGCGAACATTCGCTTTGTTGAACAGGCCCCTGTGTTAAACTAATTGATACAATATAGTTTTACACACCATGTACATGCACTACATTGATAAAAAAAAGTATGCACAAGAAGTTGACGAGGCTCTTTCCTTTACCATTTTTAAACCATGCATGGCTCGATCATTTCATCTTTGATAAATTAGTATATGTACTTAAAATCATGAGGACTTGTATTTACCTACAGTTGTCTTCCTTTGTATTCTAGTACAGTTCTTTCATTATGATGCAAACTGTGAAATAACCTTATTGTAAGCACGTTGGAAACATGGATGAAACTCATTTCTTAAAATCATTTTCTTTTCAAGGAATAGTGATCCAACATTTCAAGATGAGTGCAAAGAGATTTATCTCCAAAGAAGGAGGCATTATCGTTTAACAGGAAGATTTGACACTTATCATGAAAAAAATGAAGCCATGAAAAGAAGACTGGAAGAGAGGAAGAAAATGAAGGAAGAAAAACAGCGACAAAAAGAACAGGATGAAGCGCAGCTTGGAAATATACAGGACACTACCATGTTTGGAAGATTTAGAAATTTATTTAGGTCATGAATAAAATATTATGAAATACATGCATCAATTAAAGTCATTTAATATACTTCTGTGCTCTTATCTCAACATAACTAAATAATTTTAAATATGGGTAACATGGACTTTGTCATTGTCAGTGTATCAGTGTAACATGTCAATTTCAGTAGAATCAATGGTCATATAATTGACACTAAAGACAAACTTTACACTGTATGCCCTTTTGAAAGGTTTGTACCTTCCAATCATAGGTTGTTGGTTAGACCATGTGTTGTCCAATCAATATCTTGAGAACCTACTGCATGATAGACATCAAACAGTGCACTGTTATCCCCTTTTGATTTTTAGGTACATGTAGGAACTTACGAGGGGTGATCAAAAAGTTCGCAAACTATCTCTATATCTACAAAACCACAATTCAGATTAGAATGAAATTCGGTACACACATAGCCATACACAAGGTCTATAAATAGCATATGCTGAATAAAGTTTCTCTCCTTGTTTGTGACGTCACAATGTGAAAATGACGTCACTATTTAGGTCACTTAATTGTGATGAAAAATGTTGTCTCAGTTGTACAATTTATTGTAATATCTTAGAAATCCCTCTACAGTATCATATAATAATTTGTATACAGTTTATTGAGATAAATGAGTTCCTATAAATTAAATTAATGATTGGATTAATCGTTTTAGTGAAGGAAGGCTGATGGTTAAAAATGATACTTGTCATCTTGCCCAGTGAAAGCAAATTTGAAAAGATATGTGTTTTTAATTAAGCAATTTGCTATCAAAGACCTCCAATTTACACTTTGAAAAATAGTTGAATATTTGAACAATGATATAAGTATTAAATACCTGATTTTAAAAACATATTAGATATGATAAAAAGGATGCACCCATTCTCTATCCACCTTGAATAAAGGTCTCCCCTGAGACAGAAGATTTGTGTTTTAATGGTCGCCATGCTTATTTTTGGAAAGGATGTTAATATCCACCCATTCCGTTGCCGAGTTATGACCATTTCTGACAAATTACATGTACCTGTTCTTGTTATAGAAATTAACTCACATGGAAAGAAATATAAAACTCGGAAAAAATTTTTAACTTTTGTGACAGAATGCTTAATATCAGTGATCATGTGCAAAACAGTGGTTGATGTGCTTAAAATCTTAATTTACAAGACATAGGTCTTAGGTACCTGATATGCATAGTGATTGAATTTGATCCATGTTTTAAGCCAGATGCTAATTGAGGCATCTTTGAATCAAACTATACACTTAGGTTGCTTAGTTTGGTTACTTAAAACCCATAGGCAAGGCATTTGTAATATTCAGCATAATCAGTACACTGTAAGTTGAACCCCTGACCTTTAGTAGATCCACACATTGCACAATTTTTGAAAGGCATCCTTGCTTTTCAAAATATTTGATTAATACCAAGGAGCAGATTTCAAACAATTCATTCATTTTCAGTCTATAAGTACAGCCCCCCCCCCCTCTATAGTACCCCTGACCCTGGGGCCTTGAAATTCACAATTCTGGAAGACTAGGGTCCTTGTTTATAACTATATAGGTAGTTCAACTGCTTAATACCCAGGAGCAGAGAAGTTTTTTTCAAAGAATTCATGAATTTTTAATATAATTAATAGAGCCCCCCCCCTTACACATCTTCTTTTGAAGAGGCACTCTATAAATGTACTTACAGAAGTTAATTTAATACCTAGGAGCAGAGAAGAAGATTTTCAACCCCATCAGCTTTTAAAAGTTTTAGTAGAGGCAGATTATAACTATGCACTTAGTTAGTTTATTTAATACCTAGGAGCAGAGAAGAAGACTTTCAAAGAGTACATGTATTTTCACTATATAATCAATAGAGCCCCCCCCCCAACACAAGAACCCCTGACCCCAGGGCCATGAATTTCACAATTTTGGTAGAGGCAATCATGCTTTTATTTAATCTATTTGATACCCACATGTACTTTTGACCATACAGTGGTATGATCCTGTACATTGAAGAATTTTTAAAGACATATAGAGAGGAAAAATTCACAATTTGGGTAGAGGCTATATATGATACACATCTCATGATCTAAATAATTACCGATTTAATAAAATTTTTTGTTCCCCTTCATTCATAGATGCTTTGTACCAAATTTGGTTGAAATTGGTTCAGTAGTTGCAGAGCAGAAGCTGAAAATGTTTAAATGTTATCACACCTGTTTACTCAGGTGTAATTAATCAACATTAAAACCAAATATTGTTTCTTGTATGGAAGTTATTCAATTAGTTTGCGAACTTTTTGATTACCAAAATTCTCTGGACTTCATCTATGTAAAACTAAAACAGGTACCATGTAACTGTAACAGAATAAATGCATATAATAATGCAAGAATAAGAAATAAAATTAATGAATCAATCAATGTACTTTAATCATATAATAATGCAATAAGAAAACTTACTTTAATCGTATTTCATTTGTACAAAGATGTTTCCACATCATAAATTAAGTACTAAAAGCAGGTACATTGTACATATACATATGGCAACTTATTAGATGTTTTGAAAGCAAAATTAATCTGGAAAAAAGTCACAACCATACATTACAATATTTTGTTCTCTTTTAAAAATTGTCAGTTGATGAACACTTGATGGAAATGATGATCAGTTAATAACAAATTGAAGACATCTTTCCAAGGATTTTATATTTGTACCTTGGAAGGTCCAGGAATCTATAATTGGCAAGCATGAAAAACAAACGAAGTAACCTAGAGGTGTTTCAAATTGTCACTAATCATGGCAATATTTTATTATACAGTGTATATAAACATCATTCTTGAACAAATCTCAATTTACTTTTTAATTCATAAAAATACCCAAAGTAAAAAAGAGTCATCATATTTCCTTTTTCTGCAGGTGCATTAATCAAGCATTCAATAATAATGTACTATTATGCAATATGGCATATAGACATCACCTATCAATCTTTGTGTTATCAATAATTTTTCCCATGGTGACATGTTCAAATTAATTCCTTTGCTGGACCATTATCACACTAGCTTCTTAGTTATCTTGCCTACATATAAACAGTATTCTCCCAGACTTGTGTCAAGGCATGAAGCAGTCTGGTAAGAACTATACATTGAGATCACACACACTATATTACTGAGATGATCTAGCCTGTTGAACATTGCTCGTTTGTTCAGTTGATGATTCTCTTAATAACACAGTCTCTTGCTGTTTCTGGCTTTCTAGAGCCCCCATTTCTTTAGCTTTGTTTGTGGCGGTTTCCACGGCACTAATTAACGCTGAGCGGAAACCCATTTCCTCCAGTCTGTGTATCGCAGCTATAGTGGTCCCCCTTGGTGAACAGACCTCGTCTTTCAGTTGTCCTGGATGCTTCCCTGATTCCAATACCATTTTAGCTGCACCCTGGAGAATAAAACAGTTTACAGGTTATAATGATATAAATGAAGAATATTTTGCTAATGCTGACCTTCCTATATTAAAGAATCTGTCTTTCTTTCCTTAAATCTTAATACTCAGTGAACTGAAAAGGAGAACTTCATTTATATTCTATACATGCAACATTATAGTATCCTGCTAACTTTACTAGAACTCACCAGTAATGTTTGAGCTGCCAATTTTTGTGCTAGGTCTCGTGGAAGTCCCATTTTGACTCCACCATCAGCTAGAGATTCGATTGCTAAAAATCCCTACAAGTAGTGAAGGTACAACATTAAAAGCAATAGAGAAATACATCTCTATCAATCTGCCTTTTTAAATAATAATATAGCTAGGCTAGAGCTTTTAAGATTTGCATGACAGATTTTCTACATCAAGATGATAAGCAGTGGCTGAATTACAGGACTTACATAGGCGGGCCCACTACCACTAAGCCCTGTGACTGCATCCAGCTGACTCTCAGATCCAGCCTCACAGATTCCAATGGTTCTGAACAGTCCCTGAATAAGTTCCTTGTCCCCCGGGAGGACAGAGGACCCCGGGGCGATAACTGTGGCCCCACTCTGGACCAGGGCAGGAGTGTTAGGCATGGCTCTTACCACCCTGGTCTGAGATGGAAGGTTCTGGAAATCACATAAACAATTATAGCATACAGTCATGTAAATAACTTGATACAACAAAGATTTTTTAAATGTTGTCTATGCTATGGAGTGGAGAAAGATGTATGTACTTTTATTTAAGTTAGAAGAACTTGGTGTAGAACAATTATATTTGGAAAGTAGCCTGATAAAAAATTGCTGTTATATATATATGTGCTGGAGTATGTTTGAAAAGTTAATTTTGTTTGTTGAATTTGCATTGGTATGCCTGGTCTTTGTGCCCTCCAGCTGAAACTTACTTTTACAAATGTAATTTGAAAATTGCACACTTTCACAAACTTGGAACAATTCAGTCATAAATAAAACAGGCCATGTGTGCTTTCAAAGAGCAAGGAATGAAATGCCTTTTAAAACACCAATCACTACTTGTAGACCTTGAAAATCTTTGGAATCACTCACCCTTTCTAATGTATCTAGTGTGACCCCTGCTGCTATGGAGAGGAAGAGTTTTTCTCGCGTGACTTTACAGGACACTTCCTGTAGTACGGTGGACACAATGTGAGGTTTGACCGCTATGATGACCAGGTCACTGTTTTCTACTATCTCCAGGTTACTTCTCGAGGTTCTTACTCCTTGTTCCTACAACATAAACCTAGAAATAGAAACATCTCCAAATCTTTCATTAAATGACTTTTGGTTAACATTTTACCAGCCAAGTCAACAACTGTTTGTAAATTAAGGCTGAGGTATGACAATCTCCATGATGCAGATTAGTCATGCAAAATTAAAATCTAAATCGGACTCCTGCGATCTGTGTTGTATACACTCAAGCATTAAAGGGAGCTGACTGGGGTTTTCTAACTTTTCTTGTATGTAAACTACAATAGAGAAACTCTGCATTAAGGCTGCAATTCCAAGCATAGTTAAAAATATAGCTTAGAAGAACCTGTAACTTACCCTGATACAATCTAGCATTTGGGGAACTGCATCACTGGCCATTATTTTGTGGGGTTTTAGGATACCTTTATTAAATAAGAAAAATAAATGTTATTCAACGTCAGCAAACAATGTACATAATTATTATGTAAAAGCTAATTAATACCCATTGTTACATCAAAAGTTTTAGAAGAATTGAGAAGTGAAGTATTTTGACAAGAGAGATACATGTACAAAATATACACCTATATAAAGTACAGAGCTAGCATTTTCCACAATATTTATATGACAAAGATGTGTACTACAGTGTATGTTCATAACATATTTGTTCCTGTTTACACTGTTACATATAGTTACCATTTTGGTTTTTTATTTCTTCTTCCTTAACTCAAATTCCTTAACCTTTTTAATTGTCAATGAACATACACTGTATAACACTCAACAATTACCGGATAAGTATCTTTGGACAATAAAACAGCTGAGGTACAAAAGTTGGAGAATAATAATCTCTCTCTCTCTTTAGAAGGTCATTTAGATCAGTATTTGTCAGGCATTATTCAGCTGTCGTTTTGTTTTGTTTTTGTCTTTTTGGCTGGTAGATAAGATGATGCAATCAAATTCAAATTACTGTTTTCAGAATGTCTTACAAGTAACCAATACAGACAGCTGATCATGATGTAAGAAAAAGCTGCATCATGAAGTAGATACATGATCCCCTAATGACCTTGGCATTGTCAATCAATACCCAACTATTTTTAAAAAATGGATGAAAACATAAATTCTATTGTATATTCCAATCTTAATATAATCAACAAAGAATTGTATTTATACCTTCCAAACATCAAGACATATTTAATGTGTATTCATATACATCATATAGATCTTATACTTTTATAAAGTGCCAGCATGCTTAGAGTATAGTATTAAGGAATATGATTTAGAGTCAAGAAATCTTGTGTAATGTAGGATTAGTTTACTGCAATATGAGGCCCTCAGGAAACTGTCGTGAGAACGGACAGTTAAGATTATATGAAAAAATCTCCAATGATTACTCTTCAGGCGCGGATCCAGGATTTGGAGTTACTTAGGCAAGGGGTCTGGGGGCCGCCTGAGGCCCCCAGTGGGTCCAGGGCAAAGCCCTGGTGGGGGCCCACAGTTGGATTCTAGAGATTTTGAAGGGTGAAAATGAGGTCTACCAAAACATATTTGATTTACGCTAACTTTGACAATTTTAGGGGGGGCGCGCGCCGGGTGCGCCCCCCCTTAAATCCGCCACTGCTCTTCAATCTTTTTTTCAAAAAAGTTTCAATTATAAACAGATAAATATCAAATTCCATTGACAATTTCATTTTCAGTTAAACTTAGCTCATGCGTTTACAAATATCTCTCTTTATCACAAGATCATTTTTTTTAGTATAATCATAATTAATCCGATGCAACCGGCATCTTGTGGTGATGCAATCTCACTCAGTCACTGAAAACATAACATTTAGAGTGATTTCCCTTTTCTCTTTGCCACTGACTTGCTAAAATCAGTTGATGACAAATATTATATTTCCTACCTTTTGATATAAAGCCACGACTCATGGCCTGAGCCATTCGGCCAGCCCCTATAAATCCTATGGTCATGCTCTCACTGACAGTGAATCTCTGATCTTCTGTCCGAGCCATAATAAGATTTTATATGTACACACGTTTTAGGATGCAACGTGCAATCAACTGTAACGACCTCTCCGGAAGTTGGTCTAAAATGAAAGTAGATTAAAAAGGGGGCGGAGTTTCAATCGAGTACACGCCTAGATTCCAGTTTGGATGATGCAATGTTTTGTTAAACCATTTTCTCTCCATATTACGACTATACAAACGCCTATATTAATATATTTTTAAAATTAAAAAAAAATTTAATCAGGGACATCTTTCATGATGATGTATATGTAGTATATACATATGTATTTAATTATTTATCTAAAAACATCCCATAAATGTTTATATTATATACATAGAAATAAACGATTTTTGTTAGAACGGTTAATTTTAACAGTTTTGTTTTTTAAATTATGTTGTAACACTTTTTCTATGTGATTATAAAATTTGAGTTTGCTCAGGTTAAATTTCTTCCTAAGAATTAATTATGTTTATAATATATGAAATGATATTAACTTCCTACAGCGACAAGTCAACTATAAAATCTGGATTTGCAAAATACCCAAACCGTGTTATAATAACAACAAATTATAGGAAAAGAATCAACTACAATTCAATCACTAATCAAATGTACCTCAGCATGTACTATAGCTGGCACTAGCTGCAGACTGAGTGCGGTTTAAAATGAACTATTCGGTTAATTGTTTTCTGTCACAGTCTGCAACTTTAACAGAGGTATTTATTTGCCTCTTCTGGGGATAAAACCCGAGGTCTCTGGCTTGCCAGTCCAGTGCTCTACCAATTGAACTATAGCTAGGGCTAATTAACCAACTAGCCCAAGTTAGTGGTATGCCGTATACCTCATTAGCACTTCCACATTGCCCCCTCCAGAGAATGAGATGTCATCATCTCTTTCGGAGTTTCCGACACCTGTGGGGCGAAGTTCTAGTGACAATCAATCACACCCGCAAGAGAACATCCAGGTTCCAACATGGGCGCCAAATGTAACAGAGACAATTATTTGTTTCTATTGGGAATTGAATCCGGGACCTGTGGCTTGCCAGTTCAATTCTCTGCCAATTGAACTATAGCTTGGGTTAACCAACTAGCCCAAGCTAGTAGGATGCCTATAACTAACACTTCCACATTGTCCCCCTCCAGAGAATGAGATGTCCTCATCTCTTTTGGAGTGCCGACACCTGTGGGGCGACGTTCTAGGGACAATCACTCAGCAGTCTCGTTTAAAGTCATCATTTCGTAAGTTCTTTGGTCGATACAATGGCCTGGTCAGCAAATACAAGTTATCATCGAGTCAAATGCTGACGGACGTTTTTCATACCAACTGTTAGTCCATTATTTATACCTGAATTGACGACGGATTTTTCCGTTATTCCCCGATCATGACAAGGAGCACACGGCAGGTGTGACCGGTCAGCAGTGGATGCTCACTCCTCCATGGAAACTGATCCCACCTCCGATGTTTTGGAGATTTGAGTCTGCTCCTGATTTGTATTGTTTTATGGACTTTGATATTGAATACTGTTCGTTATCTCCATATCCTTTACTTTTTAGCAAAGTGTCAAGGACATGGTGTACCCTCAAAATGAAAATTTACATAAAATAATCGCTTTAGAATAAGACCTCCACTAGCTCTAATTACTGCAAGAATCCTTTTCTCATGGATTCGATGTAACCCTGAATAGGAATGTTTACCTAACTGCTACAACACATACTGCATGGATCTTTCTAAACCGTTGAGATTTTATGGAAAGGGCCGGGGAGGGGGCTTTGACATTCCTTTTCAAAGTCCCTTATGTTCAATGGGATTCAGATCCGGGAATTTGGCAGGCCAGTGCATCAAACAGACGCTTTTTGGTCAATATTTACATCCACCATGGGTGTCTCGCACGTATTTATGTGTACCTCTCTGTGGAATGATTCACACTGTTTGAGATGATACTAAACTGCTATATGAGTTAACTTAAATTAACACATGAAAGATGGCAGTCAAACCAAGCAAGAAAATGACACCCAGAGAGTGAACATCCTTAACCCTAAAGAAGTATGTAGAGTTGGTTGCTGGAATATCAGCACCCTCTACCAGACAGAAAAATTTACCAAAGTCCTAAAGGAAATGGACAGGTATAACATCCAAAGACTAGGTAAATCTAAACTAGATGGACAAAAAATTAGGCTAGTAAATTTGCCACTGTTCATCAAATATATTAGTACTTCACTCGAGAAGAAACGATGAACAGCATAACAGCAGTGTAGGCTTAATGCATGCATTCAGTAGGAAACTAGGGAAGTGCACGTTAGGTTGAAAACCATTCAGCGACAGACTTCTTTCTGCAAGATTAAATTCCATTCAAATATATGCTAAACTGATTATTGTACATGTAGTCTGCTTCTCAACTACAGAAGACATAGAAAAAGGGATTCTCTCTATGGAGGAACTGCAGAGAGCCGTGCAAGAAAAACCATGATGCTGCCTGTTTTACAAAAGAACCAAAGTTTAAATCTGCGTTTAACTTTTTAATTAAAATTAATTATATTTAAATGGTTCAATCTTTTTAAAAGGATTGTGGTATATGGTATTTTTATATTATCAAATATCAAATTTTATCATTAATTCTCCAGAATTTTAAAATCAACTAAAGTTTTTGCCTTTTGGTCTTAATCGTAAGTTCTTTTGTAAAATGGGCCCAGCTCATGATGTACTCCTCATACTGGGTGATTTCAATGCAAAATTCGGCAACAATTTAACAATGAATCCAAACTTGGAAAATATGGCTGTGATGTGATAAACAACAATGGCAGAAGACTAGTAGATTTATATAAAAAAAAATAACTTAATTGTAGGAGGCACCATCTTCCAACACAAGAGCATTCATAAATTAACATGGATTTCACCAGATGGTCGCACAAAGAACCAAATTGATCATGTATCTATGAACAAAAGGTGGAGAGGTAAGAGCATATTAAGAGGGGCCGATTTAGGAAGAGATCACACCCTTGTTCTAGTTAAGCTGAAATTGAAATTGAGAAAGATAAAGAGAGTGGAAGAACGGTCACCTCCGGTGGATGTGAGCAAACACAAAGACTCGACAGTCACGAAATCAGCTAGAGGTGTAAACCGATTTTCTATCCTAAAAAATAAAGAAGTACACATGTACTCCGGCGGTATGCATTGAACAATTCAACACCAATACTTCTTAAGACAGGAAAGAAAACACTAGAGTTGAAAAAGGAAAAACAAAGAAAAATGGATATTGTCCAAGACCTGGAAATTGGTCGAAATAAGACGAAAACAGCAAAGAAGAAAATACTAAAAGCTAAGTCAGTCGGACTAAAAGACCAGCTAAAAGAAAGGTACTCAGTAAAGACGTTAAGAAAATTGTATGAAGGGACAAGAGAGATTATATTGACAAGCTAGCACAAGATGCACAAGCTGTGTATCACATCACAAAAACGCTGAGTGGGGGGTTGTAAAGCAGATATACACAAGTACGAAAACAAAATGGAGAACTGGCCTCCAGTATAGAAGAACTTACCTGTTGGAAAAATCACATCGAAGGAGCATAAAACCAGAAATATCCATCAACAGGACAATCGGAAACCAGAAGTCTCTGTCGAGACGGAAGCTCTACTGGTTTGTACTTATTATAAAGAAAGAGAAAAGTAGCAGTTGGGATATAACACTTTACAAAAGCAATAAATAGAATAATGACAAATACTGATACACAGAATTATGTATCTTAGTGTAGTCTACTTGTGTGCCAAGTTATATTGAAATCAGACCAAAACTGTAGGAGGAGTAACATTTTAATTGTATTTCAAAGAAATTTCTTTTTTAAGTAACAACAGCAACACCGTTCATTGTATCTTAGTGTAGTCTACTTGTGTGCCAAGTTATATTGAAATCAGACCAAAACTGTAGGAGAATGTTTTTCACAGAAATTTCTATTTTAGTAACAACGGCAACACCGTTCTTTGAAATCAAAAACCAATATTCAGAATTATGTATCTTAGTGTAGTCTACTTGTGTGCGAAGTTATAATAAAATCAGACCAAAACTGTAGGCGGAGTAGCATTTTGAAAATATTTTTTTAAAATTCTATTTTTAGTAACAATGGCAACACCGTTATCGAAATCAAAAACCGCTACATAGAATTATGTATCTTTGTGTAGTCTACTTGTGTGCCAAGTTATATTGAAATCAGATTTAAACTGTAGGAGGAGTAGCATTTTGAATGATTTTCACATTTTTTCTATTTTTAGTAACAAAGGCAACACCGGTCATCGAAATCAAAAACCGATACACAGAATTATGTATCTTAGTGTAGTCTACTTGTGTGCCAAGTTATATTAAAATCTGACCAAAACTGTAGGAGAAGTAGCATTTTGAATGATTTTCACAAAAAATTCTATTTTAAGTAACAACGGCAACACCGTCCATTGAAATCAAAAACCTATACAGAGAATTATGTATCTTAGTGTAGTCTACTTGTGTGCCATGTTATATTGAATTCAGATCAAAACTGTAGGAGGAGTAGCATTTTGAAAAATTGTTTACAGACGGACAGACAGACAGACAGACGGACGGACGACGGACGCATTACTATCACATAAGCTCTTCTGGTCTCTGACCAGTAGAGCTAATAAGTGAAGGTCTCGATACTTACCAATAATAGAGGAAGTAAAACAGAGTATCTTACTTCTTAAGAATGGGAAAGCGCCAGGCATCGATCTGGTACAAGCTGAAATGTTGAAAGGCTGAGGAAGTATTAACATCAAGACCTCTGACCGATACCCTGCAAACAATTTGGCAGACAGGAACATGACCAGTGGGTTGTAAGGTTGGTCTCATAGTGAGGCTGCCCAGAAAAGGCAACTTCGCTGATACAAACAATTGGAAAGGACCTCTGCCTGTTTTTGGGTGTCTCAGGCCAATACAGGATGAAATATGTGAAGGGCCTGAGATATGTTTTATATAACTTCCTTCGAAAGATGTTTTAATGAAATTCTCGACAACACCATTTCATAATTATTTTTAATTCATTTTTATATATTTACTTTATATCATCAATGGCACATACATCTCGAGACCAATTGTTATAGACGTACGACTAGGTAAGAAGTGAAATTTTCAGTCAAAATGTTCAGCTCAGCTTTCAAAACCAATATTTTTTTCACTTAAAAATGCACAAACATAAGGTAAAGTTCTTTTTTAAAATACATAATCCGTTGTTTACGGATATCATCAATGTCCAAAGATTTGCTATTGGCTAAAAGACTATCTCGAAGTGTGATGATCTGAAAACAAGCTAGACTTAAAAATAAAGTTTTAATTCGTGAATATAACAAAAAACATAAAAATAATTCAATAGCATAACACTAACACAAAATGTAAATATATTACAGAATTGTCAGTAAAAAGTGCAAGTTTAGATACAAAAAAAAAATGGTATTTGACCACATTACTTCTATTGCTTTTGTATGTATACAGGTACATATTTTTAATAAGAAATAAGAGTTGAACTTCATAACAAATGAGATCATGGCAATTTCAAATTGTTTTGATAATGCTGCACGAAGAAATAGCGTAGTTTAGCAGTGCTATTTGACTGAAAATGTATAAACCACCGGTAAGATACATGTATAAACTATAATTACTTAATAAACTATAGATAACTTTAATTGCAAAAGTACTAGTATCTGTCATACATATTCCATATGTACATATTATGTACATGGTCAAATACTGGCAATGCTTTTTGTAAAATAATTGTAAATACAACATTTGATTTCTTTTGCAGAGGAATAAGTTGGTCCTTTGCACAACGGAAACTAACAGCAAAAACGTATGTTAATGTGTCTGCGACACGTATATGCGTACAAACACAGGGACTTGATGGCTTGGGATTCAGAAATATTAAGTAACTATGGCGCCATCTCTCCTATAAAATAGCCTGTGAGATGATGAGCTCCAATCTTATTTGGGGGAGGCTTGCGCTTTGATTTTCTCCACCTCTTTTTCCTCCACTTGCGCTTCCATTTCGAGAGACTCCTCGTGTTTCTGGAGTTCTTGTTCACCCATTTCTTTGGCCTTCAGAGCTGATGCTTCCACAGCGTCCATGATGGTCCCTCGGAATCCTTTGCGCTCCAGCTCGTGTATGGCTGCGATCGTGGTTCCCCCTGGTGAACAAACTTCGTCTTTCAGCTGGCCGGGGTGTTTATCAGATTCAAGAACCATCTTTGCAGCACCCTGAAAGCAGAGAGTCTTGATGTGACTTTTCGAGAAATTTTTATTATTTAAGTGATCGACGATTTTAACTGTTTGGCAGAAGACTCACAAATAAGGTCTGTGCGGCAAGTTTTGTAGACATGTCTCTAGGAAGTCCCATTTTAACTCCCCCATCTGCCAGAGATTCAATGGTAGCAAAGGCCTTTAAAAAAATCATATCATAAAATATGAAACAATGGAAATGAAAAATAAAATAGTGAAAAGAAAATATTTGGATAAATCGTGAAAATTAACTGATATAATGTACCGAAATGCTGTATATGTCAGTTTTTAAAGATTTATAAGCCTCCATTCATTTCACAAAGATAAGTCCCTGACGGGAAAAAGTCTTAAAGTTATTAGACTTACATAGGCTGGTCCACTTCCGCTGAGTCCGGTCACCGCGTCCAGTTTATCCTCCGTTCCTACGAAGCACAGACCCACAGTCTGGAACAGTTTTTGTACTAATGGGGCGTCGCCTTTGCGTACTGACTTTCCTGGTGCAACAACTGTAGCTCCTGCATGCACCAAACTGGCAGTGTTCGGCATAGCACGTAATACACGTGTTTCCCTTGGTAAATTCTGAAAATAGTTAGAAAGGATTTTAATGAGATGTTTGAAAATAAAAAAGAAATTATCAACTTCAGTCTGAACAAAAACTTCAATGCTTCTCACCGCCTCAAGGATCTCAAGAGGTACCCCGGCTGCTATGGAGACAAAGATCTTCTCGTCCGTGAAGAAGTCCGAGATTTCATTCAGTACATCAGACACTGTATGCGGTTTGACAGCCAGTACTACCAGGTAGCTCCTCTCCACAACCTCAATGTTACAGTTAGTGGTCCTTATACCCAGTTTCTGATTAAAATATAAAATAGCATGAAATGTTTTCCCAAAGCACCAAGGATCCATAACAATTGCATTTGACAGTAGTCAAGCTACATTACTGCCATAGGAAAGAAGATGCATATATCAAAGCGTCCCATCTTATCCATCCCAACCTATACATGTACCCTGATAAAAAAAAAACAACAATCTGGATTTACTGTTTTTCTAGGAGAGTTTGGCTACCTTTACTTACAAGGACTGTGAGAAGGTCATGTTATTAATCAATAGACAAGAATATAGATCATAATTAAACAATTTAAGCATGTAAATGTATACTGTAGACCTAATTCATCTAAAGATATACCACCGGAGCGGACAGGATTACCTTCATGTCTTGCAGGACCGATTCCGACATGTCACTGGCTATCATCTTTTGGGGCTTCACAACACCTAGATATAAAAGAAAATAAATGTGTAAGAAAGCTCCTGTGAAGAAGGTTAGTGATGCGAATTATATTTCTAATTTTGATGGAAACCTTAAGAACCAAAGAAAGAATTTTATCACGTTCTGACATAAAACAACAGACATAAGAACAACAAAGAAGTTAAGTCCCTAACAAATAAGATATTAAGTACGATGTCTTAACATTTTTCGGGATGTGAATACGGGTTGGTCACGTGAGCAAATGCCATAAAGGCACGAAGGGATTTGTTGTAGAGATTTTACACGACGATACCAAACCATATTTATTCCCGATCAATATTTCAAATGATAGGGTTTTGCATATGTGACTCAATTATAACAATCTTTGCGTATTACGGACTGTTGATATCCTTGATTCATTATCTTGTTTGTCAATAGCTTGTCTATTTTTAAAAACTTTTCGCATATTACTCTTTCGAATCAATATTGGGAGACGTCAAACCGCCTTATGCAGGTGGTAAGTATATATTGCTACACAAGTCGGGGGAAAATTCTATAGAAAAAAACACTCAGTGCTCATTATAAAGTTTTCTTGTTAGATTACAGTCTCTTTCTAGTAAAATATTCAAATATGGAAAAAGTAAAGTGTGTATTCCCGTAAAATGCTTTTTATTCAACCTTCAGCGGCATAAATTGAGCATATTCCTCATTTTAGAGGTTTTAATATCATTTTTTCCCCTTATACAGTAATACTCTTTATTTCCTATCTAGCTTGTAACACGAGCTTTGATTGGTTACAAAGTCGGGTGTAAATATCCGTGCACCCGACTTGAGCCGGGTGTAAATAAAACGTGACGTCACAATGCATACATTCTCTATGATAAAAGCCAAATAACATGACGTCACGATGCATTGTAGTACGTAGTTATCTAATCGATAGATTGAGACACACTCTGATGTTTACAAAGCATTTTTATGGGTACAAAGGAAATAAATTCGTTATCCAGGTTCAATCAAGGGTGACTGTTAATTTGACATTTTATTCATACACCCTTCGGCCTGCGGCCTCAGGGTGTTTTTTATGGAAAAAAAATAAAAAAATGTAAAATGTCTACTCGTACACCCTTGATTGAACCTGGATAACTAATATTATTTCCTATGTAGCTTGTAACACGAGCTTTGATTGGTTACAAAGTCGGTTGTAAATTTCCGTACACCCGACTTGAGCCGGGTGTAAATAAAACGTGACGTCACAATGCAAGTTTTTCTATAATACAAAGCAAATGGCATGACGTCACGATGCATAGTACGTAGTAAATCTTATCGATAGGTTGAGACACAGTAGATTGTATTAAATTTTATGTTTACAAAGCATTTCTATGGATACATAGAAAATAAATTCGTTATCCAGGTTCAATCAATGTATCAACATTTACCCCGGGTTGTATTTATACACCCTTCGGCCTTCGGCCTCAGGGTGTATGGATAATATTCGTTTTCAGTATTTCCTCAAACTCATTGAACCTGGATAACTAATACTATTTCTTGCATTTTATCTTAACTATAGGTTTAACATATTATTACTCAAGATATAAGTCATATGTAGAAACAGTAAATTAAGTCAATCAATACTTTTCAAAGCCATCGATGTTGAACATTGATTTTTTTTTAGCAGCAAAATCAATGGCGGATTAACACCAACACCCCCCCCCCCCCATCTCCTTATACATGTTTTAATTATCAAAGATATAGCGTAAATCAGTAATAAAAAAAATGAACGAGTCGACAATCTAAAACCCACCTGTGAGATAATGAGTAATAAGTTACGATAGCTCAAGCGTCAGACTGTTAACTCTTTGACATTAAACATAAAAAAAAATCTGTAATTCTGTTTGTTTTTTTTTTTAATGGAAAAAAATATATAAAATGTAAAATGTCTACTCGGCAGGCCTCATTTTAACCCTACAAAATCTCTAGAATCCAGGAGCTTCCGGGGGCTTCACACCCTTGGGTTATGGGCAATCTTTGTTGAAATGGACCCAAGTTTATCCTCAAGGCGGCCCCAGACCACTTGCCTACTTTTGGCGCCTCGCTAACTTCAGTTCCTGGATCCGCACCTTTAAATCATAACATCTCTTTATAAGATGATTATTTGAGAAACAGCCAATGAGCCCGACTTTTCCGTGGCTTATCTGCAAAAGTTTGAACTCATTTTGAAAGTAATGTAGGTCTTTGACCTACTTATTACTAACGTATGATCAACATCACCAGGCAATCTTTAGATCCACGCCTTGTCTTCCGTAATAATATTCGTTCTCAGTACTTCCTCAAACTCATTTCCTCTCATGAGAGCTTTCCATTGGGAAGGTCAAAGTTTAGAGAAAGCGGTTATTCAAAATCAACAGTGTGTTAAATTGTCTAATAAATTAACATATCGCTAAACTGAATACTCTACCTCAAGGCAGAGAGTTTTTTTTTCTTTTCTCCAGGTAATTTTTAGGTACATGTAGGCCCTATTTCTGCACATAATAAAATACTACCATACAAAATACACAGTTTTTGGTATATTATCCACCACATACGTATCAGTCGTATACGTATAGGCCTGTATGTTCAGTAGATCTGAAGGATCAAAATTATTAATCAAGTTGCCCCATCCCCCCACCCACCCCCCCCCCCCCTTCTCTGGCTGGCTGAATTATATGTGATGTTGAAAATATTCTATTTAAAGATGATAATTTTATGAAGCACTTCAGCAACACGTAGATTACTTTTTTAACTGTTTGTATTTTACCAGGAAAAATACTATAAACACTATACACTATATATCGCATGAATGCACATTGCCTGGAATCGACTATAGGCATAATACTGCGTCTGACAAGCATTAGAATATAATTATGTGATTGCTTACTAGTTATACATCAATGCTCGCATTACGGCATATATTTATATGATGCTGTACATCATGAAATTTTTTTATTTATAATTATTTTCAATCTTTTGTGGGAAAAAACTTCTACTTCGAACTAATTTAAGCTGGTAATTAGATCCAGTCTGTACTGGAGATTTTCAAAGAAAATATCAAAGGTCTGCCATTTAATTTTTATGTATCTAATTTTACAAAGATTGTCAGATTATTTATTAAGTTTAGGAAGGTGCAAATAATGGATACAATAATTTAAAATAGTTTTGTCTACACTGATAAATAATGGCATTTTTACCACAATGTGATTTATTAACAAACACAGTTAATATATATTAGCATTCTGTTGTTTGAATAAGCGTAGTACTTAACAGATTCAGAAATTCGTATGGATTAGTATAATTTTTAAATGAACAAATTTGACAGTCAATTCATTAAATTAATAGGTTGCCACTCCGGGCCCTTAAAAATAAATTTTGGAAATTGTTGGACTTTTTCAAAAGGTAAGTATATTCATATCAATCAATTAAAAATTACCGTGGTACCACATTTTTTCAGTACTTCTCATTGACATTGACAAAGATGAAGACGGGGGGGGGGGATAAAAGACTTAGACTGAGAATACGTTAACTTACCTTTGGATATAAAGCCCCGACTCAAGGCCTGGGCCATTCGCCCAGCCCCAATAAATCCAACCGACATTTTAGTTTGTATTTAATTTTCTTCCCTTTATCCACTGGACATTGAGCTGAGCCATGTAGAATTGTTCAAGACATGTCAACAACTGAACAGCTGTAAGGCACGTGTTAGCATAAAAATCAATACATTATGATCACGCGGGCCATGAGTGCACGCGTTGCTTCACTATAGTAACCGTTAGGTCGCGGAAACTTTCCAATGTTGCGTGCGCATACACACTTTTTTTTTACAGAGCGGGGAAAATTACGTTTTTGCGTATTTCTAAAATATTCCCTACTTTTTTTTTTTTAGATCCGCACTATATCAACTCTGCGTTTGCATTAAGAAATTTCTTTTAATAGTTAAACAGAATTTTTCCCTCGACACTGTTCTTTATAATTGTGTATTGTAACGTTTATATACAATAGGCAAGGCAATTTAATTCGGTAAATACAGGTATGCTAAATTAACTTTTATCAAAGAAGCAATGCATGCATATTATTAGTGATCACTGATAGATTTTTTTAAATTTAATTTATAATTTAAATAAAAGAAAGGAAAAATGCACAGACACAACACAAAAAATAAACTAATCTGGTCGTGCCGGGGGGGGGGGGGCACAATAATTTATACAAGGAACAAAACATTTAATCCCTTAGCATATATAGTAATTAACCATAAACTGCAAACAAAAATAGGGGGAGACGGCGACCGGCATTTCAATTAACATTCTCCATATTAAATTACATGTACGTGTATTTGAATTTTTTGCTTTAAATGTTCCAGATCGACTCCCCGCCCCTTCTCCCGATAGTGCATAGTTTTTTATTTAAGTATAAACTTCGACATGTCTTATTTATATTTATTTGATCAGAAAATGTACTTGGTCATCTACAAAAAAATTGTTTGCCCTCTCCCGACCGATTGGCTAAAAATATCCTGATTCAAAACTTTTTTAACCACCAGGAATCGGTTTTTTTCCTTTTTATTATTCCTTTATTTTCTCATTCCGTCGATACGAATGCCAATATTTTTATGCCCCCGTAATCGAAAATTCGGGGTGTATAGTTTTTGCATTATCCGTCCGTCTGTCTGTCTATCTGTTTGTCCGCAAAAACTTTAATCTTGCCTATAACTTTTGACTGGTGCGGCTATGGCTTTCATATTTCACAAGTGTTTTCCTTGTGACAAGACCTTACTTTGGGTACCGCAAAATTTGACCTATTGACCTTGGAGTTTGACACACTCTTACACAAAAACATTCCTAACTTTTACTTTGACCATAAGTCTTTAACGGTTGGTGCTAGGACTTTCATACAACGCATATGTATTCTTTCAGTTTCTTTGAGAAAAGACCTTCCATTGGATACGTTTGACCTTGACCTTGGAGATTAATGTACTTAAAAAAACTTTCACCTTGGCCATAACTTTTGAAAGGTAAGGGATAGGGCTTTCATACTTCATATATGTGATCCGTGTGATATCATAAGACCTTTCATTGAATGCCAACAACTTTGACCCTTTGACCTTCACCCTGGAGTTTGACCTACTTTTTAAAATATTTAACCTTGGCCATAACTTTTCAATGGTTAGTGCTTTCATACTTTAACATATGTAATTGTTGTTACAAGACCTTTCTTTAGAAACCAACAACTTCGACCTTGACCCTAGAGTTTGACCTATCTTTAAAAAACTTTAACCTTGGCCATAACTTTTGAAGAGTTGGTGCTAGGGCTTTCATATTTCACCACTGTATTTCTTGTGAGAAGGCCTTACTTTGGTATATGATTTGCATTTGAGAAAAATTTAACCTTCGCTATGTTGCCATACGGGGTCATCAGTAATCTGTAAACACATCTTGACCTTTTAGTGAAAAAAAAAATCCCACCTAGCTACCTACCGACTAAATTTTTTACCCTGAGTCGGAACTGGAAAGGACAAACAGACGTATTTTAAAGATGACCTGATGTAAAATTTTATCTACAATTAACCCCTTTCAGCTTACTATACAGAATGCAGGCGTGTTTAAATTCTTTTATCCAGTTGAAAAAATTTGTTATATATTTCATATTTTATTACTTGAAATTTAAAAATGCCTTTGGTCATGTTGTTCATTTGTTTATTTATGCCAATACAAATAAGTACGATCACGTTAGATGTCAATGCACTTGCAGACGTTGTCAAAGCAGTGCCAGGAAGCGTCCTGGTCCGGGCAGGCCGGAAGTCCATAGCAGTCCCGAAGTCCACGACAACCTTAAAATTAAAAACAAAATTTATTAATGCGGGAAAAAAGTACATGCATATCCTAGAAAAAACGAAAGCAAAGACAAGACCTATTGTATTTTTATGAAACAAGCTTTTTGACAAGACCCATTGTATTTTTTTTTTTTTTGTATGAAACATACAGTTTAAAAGCGTTCAGGAACATACTAGTAATTATACCGGTACATGTCACGGGAACTTGTTTCGAAAATAATTTTTTAACCCATAGTATATAACAACACTATGGGTTAAAAAATTATTTCCGAAACATGTATACTACCAAACCATTCCACTACCATTAATATTCCTCCAATTAGAGAAACATGGATTTCAAACAAATCCAATCTTTTGGCGAACATTTTCCCCTTGAAAAGGACATATCATTGGATCATTTGTATAACACATAATTATGACACGATAATAAAATCCTTCTGAATAAACGATGTTTGAATTAATAGAAAGTCCACTCATGTAGTTAGACAGACTGAGAAAATGTTCAAGTAGTAAAGTAGAAGAAGCGAATATAATATTATGTTTTTAAAAATATAGAGACAATAAAGTCGGACGATAAATAGATTTGATTTCTTAAAAATCAAATAAAGTTCTAAGAACTTAGCGAAAAGAGTGGAGGCATTTTTCGGGGTATTTTTGAGACCTATTTAGGACTTTGGAACTTAATGTTGATCGTTTAAATATATATATATAGCCAGTATGATTAACTGTATCCAAGATAAGAAAATCTTTAGAATGCCAAAAGTAACAAGTTCACAGAAACTCTCGATCATTGTACTTTGGACCCGTTAAAATTCTGCTCAAATTTTGGATAACGTACGTCTCTCCGTAAGGCACGTGCATATTCCCTGTGTGCAGCCGATAAATGACCCAGAAGCGCATGTCTCCAGAGTGCAGTCGGCTGCTCCTTGACATCTCTCGCCAGCAATGAATGCTAAAATGGGGGAGAAATCTTTCTTTAAACATATTTACACACTTTTATTGGACATGCAGGATATTTTTATCTTCTTATTTTGACAAAAGTACAATGTAATCGTTTTATATGTTTTATATTTATATTTTATTTCATAGCTTTATTCCTCTGCTAACTCAAGCATTTTTTTCCAATTATTTTTTTGTTATAAAAAGAAACATAAATTATTCTTGAATAACAAACAATTTCAACAAACTTTGCGGTTTCACATTCGACAAAAAATTGTCCTTCAAATTCACAATTTCAAGAGAATAAAAATTATTGATATCATATATAGAGAGTTATTCCTCTTATCATAAAGTCGATGTACCTTAAGCGATGTTAAAAAGTTTTAGTAAAAACATGTATCCTGTTAGAAATTTTGATTATTCTGTCCATACAACTGATCCAATTCTTATATTGTTCACGAAAGTGCATATGGACTGACATTTTTTGGATAATATAAATACAATACCTGCGAGAAGACCGAAAATTGTGATGGAAACTAGAACCTTCATGCTGCCCTGACTACGGTTTTGGAGATCTGATATTGGACTTAGTAGTGAGTAGTTACTTATAGGGATTAACGTGAGGAGGGATGTGACGAAATCGAAAGAAAGGGGATCAAACGTGTTCTTGTTGGCGCTGTCCACAAAGTGGCCAATGATCATCATAGACGGATTACGACATGATAACCATCGTGGTAAAATGCCTTGATAAAATGAAAAAAGGGAGTAATGGAAACAACATTTGGGACATGGGAACATTCCATGCATTATTATAAAAAAAAAAAACGTTTGTAATCGAGTCAAAATAGAAGTAAAGCCCGTGATGTGCATAAAGTTCTGAATATTCAATGCTTCCTGAAATTAGTTTCACCGAAAGTTTACCTGTATCCTTAAAACCAAACCGAATTGTGAGCTGTGAAAATCTTTCAAACAAAGATGTGTTTTTGAAACACTGATGCCCCCGTATACATACAGCAGCTATTGTAAACGGTTTGTGTTTGGGCTTTCATCTTTCCTGTATATTCATTGAAACTTGTTCTTTCTTTGGTTAACAACATCATTCCTTAAGCTTATAACCTTAGAGTTTGACTTGCATTTCGCAAACTTTCATCTTTGCCGTTAGCAGTCATAGTGGGGCATCACTGACCATTCAAATCCCTCGAATATGTGTGATTGCATTGTGTTAAATTTAACACCAAACTATACGAGCTAGATATATCCATAAATTAAGATTATATTGCTGCCATGGGCATATTAAGTATAAAAACATGACTTTTTGTTGCAAAATGGGCTTTGTCCCATAACTTGAAGTGTAAATCGAATGATTTTGTGCGCGAGTTCCTCTACCTGAATACCTTCACACCCCTCATGCACCTGAGTTAATGGAATCTTCCAGTAAAAATATGCCTTAAATAGATTAATAATTATTTACCTCGCTATAATAATGAACCGAGTGAAATGTCTTTTATTGTTTTCTCTTATTCTTAATGTAGTTGGACTAATATTTTTTGTGATTGGATTTTCTACGCATTTTTGGTTGGAATCAGACAAAAATTACAGGACTTCCTCGGGATTTGAAAGCGTAGGTATTCCTTTCTGTGTCAAAATGTCTGCCTCAGGTGTACAACTATAAATGTTTTGTTAGATTTGACTCAATCATGAAATAAGCTTATGGTCGTTATGCCGTTTTAAGACTTTAAAAACATTGATATAATAATTATTGCTTTATTTCGAAAGATACACCAGTAAAATAGTCAATAACCGAGGAGTAATCTGTTTCGGGGGGGGGGGGGGGGGGGTTACGTATTCTTTTTTCCATGATAGTTGAAATTTTCACTGCCAATGTCGTTGTCTACTACAAATGATCTTAATAAATACAACATTTACCTGTATTATAGGTATTGGTTGAAAAAAAAATAAATCATATAAATTATCTGCTAGTGGTATCATTTTAACGTATTCTTTTGTGTAAAACCACAGAACATTTTCTATCTTCTATGTACATGTACCCTGATATGAGAGAACCCTCGTTACTCCTGAAAAATCGTTTACCAAGCATTGCAACACTTCAAAGGATGATAAAACTAGTGTAGTTGGCATGAATTTGTTTGAAATAAATATGACATTGGTAATTCTCATTTGCCAAGAGTAACAGTTTTTCTTACTTTTATAGCTTGGCTTATGGGAAGCTTGCTTCAAAGATTTTTCTCACAAGACAAGTTATAATGGGAAGCTCTACAATGGTTGCTGGTGGATGTTCTCGTACGAATATGAACCAATCAGGGAGTGGCTGAATCCACGTAAGTATCAAAAAATCAAGGCATGAGTATGAACCAATCAGGGAGTGGCTGAATCCATGTAAGTACTGAGGAGATCGAGGTATGAGTATAATTATATGAATAAATCAGGGAGTGCTAAATCCACGGAAGTATATAAGAGATCAAGGTACGAGTATGAACTAATCAGAGAGTGGCTATATCCACGTAAGTGTAAAGGAGATCGAGGTATGAGTATGAATAAATCAGAGAGTGGCTGAGGCTACGTACGTATCGAGTGATCAAGGTATGAGTATGAACCAATCACAGAGTAGCTGAATCCACATAAGTTTCGAGTGGATCAAGGTACGAGTTTGAAACATTCAATCAGAGGGTGGCTGAATCCATGTAAATATATGAGTGTGACCCAGTCAAGGTCTCAGAATCCACAGAAGCATCCAGGGGATCCTGTAGGAACTAATCAAATAGCTATGTATCAAGGATGAGAATATAAACGTGAGAGTGGTTCAAACCATTTTAAAAGTATAGAGGAGAGTGAAGTAAAAGTCAAAGAAACATTAATAAAAACTTTTAGAACCAAACCAATGTAAGTATTAACTGAGAAGTCTAGGTTATATGTATAACTGTACAGATGTATATATACATATGTTTATTAATGGAAATCCCTGTAAGGTCCTGTAATGATGAGTTAGACCAATATAAGTATAAATTATGCCAATCAGAAAGATGGAATCCACGTTGAGAAATGAGTATGTGTTAATCAGAGAAAGGTAGAATACATTGAAGTAACTGTATAGAGTAGCTTACAGTTGACTGTATAATATGTGTATGTCCAAATCAGAAAGTGACCCACTCCACATATGTTAGAAGGGTCGGACTATGTTATAGGGATGAGTCATTCTAAAGTGACTAATAAATCAACGTAAGTATCGAGAATAAGTATTAAAAAATGTTAGTGACTGAATCCACATATTAAAATATCAAACAGGAAACAGTAAAGAACATTTTAATGTTTAACTCGAAAAAAGGGCAACGAAAGTTTCATTAGGGTCACATCGAAAATAAGGTAGAATAATTTAAAGACTTTAAAAGCCCTTTCTTTTGATAATTATGACATGGATGCAATTTTATTTTAGATGTTAGATAGTTTTTTTTTTTTACTTTCACGGATCGTTTTGAATGATTCAGTATCTCTGTCGTTTCAGCGTGGTTGGTTGCCATCCAGGTGATGATGACGATTTCCCTCCTCCTGCAGTTAGTGGGAGGGATCATGGGCGTGCTAGTTTTCCTGGGTGTGTGTCCGGGAGCTGCCAATTTTCTCGCACTCTTATCTATAGCAGTCATGATTCTTGTTTCAGGTGATTACAATGTATCTCTAGATGATGTTAAACTTATAATTTATCATTTAATTGTCAATATTGATTTCGTTAATACCGGTCTCGAAAATGTACTTGGGGTGTGTTGATAAAAGATAATTCAAAGAATTAATTCAGTATGAATTCCATTTTTTTTTGCAGGTGTCATTTCAGCAGTTTGTTTAATCTTGTTTGGTGTCAAATCCGACCAGCCAGAATTGGAAGCAAAATGGATTTATTATCCAGAAAAGAACTTTTTATCCTGGTCCTTCGCCATGGTGGCGGTATCCGGATTTTTGTCCCTGTTTGGTTCTATGTGTGGCTTTGTCGCCGCCATGACAGCGAGACTGGAAGACAAATATGGCGAACGCCCTTCGTATGATGGGCACATGCTTCGGTCACAGCCAACTGTTTACTGAATCCACAAAAGTAGCATCTACATATAAAACATGGGTCGTCAAGTTTTTATACATTATACATGTGTATATTTTTTCAGTTTATGTTGTTGAAAGTTTTATTTGTTTTATATATTTTTTTAATTTAATCCTTGCGCAAAGGACAAACATTTATTTCGATGCTGATGCCGATTCATATTTGCTCTAAACATCAAGAACAACGAGTGATTATCAGAATAATTTTATATCCTTAAATTTAAACTTAATAAGAAATTTTTATGCAAGAAAATCAGTATGAAAATGATGTATTTGAGTAACAAGGTTTTTTCAATACAATGAGTAAAAATACGCCTTTAAATTAAAACACATAGGATTTTATGACTGTCGTTTTCCCTTTTTTTCAGGTACACGGACTGTAAGTAATTTCAAATATCTCATTAACTCCATGTGCAGATTCATTGAAAAAAATGCATAATTTACATCCATTACCATATTGCCATTGTCATGTCATCTTTATTAAAATTTTATATTATCATTCAATGAATGTTTTATTTTTAATAAAATATAACGCAAACAATATTTATTGAGTTAAATTTGTTCAGCAGAGCTGCCCCGTGTCATTCCTTGCAAAATGCTAGTAACTAGCAAAAGTTTGAATACAAGTATGGGGGAAATCAAAACCCTGGGAAGGATCTTCTCAATGAACACCGATAATAAATCTCGTACAGCTTTTTTAGTGCATGGGTAATTTGGACAGGTTGGTACCCTTCCAGTACTTTCCATGGTTAATATCTTGTGGTAGTCTTGAATTTAAAAAAAAGTACAACTGCTTAGGAGGTCTCATGTTGCTTCTCAATGTTCAGAAGTATTTACAAAATTGCACGTCCTCTAACAGTGATGATATATATGGCACGCCAAATTCACAAAAATGACCTAAACATAGTTTCACAGTCGATAAACTAGGTTTACCGGTTATAAACTATAGTTTACGGACTGTAAACTATAGTTAACAACGTTAATCTATATTTTACATCTGTAAACCATAGTTAATGCGATAATCTATGTTTGACAACCGTAAACTATACTTAACACCGGAAAAAATCATTTGCGATTGCAAAACATAGATTATCTGATAGATACAGTAATTTCACGATTTGTAAACTATGGTTTACAACTCTTAACTATAGTTAACGATCTGATAAATATAATTTCACGATTTGTGAAACTATGATTAACAACTCTTAACTTTAGTTTACGATTGTAGATTAGTTAACAAACGTGGATCTATGTTTATCAACAAATTAAATCTATTGTTAACGTTTCATTACAGGCAGATAAACCTAGATTAGCATTCGTAAACTATAGTTAACAACCGTTAAATATAGTTTTACAGATGAAAACTATACAAGTTAACGAATTGTAAACTATAGTTCACGGTTTGTAAACTATAGTTTACAGTCGATAAACCTAGTTTATCAACTGTGAAACTACATGTATGTTTAACTCATTTTTGTGAATTTGGCGTGCCATAGATATGTATACATGCATGTACTTAAAGGATTAGATACGTTGAGTCCCATTTATGTCCCAGGAGCTGTTTACGGTGTCTGTTAGAACAGTACAATACGAAAAAAGACTACCGTCATCCTTGTTGTAAAAGCTGCACAGTGCTGGCTTTAAATGAGAGTTTATAAAATATCACAAGAAGGTAACAAAGAACTTTATTCGGTAAAAACCAATATTTGCCCCCCAAATCAAACTTTGACGGAGAAATATATAATAATGTACCTAAACAAGGGAATATATGCTGACTTCAAAGCACTGAACATTTTGCAACGACGTCATATGTTTGAAATGACGTCAAGAAAATGACGTAAATTTAAAATTTCCATGATTTCTATAGAAAAATGTATATATTACGCCGATATTTTGAGTAAAAGTCACCGAGCGCAGGTCTGATCAGGTTCAATATTTTTATATAATGTGTAGATTGATAATATCTGTAAAATATGTAAATATTGTTCCTGGGCAAACTTGCGCTCTATAAATTTTAAAGCTAAAATTGTTGAAATTTTGTCCGTTTTGTCCTCTTTCTAAAAAAATGATATAAAATCGGACTATTGTAGTTTGTGACGTTATAAAAACAAAAATTGTCAATAAACTACTTTGAAACTATAAGATATCCTGTTAGTTTATATTTCTCATACAATTGATAAAATTCAGAACATTTCAAGAATTCTTAAAATTTTGACTTTTGTGGGGGCAAAGATATGCAATATACCGCATATACATGTAGTTCTTTGATAAATTTTTGATTTTTCTCATTGCTACTCTTTTTAAATCATTTTTTTTTAAATCAAATTTTGTTGCAGATTCAATGTCAAAATAGAGGCAAAATTCGGATGTAAACATATCTCGTCCTTTGCAAAAAGCTGTCAATGGAAATTACAATTCTGGGCCTACGCAAGTACGAGTAGTGCTGAAACATCTCTATGAAATCAGAACTTGCACTGATGTTCTTTGCTAATATACTTTTTACTTTGTAACCAGCGAAAATAAATCAAAGTTTCAAAATAAATTTTTACTGAAAGAAAAAAGACAAGTATCACAATCTTTTCTACTTTTAAATAACCAAGTCCATTGACGTACGACTGATTGTGCAACTATCCTATCATTTTAAACATCCCTTGCTCAGGTGAAAATGGACTCGCCCTACCTGTATTTACATTCCGTTTGACTTGTCTAATAATAGCGTCATGGCTAATAAAGCCAGTAAGCTTGTTTTGGTTTCTCTTTTGATATGTTCTGTTGGCATAGTCTTTTTCCTTCTGAGTTTTGGGACAGGGAATTGGTTGGAAGGGGACAATCAGGGCTTCCTCAGCATGGGGCTCTGGGAAGCCTGCTTCAATAACTGGCGTTACTACAAAGACCCTACGCAAAACCGATACGACGGCTGCAGGTGGATGCTGTCCTCTGATTTTGACGATATCCGGGAGTGGATTTGGCCAGGTAAGTATAAAGAAACATCGTAAAACCAGCAACAACTCATTCGTTTGATTTGTAACATCGATAGTATTCTGTTTTACGTCTTTATAAACGATTGCCGGAGGTCATGGCTAAACATAGGGAGTAGTTATTGTATTTTTATAGGGATATAGTTATTTACAGTGATCATCAAAATTTAATTAATTATTCTACATTGTACATAACACTATGCTGAGGATTATGCAATTACATGTAACATACCTTCAAAAACGTATACTTGGAATGTAATGTAAAATATGAATCCGCCTCTTTATACCAATATAGAACCATAAACTATGGTTGTAATACGTTTGATAAAATTTCCCTTCTCTTTATAGCATGGTTACAGGGCGTACAGGGCATCATGTGTGTCTCGCTGATTCTGGAGATTTTTGCTGTCATCGTGTACGTCGTCATCATGTTTCATATGTTACGACAAAAGTACTTTTTCATCATTCTTCTAGGCACTGCAATGGCAAACTTCATCTCAGGTACGCATTGCCAGCTGAATACGCCTTGAGTTGTCTTCATCTTTCCAATTCATATATAATACTTTGACTAATGCTACGTGTATTTTTTCAGCGTTTTTCTGTTTCGTGAGCATGATTGTCTTTCATACCAAGGCTCTAAATGATCTCAGGTGGATTGAGAATAACGAAAAACATAACCAAGGCTGGTCCTTTTACATCCTCATCCCTGCCATGTTTTGTTTCGTCATTTCCGGTTTGACAACTATCATGTCAGCTAGGCGGTTTCGTCGAGACGCAAATGATGGGCCAGTGGCAATTCCATACCGGTCTTGAAAATGGACAGTTGGTCAAAATTCGATGTCTCATTGCCAGTAGATGAAATGTCTGGTACGCCATTAAATGATAGACCGCAGTGCTGCATGTCCTCCTCGATTATTGACTCCGGACAGTGGCGATTGATGGTTTCCGGTATCGCCAAAAGAATGTGGCGGCTTTGATCTCAATGTATAGTTTTTATCAAAGTTATAAAAATGTTTTTCTATATGTGTGGCAGTTTTTGTAGGTTTAAGGATGTTAAGTTTCTAGATGAAACGCTCCCTGTTGGCAATTTTAAACAAAGTTGAAAGCAAACTTTCGTGCCATATACAGTTAATTGCTGCAAATTAGATGTTAAAAGGAGAAAGAAATCCCTTCGTCTAATACTTTTTTTCCTCTTTGTAAAGTTTTTTTTTTACGATTTTATACAGTGATTTAATTTGAAAGTGAATTCTGTACACTTAATTGTAAATGTTATGTACAGTGTAGTACATTTTATCTACGATTGATTTAAAACCATCGGTTGCCAATCCAATCAGTATTTTTTCCCCAGAAAGTCATGAATAAAATTCTTGTCTTATTTTTTTATTTTCTCGGAGAGAGGGAGGGGTATCCGTATAAGATTTTTTTCTGATTTATACATGTTTGTTTTAATTTCTTACAATGAACATTTTCATTAATGTATACTTTTTCTTTTTATTGAGTATCTTGGATTTTAACGCATAATTGTGATTATTTTGTTATAAATATACCTAAATGTATATATTGACTTAAGTGTTTACAAGAGATGTAAATCTGTATCTCTGGTATCTGTTGATAATAAATAAATAAATGTACTGTCAAAAAGTGTTTCTTGAACTTTTTTTCATAAATACAACTTTTTTAATCAAAAACACTGTACATAAATTCTTTAAACTTCATAATTTTTTTTTGCACTGAGCACAGTTATACTTCAAACACTATCAAATTTAAAATTACATTACACATTTTTGAACAGATTCATTTACATATATACTGATCAAACTTTCTAAGTCCCCACGTAAGTGTTTGTTTTACACTGCTTTTATATTAAATAATTAAGACAATATAAATTGAAAACTATACAGGATAAAAAGAAGCAAAATATTTTTTATTCACTTAATTTTATTATATTGAAGGACTTTTAATAACACAAAATGCAGAAGAGTGAAGGCACCCTAGAATTAAAAATTCGCAACGTTCAATGCTGTTTTTGTCCTCCGTGCAAACGAATTAAGATCAAGAAAACTGCTTCTCAAAGAGTTCACACAATTTAGGAAAAAACTTCATGGAAGCTTATTCCATGTATGGACTATGTCGTCCTCTATATTTCCACCAGATTCTGCCGCTGGAATAGCGCTCAATCTCTGGTCCATCTTGTCCCGTTCATGTTCTATAGGGTTGAGATGTGGATGACATTGAAGCTTACCGAAATTGTTTGTATCAAATATTAATCCTACAGTACATTAGGTCTTCTTAAACACATTCACCACTCTTCCAGTTTGTTTCTAATAATTTGGATAATTAAGGCGACTTGAATTAATTTTTAATGAGTGCAGAGCAATTGCACGTGCAGATAGGTTCCTTCCACAATAGTTAGTAATTATTATGTAGTAGCCCTGTTGATGTGTTGTTGTAGTACGTGTATACGCCTTGACCATGGGCACTTCCGGTTCCGGTTTGAGTGAATTTCCGGTTAAACTCTTGGGTGGTTAAGCGGTATTTCTTAAAAATCTAGCAATTTTTAATGATTATAAGGAATACAAGTAAGCTTTGTGCATCTTCCTGACGGTATTTTTAACGGTTTTACATAAAATAAACAAATACAAACAAAGGAAATACAACTTTCCTTTACTACCACCAGCGTGGACCATGGCAACTTCACTTGCACATTGACGTTCGTAAATACACGGCATTTTAAACAAGCTTTTTTCTGTTTTTCCGAAACAACTAAAGATGGAGAACACATGGCAATTTAAATAAATGGATAATACATCCGAAAACATATGAAACTCGCACTTCATGCTTTTTAACAAAAAGGGTCATGGATGAGTAATTACACATTTGATTTCAATTTTTTTGGCCGTAACAGGCAATCATCAAACAATTAAGTCAAAATTATGAACAACTAGTTAATTAATGTTAAGGTTTTTAAATACTTGAAATAATAAAAGTGGGGACTTAGAAATTTTGACAAGTATAGTTTTTAGCTCACCTGAGCCAAAGGCTCAAGTGAGCTTTTCTGATCACAATTTGTCCGTTGTCTGTCGTCGTTGTCGTCGGCGGTGTTGTCAGCGTTGTCGTCGTTGTAAACTTTTCACATTTTCGACTTCTTCTCAAGAACCGCTGGGCCAATTTCAACCAAACTTGCCACAAAGCATCCTTGGGTGAAGGGGATTCAAGTTTGTTCAAATGAAGGGCCACGCCCTCATTCAAGGGGAGAAATCTTCTTCTCAAGAACCACTGTGCCAGGAAAGATGAAACTTAAGGGGAAACATCCTCAGGTTGTGTAGATTCAAGTTTGTTCAAATCATGTCCCCCGGGGTTAGGGTGGGGTCAAAATGGCCGATCAACGTTTTACATGGGAATATATAGGAAAAATCTTTAAAAATCTTTTTCTCAAGAACCATTGAGACAGGAAAGATGAAACTCATATGAAATCATCCTCATGTGCTTTTTCCTAGCCGATGTGCTCAGGTGAGCGATGTGGCCCCTGGGCCTCTTGTTTTAGTGAATGAGTCGGTTTAATACCCTTTTTGACTAAACTATGAACACAGTTCTAAGATGTAAGTGCATATCAGTGTTTATTAAGAACTGTACTTCAAGAACAATTGGAGTCGTTGAGATCCTAGCTGCAGAACTGTAGCTCTCCGAAAATAATATTGACAGACCGTAGACAACTCTGGTCGTCCATCCAATTGTTTCATAACAGCAAGTTACAGATCTCTTCAGATCCTTGAGTCTTTCTACGAGCCAGCCATGACTTTTTTATTACAAGTTTGAGTCGTATGTATTGTACATATTAATGAACAAAAAAATCCTAAATTTATTATTTTTAAATCAATATGCATGTAAGAAGTGTGGATCAATTTCCTACCATAGGAAATTGTATGAATAAATCGTTGATAGTAATTAAAAACATAATTCATTCAATTTTCCTTTTTCATATTCATTAAAAACTTCATGAATTTTGTTAGCTGCAGTTCTGTAGCTCTCCGAAAAAATATATTGATAGAGAGCTACAGAGCCACCCATTGAAAAAACTATATATTTATTGCGCACAAAAAAATGCGCTCGGATCTCGATTTATTTCTCCATGTTTTTAAAACTTTGATCTCAAAATATTACTAACCGTATGTTCCTAACATATTCTTTCGCTGTTTCCACAACCAAACATTCCTCATAATTGTTGTTAATAGTCCTCCTGACCCTGATATTGTAATCATAGAACATTTCGCTTACTAGTATTTATACTGCCATTTTGGTTTCAAAGATAATTCGGTCCAGTATGCTTCGTTCAGATGTCAACTATGAGAGTGCTTGATAGAGGAGAAAGAAATTTTTTTAATCGTCCTTTTTTTGCAATTGAGGTAAGAATTTGGAGGAATTAATCAAGAACCGAGCGCACTTTTTGGTGCGCAATAAATATACAGTTTTTTCAATGGGTGGCACTGTAGCTCTCCGGTCTATCAATATATTTTTTTTCGGAGAGCTACAAATCTGCAGCTAGAATTTTGTTGAATTATTTACTAAATTATTGTTCAATTTTAAAAGTTAATTGCAAATAATCACAGTAATGAGCAAATCAAAAACAAAAGAAATACGTTTTAAAAGTCAATTACAAAAATGAAAAATATCTTCAAAAATACTTACAAGACATTTTTTTCAGTTTGTTATTAACTTTTATGGTCCGTGTAACACTTAACAATTCAAATTTCTACAATGGGTTTGAGTTTTAGAATGTTAATATATTAGTTCAAATTTCTAAATTTCAAAAACTCAAAATGATTTGGTATATTGAAATTTAATATTTTAGTTCAAAAATCTAAAATGTCAAATTTCCAAACAGGTTTTAAAATTTTGATATTTTAGATTTTTACCTTAAAAAATCGAAATTCAAATTTCCAAAAACGATTTTTGTAATCTAAACGTTTGAGTTTTTAGTCTACTGTTTGTTCAGAAAGTTTACATTTAACAATCTATAGTTCAGTAATATTTTTCGTCTTTTGATTATTTGAAATCAGCTTCAAACTTCTAAAATCCAACTTTGAAACCTTTTAGATTTTTAGAAATTTGGAAGTTTGGTTCAAATATGCTAACTTCAAATAACCTAAATACTTTGAGTTTTAGAATTTTACTTTAACAATCCAAAATACCAAGTTTCCAAACCCGATTTGAATTTTGAATATCCGCTCAATATTCTAACTATCTTAAAGCTCTTTTGCTTAACCAACAGTGTTTTTGTAATAGTTTCAAAATTCAAATCAGGTTTGGAACTTGATATTTTGGATATTTGAAGTAAATATATAAAAACTCCAAGTGTTTTGGTTATTCATGTTATTTGAAATTTGAATGTTTGAATCAAAATTCTAAATCTCAAAAAATGTAAAACGTTTTGAAAGTTGAAATTTAGAAGTTTGAAGTAAATTTTGAAGTATCAAAAATTGTCAAACTGTACTGAACTTTAAATTGTTAAGTGTAAACTTATTAAATAAACGGTAGACTAAAAACTCAAAAGTTTAAAATACAAAATTTGTTTTTGGATATTTGAATTTTGAATGTTTAAGGTAAAAATCTAAAAACCTACAATTCTAAAACCTGTTTGGAAATTTGAAAATTTAGGTTTTTGAACTAAAATATTAAATTCCAATATACGAAATCAGTTTGAGTTTTTGAAATTTAGAAATTTGAACTATTATATTAACATTCTAAAACTCTAAATCGTTTTTTGAATTGTTAAGTGTTACACGGACCTTTTATGAACAATTTAGATTTTTAAAGTTCTTTATTATTTTTTTCTTGCAATAATAAAGTATACTCCATCTGTTTACCCCTTGATCTTATTTGGACTCTTCCAAATTCATTTCTCACCTGTCAACTTCCGGTGTGTCAGAAAAGAAAATGGCTACCTGGAACAGGTCGAGGTACCTGTTAATATCGTCAGCAGTGTTTGTTGCGATAGGCTTCCTCTTCTTTCTCATTGCTTTTTCGACACCAAATTGGTTGGAGGCCGATGATAAATATAAACTGAAGAACGGATTCGTCAAGGTAAGAGCCATTTCCAGGTACACTATGCTAAACAGGAAATGAAACTGATTTTGTGTACTTAAGATAGTCAAAAGTGGAGTAAAAATTGAATTTATATGAACGATTGTTTTTGTTGTACATGCAATATAATAATAAGATCATGTTTTATTTTCCCACCTGACAAAAATTTTATTCTTTTTAAGATGGTATATGTGAATTATGTGTCCAAAAAGACATATCTGAACTATAAAAGATTTTTACCATTAATTTCAGTTTCTTTCAGAATTCCTGATTTGTAGTTTGTATGTCAAAAATGGTTCATAATCACTTAATTGTCTTTTTCAGTTGGGTTTGTGGACAGCATGTTTCAATCACTGGACATACTTTAATGATTACAATGGGAAGATTTATGATGGATGTTGGTGGATTTATTCCTATGAATACAGACCAATCTTCCACTGGATTAATCCATGTAAGTGTCAAAGTGACAATATTACCATTACACGCTGAGTTTGGACTTTCAGTAAGGCGTGGCATTCTCGATGTTACCTAATTTATAGCTTCTGAAATTTACACAGCTTCCCATCACTGTTGAAATATACATATGATAGAAATGCAGCCGAATGTCAATTGGTGTAATAAATAGCCAATTAAAAGTTCTCTCACGGCACAGAGGTGGGGCATAAGTCGTCTCATCGTTATCAACAACAATTTTAAGTTCCTGATGTTATTAATTTCGTAACCAATGAGAATCTACTAGTATTCGCCATTACGTAGCGCCGAGAAAGTCACGCCCTACTGAAAGTCCAAAGTAAGGGTAAAATCCTCCTAAAACTACTGATCTCAAAAATGAGTAAATATCATTTAAATTTTAAAATACATGCCAACACCAGAGACTTGAATACATATATATGAAAAGAACTTTTATCTCTGTCTCAGCAGGCACATACATGTATGTGAATTTTGAATACTATTTCAGCTGCCTAAATTTCTTCTTTTACGAGTGTATAGAGAGAGAGAAAGTTGAAATGTCTCAAATATAGTCTTGAGTTGTCCCCCTTTATTCTGTTCTGTTTAGTATTCCATTGATTCCTTGCCCAAAATGTCACAAACAGCACACATTTTCAACTATTTATCAGATGATTTATGACGTATACTTTTTGTAGCGTGGTTCCTGTCTATACAAGTGATGATGACCTTGACCTTGCTGGCAGAGATAGTGGTCCTCTCCCTCCTCATCTTGTTCATTCTTAACGTATTAAAGGGCAGGAACAGCTTCGGGGCGCTCATGTCCGTGGGGGTCGCAGCCGTTACCTGTGGTAAGAAGACGGTATTGATGATAAAATGGAAAAACAAAACCCAGAAATTAATTTTTTAAATTTACATTTTTGATAATGATCAAATCAATGAAATGAATTTACTTGTTCTTGAAAGATGAGTCTAATTATGTGGTGTTTTTTTTTTAAATGAATTAATCATATAAATTTACTAAATGAGTCTAACTGGTGCAGTGATTTTTAAATCCATTACATGCATGTAAAGGAGATTTTAACATTTTCTACAAAGTGGTTAGTTATATTTAAAAGATAAGCCATCAGCTAGCAGAAGTTTATTTAAATGCAGTTAATGTGTGAACTTGCAGCATCCTCACAATATTAAGAATTAGGAAAACAGTTTCTAAATAATATTTTAATTATTAAATATAGATAAATCCTGACCTATTTTTTCTGTTTTCTTGCAGGTGTTGTGACAGGTATCTGCATCCTAATTTTCGGCACAATGTCTGTGGTGAACAGACAGTGGATCCAGAATCCGGACAAGAATTACCTGTCCTACTCCTTCGGTCTGATGGTCATGTCCGGCTTCCTCCTGGTGTTTGGGGGATTCTGTGCCACATTCTCCGCCACACAGGTCCGCTTCGACCAGAAGATGAGTCAGGAGAAACCAAGATATGGGGGACAGATCATTAAACCCGCCCAACCAATCTATTAAGGGGAGGAGAGTGCCATTTCTGACAGTATCGGCATTTACTTTGTATATGGAAATATTCATTTTCTTTTGTTTGGAAATATGACCAAATACATGTACATTGATCTGCCATTTATTTGGAGAAGGATTCTTTTCTCTCCACAATTTCTTTGTGGAGAGACATTTGATAGCAGGATTCATTCATTGAAATCATGTATACACAGAACTTCACAGTTCACATTTTCAATTTGTAAATAGGGATTCATTACATCTGTCCATATATCTCATTTACATCATTCATTATTAAATGCACCAAGACATCCACAAGTTACCGGTAGTTAAAACATTTTCAAGTAAATGATGTTATAAAAAAAATTTATTAGTGCAATTTAAGTGTATGAGTTACTGCACTTCTCTGTTATTGACATTTTCGTAAAAAAAAATTTGCCTTCTTGAAGAGTATTGCACTATTTCTTCTACTTATTTTAGTAGATTTTAATTTAAGTTCAATTAAAAAGTACATGTATTTTAGTATAATAATATCACCTCAAACAAGTCAATTAAATTTTGCAGCTATTTTAAATTTAACCATTTGTCATCCAAGTGTAATTTTACCTGTGTACAATGTATATAGATATATTTATAGATATTTTTTACTGATCTTGTTGATATGTAATTTGTACTTGTATTATATAATAAAATATTTTAAACCAGTATAGCGATTTGATAGTATCATTTATTCATGCTCAAAGCAATGACTAGCAGCAGAACTGTACATAGCTCTCGCAAAAAAAATTAATGACAGACCAGTCTGTCAATAATTTTTTTTTTCGGAGAGCTACAGTTCTGCAGCTAAGCAATAACAAAATCAAAAATGTTTTGCCTTCATGTGAATTTCTCTATAATTATTATCATGATTATTTTTCAAATTAAAAAAAAATAGCAAAATACAATATCATAAATTACCTTCTTCATATAGCCCTAAGATGAAAGTATATCGTTTTCAAATAGTGTTGAGATGTAGGGAAAAAAATTTAAAGAAAGAGAAAAAAGGACGTAGAACAGATAAATGATATACATGTATAATATATGTATACATATAATATATGTCAGCTTAGAAAAACGCTTTGTTATTATTTTTTTTACATTAAATATTATTACACCAAAGTAATTAGACAAGTTCCATAAAATATTGTTAGCCCTGTTCCCATCCTGGGAGTCTTGATAGTCATGAAAATTAAATATCTCTCAAATTTTCATAATTTGAAATTTTTGTACCACTCGGTATACATATTCAAACGTGAGGATACGAGTTATCTCCCTTAAATCGGAGTTGCACTTAAAAATATTAGTTTGTCATAATTTCTTTCAAGTAAACAAATGATAAAGATACAAGATACTGGACTTATTTTAAAGTTTATAATAATAATTATTAAAATGTAAACTCCACATCTATTACATATCAGCAATTTTGCCAATCTCATGTATTTCTAAACAGCAACGCACCTGCAATGCTGACCACCCCTATGATTTAAACTTGGAACGTCCACAGGTGTTGACATTCCAGGTAGATGATCTAATGGAGGCGATTTGAAAACAAGATGGCGAAGTCGTTGATCGCCTTGGGTTTTTCGATTGTGGCATTCACCTTTATGGTGGTGTCTTTTGCCAGTCCGTATTGGGTAGAATCGTTTTCGAAGGCAGACAGTAGATTTGTAAAAGCGGGTCTCTGGGAATTTTGTTTCAATGATTACACATTTTGGAAAGACTACAACGGAAAACGCTACAAAGGCTGTTGGTATATTTTCTCCGACCAGTACCGAGTGATCTGGGAATGGCTATCACCACGTAAGAATTTAACATATTTAATACATTTGATCTGTAAAAAACGCAAGAATTCTAAGTAAAACACTCCCAAACTTGATAATTTCTCTCTTCCGGTATTTAACCAGAGTTTCCTCCAACAACAACTACAAAATCTGTATAATGTTTGCAATTACTTATTAAAGACTACATCGATTCTATTGTTCATACCTTAATTAATACTGATTTTTTTTTTTCAAATTTCATAAGAAAAATACGTCATAAAATTGCACGTACGTGTATATCATGTTTGAAGCATTTTCAAGTTCAAGAGCTTTATGTTTATCATCTCATGATTGATAATTTTTTTTAAACAGTTTAAAGTAACTCAAGTCATTTTAAACATTTACAAAATTATTTTTTTTTTTTTTTTAATTGAGAAATAAAAATGATGAATGATTGAATGTTTTATTTTTCAGCTTGGTTCATAGTGTGTCAAGTCATTGCCAGTGTCTGCATCCTTTTCCAGTTTATTGCAACTATCATTCTGATTCTGCTGGCTTTGAACTATTTCCCGATATATCTACATGAAGTCATATTAATGGGTGGTAGCTTTGTCTACTTTTTTGTTGGTAAGTTAAAATTAACTGAGTGAATTAGAATTTTACTATCAGAGATATTTCTACAGATCTGTGACCATTTTCTCAGAAATTCAAATGACTGAGACTAAAATTTCCTCATATTCTACAACTAATATCTAAGCTGCCAAAATCTTTTTGGATTACATTATATTGATATATACTTAATGATTAAATTGTAAATAATTATTTAGAAAAAGAATTTATTAAGTAAAAAGTTACAGAGTGGTGAAATTTAGTCTTAGTCGTAATTTTTTGTGAACTGTTTTAAGGAGAGAGGACAAGTTTCCCTAGCTGCAAAATTTCTCCCCTCTACAACTAGGATCTCCATAATGGTGCAGCTGCGGGTGTGATTCGCTCCCGCACGGATTTATCAGTAAATGGCTATTTTATTAACATTTCTTACCTTGACTCCAAATAAGCAGTCATCCAAGACGTAAATCAATGCAAAGATATACAGAACGATCCCTATATCGCTTATTTTTCGTGTATGTCAACATCACAACTCGTATTTATCCGCCATGTTTACTGACCTTGATAGATTGTATTTTGGGACAGCCAATGAGAATTTAGGTTCTATAGGAGCGGATCTTTTTGGAATTCCCTTATTTTAAGCATAAAAATCGCTGCATGCATAAAAATAACCCTTAAAATGGTTTTATATAGCTATGTTTTTGTGATGAAATTCAGCACAATCATTTATAAACACCGATAATTGCTTTATTCAGTTGTTCTAAATTTCAAGCGAAAGTCTCATTACGTCACGCGTGAACTGTCATGGCTGCTGAAGTAAACTACCAGGAAACATGCAGAGTTATTTTACAAGTTTTTCGCATTTAAAGGGGTCTGTTGTTGACAGTGAATAAAAATTTCGTCTTATTAGAAGTAAGTTGAATGTAAAAATAATTTATTTTGCCTGCAGTCGCTCCTATTAAAAAAAAATATTTGCACCATTACGGAGATGCTATGGAATTGTAGCCCTCTCCAGAAAACATCAGAATAAAAAAAAATCGGAGAGGGCTACATTATTGCAGCTAAAGTTTCCCATGTTCATGGTTGAAATTTTTTTCAGTGGTCCTAATTCTCATCCAGGCGATTATTTTTGGAATCAAGAAGGAGGATCGGCAGTGGGTGCCCCGTCCTGATCAGAATTACCTCTCCTGGGCCTACGGATTCTTCATCATTTCCGCCTTCTTCACGCTGTTCTCTGCCATTGGCCTTGTTATGGCTTCACGGGAATTCAAGAATAAGTTAAAGCAGGATTATCCAGATAGACGACAATACTAACCAACATGCAAAGAATGACTTGTAATCTCCACTATGCAGGACAATATTGATAAACAAGTTTGGTGTGATAGATGTTCATTTCATTTCTGTATATATACCATTTCATTGCCATTTCAGAGTGTATGAAATAAATTGTATGAGAAATGGTTTTAACTACCATTTCTGCTGTACAAATTGTGTTTATATCCTTTTGCTATGACATGTACAGATATAAATGCATTGCACTTTACCTCATGGATGAAATAAATAGATAGATATAGTCTATTTTGCAACAGTAATTTTACACTGATAAGTGTAGTGCAAAATCTTTTCAACTGTGATCTTTTAATATAAATAAGATGAAATGTAAAAGAAAAGAAATAGGTTACAAATTTTCTGCATTTGAAGGGGGAAAAAGTTTTGGTATGGATGTTACTAGAACGAAAGTTGAATGATGTTTGGATTTCTTAAAAAGTTTTAGAATCCATATTTTTGTAGTATCTTTTTTATATCTGATATCATCTCTGTATATTCAGACTCAAATTGTACATTGTAGATTTTAAGACATGGTAATCATAATTTATACATGTGTAGATATCATTCATTTTATACTCATCTTTTCAGTCATGATGTTTTCTTAATTATACATTGTATACTATTTTACAGTGTGGCATTAATTCCCGTTTTTCTTTTATTTCAGTACACATTTTGAAAAAGAATATTGATTATTGATTAAAAATATTTCAAGAGTCAATCAAACAGGATTTTATATGACCATTATTAGAAACTCTTTGTGTAAACTGTTATTTCGCAATAAAAATCCAAATTTTCTGTAAGTTTTTAATGAAAAGATGAGGAAAATATAAATAATTTAGAATTTATTCAGATGCCATATGTTTTATATTGATGTATACCTCAATAAATATAATAAAAAGCCTACAAAATTGATTCTCTTTATTGACTTATATAGCTACCCATGTTTTACAATATACACATGTATCCTGATTCTTGCATGGTTTGTTTTATTGTTCAGAGTCAAAGAGGTGCAAGGAAACAGAATGGGGAGTTTCAGGGTACTTTCTTCTCAACTTCACTGCTACCAAGTGAAATATATGGAGATAACAAACAATTTTCATGCACCAAAAGTCCATTAAACAATACAAAATAAATGCAGAGCAAACACGGACCTCCAAAACATCAGAGGTTGGATCAGGTACCATGGAGGAGTGAGCCTCCCCTGCCAACCGGTCACACCTGCCGTGTGCTCCTTGTCATGAATAATCTCATGATCGAAAAATAACTGAAAGTACGTCGAAAATTCAGTGTGCATTTAATGGATTATATATCGTATCGACATAAGAATGGAAATAGCCCTTGTTCATTAACATTACGTCGTCGATAGATCTAAATGTCGAGTTGAAGGCCACAGCAAGTGTTTTATTCTTTTCACTTTAAGATTTGGGACAATTCTGCTTAATATGAACACAAAAATAGGTCTGCTAACAGGGCGTAATTGGTACCCAGTGACTTTCTTCTTTTAGAGTACAAGATATGGAGAAATTAACCATGACAATTATGTTTTAAGTGGCAAAGCTGCTCGTGTACTTTCTGGTCAGTTTTCACCTAATTTTGCAAAGTCTACGTACCTCCAACCCTATATACCAAAAAATCAACCATAGTGTAGAGTCACATGAGACGTCAATTCATCATTTACGGGATTAGATGGGGAGCACCAATGATACACACGGACAACGTTTGCGGAATTCAAAAATAATGAAAAGTTATAGGTATCCAAACTAAACACTGCGTTTACAGACTTTCCCCCAATATACTTGAATATTCAAAAATAATGACAAGGGCACAAAAAAATTCATGTAGTTCAGATGCCATGCTTATGAAGGTATAACACCAGGTTTGATCCAACAGCAATTAACTTTTGTTAGATAATTTAATTACTCATTAATGTAGTTTCAATAGGAATGAAAATATTTGAAGATTTTCTTATGAATTCCAATGGAAAACGTTGATCGCTGATTGTGGCCCCACCCTACCCCCGGGAGTCATGATTTGAAAGAACTTATCTGATTCTACTCTTCTGAAGATGCTTCCATATAAATATGTCAGACCAATCATGGCTTTGCTGTTCTCGTGCAGAAGATTTTTAAAGAATTTTCCTATGCAAAATTATGATCACCCATTCTGGCCCCACCCTACCCTTAGTGGCCAATATTTGAACAATTTTGAATTTACACTATGTAAAGAAGGTTTCATATTAGTTTCAATTTTTTGGCCCAATGGTTCCTGAGAAGATTTTTATATCACCAAATTTCACTTATTTTTAATCATCTCCCATTGAAAGAAGATATGGCCCTTCATTAAAAAAAAAAGTGAATTCCCTTTACCCAATGATGCTTTGTGAGAATTTTGGTTGAAATTAGCCCAGTAATTCTGGAGAAGAAATCGAAAATGTGAAGTTTACAGACGCACGACGGACAAAATGTGATGAGAAAATCTCACTTGAGCTTTCAGCTCAGGTGAGCTAAAAATCTCAAACATTCGAAATTACTCATTATTTATTTCATATATTTGAAATTCGTACACTTGTGATCAAAATGACTCTAAATTTGATCATTTTCAACATTTAAGCACTGTAGATAAGAGTCAAACTCTTCCTGTGAGATTTGATAGACTAGAGACGTGCTTATACCGATTAACAAAACAAGTAAGAGACACAAATGCAGCACTAGATAGCACCAAGGATTTCATTTATCAACCGTGGAGCTAAAATAGAATCGAAACAAACTGATATCGAAATCAGAAAACACCTTGAATTTATAAAGCCAGCATTTCTTGCAATTTGTCCATTGCAGTGTGAAAATGTCATGCTTGTAGTAAATCGAAATCCAGAAGCATGGTTAGACGGCAAAGGACCGTTCGATCGAAAACTCACATAAGCTTTCAGTTCCAAACAGATCCAAAGATCATTTGCACTTGGCTGCAAACAAATTTAGGGTTTTCCCTCGAAATCTTTCCTTAATCGATGGATACATCTTACGATCGTGCTGAAAGTGGATAAGGTGTTGGCACGTACCGATGTTCCTTTTCAGGAATATCAAAATGAACGCTACACAATCTTTCTACGATGTCTTCCACTTCATCGGAAGTACACTTCTGTGGTGGAACCATACTTTGACGCGGGATTCTGCGAACTATGGTTGGAATCCCTTTCGATTCCGCTGGACCTTTCAGTGGGTTATACTCCGATAATCGGTCCACGATTGACTGAACCTCGTTTTCGCTGTATTTTTTCTTATACACGATAGGGGGCGGTAATTTTATAAACTGTCCCCTGGACTCTGGAACTTTACATGGATCGTATGTCGACAGTCTATCCACAATACTTCTGACGTCATCGGCAGTGTACCTTGACCCAGGGGTCATAGGTGTGTTTGGCTTTTGGCGCCCAACGGGTGGAAGATAAAGATTTCTAGAAAAATCCTCAGAAAAATTTGTACGACCTCCGGGCTCGGAATTGACGACTGTGAACCTAGAAGATCCTTGAGAGACGAGTTGCCTGTATTTCTCGCGGGAAATCCGAGACTTCTGTCTTTGGCGGTGAAGTATCTGTCTGGCAAGGTCCACACTTTGGGTTTCCATGTTTTGAACTTCTTTGGGAAGCAGAGACCTTTTCACGTTTTTGTGGAGGTTAAAGTACATCCCTGTCTCAGCCTTCCTTGGTGTTACCGGTTTAAAGTGCATGTTCATCCTCGCGGAGGACCACCCTATTGGGGCCGTTGGAGCGGTCATATTGACTCCTTGTTTAGATCGACAATGTCACAAACACAAATCAAAAGTACCAAGACACGATTGTATGCGTCCCAGATGTCGGACTTCCAAAAACATGAAAAAAGACTACTAAAATGTTTAGCGTCCAGTCACTCTATCCTTTGTCTATGTGTTGGAGATCTCGATTTCTTAAAACAAGAAACAAACAAACTAATGCCACACACTGATTAAACTGAGAAAAACATACCCAATGAAAACGATACCTAGATATTGGTGATTAGTTTCCGATTCGAAGTAATCCAAAACATTAGAACACAATCTGCTTAAAATCTTGATAAAAAATTTAATACATATACACAAAAGCAAGATTCTGTGTAATGTATTCAGAATTAATCCATGGCAGTTTAAACTCCCCGTCGTACATGGCTTTACGAATAGCCCTTCACAATGCTGTTTAAAACCGTCTTCATAATAACAATTAAATAATTTGTTAATTAATGTTCACTTCTATCGATTCTATTGGATGTATCATAAACACAAAAGAATGTATAGTCTATTGGAAACCATTTCCAACCATACCTTGCTACCCCATTTCACTGACCATTTAAATCATTATGGCTATGGCTACGCGTTTTCAGTGAGACAATTGCAAGACTTTAAATGGCTTTTTTTTGGCATTTTTAATCAATGAATAGCATCTAGATGATACAAAACAGAATGCAAGGATTATTTTAAATGTTTAATGTCAGTGTGATCTATAAAACGAAGACCTTAATACAGACTCTTTCATATAACAAAACATGTATTCTAGTATCTGAGAAATTAATATAAGCTAGAGTTAATTTATGCAAAAGATTGGGATAGGACATCCATCGATTGCTTAATTTGATTTTTATATGATGAACTACACGTCACTTGTTTTATAGAAAACTCTCTCTCTATCTTTCTTTCTCTCTTTCTTTCTCTCTCAAACTATATAAAAAGCATTGACTCTTTGACCATTTTGACAGTTTCATATACAGTTGTTGTAAAATAATTTTATACATTCAAGAAAACAACATACAATATTTTTCCAACTAAATGAAAATGGATTAACAGACTTTATTTTCAAGGCTTAATAATGCAAAAACCTACATGAGTATTTTTGTGCAGATATATTGTATCCTTTATTCAAAGTTACAAAAACCTGCTTATACCTATGTGCAATTATGCAGTCGATTTGATAAGCGCTAAATATTCTGCTACGTGTATAACAGCATAAATGCATGTACTAGCAAAGTTACTACAGCTATAAAAGTCACTATCGTCCTTTGTATAGTGTTCACAAGCTTTGGTACAGAAGTATTTAGAATGCACTAAAGATTTGCGCAGTATACTCTCTGAAACACATTTTTTTAAAAAATGGATATTTTGGAAGAATAAGTCAGTGGTGGATAAGGAATAGACACGTACATGTATCTACAAATAATTCAGTTTTAAAACATTCATATCATGTACAGGTTGCTTCTTCAAAGAGACGAACTGCCTTTGCATGATGAACTATTATCTCTCATTTTTGCTTATATTCATGTCTACTTTCACATTAAATAGCTTTCTTTACATATCTTTTATTTTACCCAAACACATGTTAGAGACAAAATAACAGTCACTAAGTTGGCCATTATATAGACAGACGATGATTTCATATTCCCCCTTTGAGCTTCAAATTTCTGGTAACTATATTTCTCCCTGTTGCTTGCCTCCAGATCAACGGAAATAGAAGCAACACAACTTCCTCTTTTTGACGTGCTCTTAGAGAAAGGTACACGCGGTAAATCCTCTGTATCTATTTCCATTGCAACGGAAGTGACGTTAACATTCTTGCTATTTGCATTGCTATATTCACATTCTATGCGGTCAAAGTCGAGTTCACTTTGAGGAAACTGCATAGAACCGAAAGTCACTGGGCAGACAAAGTCTCCGTTAGATTCTGAGGAGCATGGAGTAATGAGCTTGGTCCGCTGGTACCAATAGACCTTTCCTGTGGACTCTATGGTCAAAAAGCGAGGATTAATTAGTACTTCTGGTTGGGACTCCCTACAAAAGCAAAAAAGAAAACAGATAAAATGCAGCTCTTATGATTGAATGTTGTTTGACATCCAGTAAGTATTTGTTTACTTGTGATTTCGGGCACTTAAAAAGCTTTTTCAGACCGTGGGGCACGTAGTATTATATGAGGTTGGAGTACCATGCCATTACGTTATAAAAGCTAAAATCTGAAAAGCGAAAGGAAAAGAATATGTCGATAGTTCTAGCATTTATAATATTTTGTAGAGCTGAGGATGACATTCATAGTTCCTCTCGTGACATCTAACGAAGACTGGGCAAGGTACAGGAATCAAGCTCACTGAAAATCATTTTGATCCAAAAGTAACAGTGTTGTAGAGTAGGATACCCCCCATAACTCGCTTTTTAAATTAACTAGCTTTCCACCCTGAATCAGTCTAGAGAAGAATTTTCCCAAGAGGACAAACCTCAGAATAAAGCCAGGTTCCCTGTCTCATAGTAGGATTTCCCCTCTTTTATCAATGCTTAATTCATAACAACAATATAAAAACGACCAAAAAATGTATTAAAAAAAAAGTTTATATGAAAGTCAAATTTGAGTGTTTTCGACTCAAAAATTGTTAAGATTAGTATGAAATTTTAAAACATTTAGTTCAAATTATTGATTCTCAACCAATAAATTATAACTTTTCAAATTTAAACCAAAGTAGGCTACTGACAGATAAGTTGAAGTACAGGGATTTCAACAACCTTGTTATAAGTCATCATTTCGTAAATTTTTATAACTTTGTTAAGCAAATATATGTTCTATCACTGGGTCGTATTTTGGCTTTCTTGTTTTATACCAATTGTTAAGCCTTTGTTTTCATTCTGAAGTTCGTCTACCTTATCTCCCACTGTGGGACGTGGAAACCGGTCCTGCGGATGAGACCGTATAAACCGAGGCCCCGTGTCGCAGTAGGTGCTGGCATGAAAAAAGACCCTCCCTGCTCAATGGCCTTGAGTACCGAGTATGGGACAAAATTGGTGGCGTCCTCATCATATGAGTGAAAAATTTTCGAGAGGGACGTTAAACAATATACAATCATCTGCTTTATCAATACATGGGTTCACAGCTGGAGTGAACAGTCGACATGGATTTTATATTCCTTCTAGGCGCCTCTAGTAGATTATGACATGAATCATAACACACTTATTATAATGGATGTTTTTCAATATGCTCACATATTCAGGAAATAAACATCGGGTGTCCACACTTCAGTAACGTTGACTGTCACGTGCTTTATGATGTCTGAGTACCAGTAAAGTCGCCCGTCCACCCATTGCTGAAATATAAATAAATATGTTAGATTCAAAAGTGTTAATATAATTCATATCTTGTTTTAAATAATTTTATTTAAAAGATTTTGTGAATTTGTTATGTAAAGCAGGATAGTGGACTTTTGCGAGAAGCATTGACTTTCACAGTTCACGGTTTACTTCGAATTCAAACCTGTATCATGTACGGAGGTACAGAATTGTTAGGGGCACTAACATGTGAGGACCAGGAGTTGATGGTAGGGTGGTTGTCATTTTTTAAAGTACAATTTACTAGTACTTGTTCTTTGAAATAACCCGTCATTTTCGTTTAATTAAGGTTGAGCTAAATAATTACATCGTAAAAGAGCTTCTGTAAATTGCCTTAGTGTAAAATTAAATCGTCAGCTGTAAAAGTCAACGCTCACTGCAAAAGTCCATTAAGTTGTTTACCTATGTAATCGTGCCATTTAAACACAATTTATCAATGTTTATAAACGTAATTTTAGCATTATTATTCATAATTATTTAGAAATTAAACATACTGAATTTTTTCTTCATTGTTTGAACTTTCGTATGATATGTGTGTTATGTCATTCTGAAGAGTTTGCATTAAAAATTAACGCGGTCGAAGTTGTGCTAAAATTGAATACGGGGTTTCCCCTTTGATGCATGGCACTGTATTTTTTTTCTCCTTTGATAGCGTCATTTTGATTGGCTTTCCGTATATATTTAAGGAATCAACACATCCTATCTGAATATTTTCTCAACATTGTTAATGTTCATCTCAATGCAAAACCCATTCCGTTAATCAATTTTACTACGGTAAGTAATCGAAATATTTTAATGCAACATACATATGAGAAAGCTGATTCCTTTCTGAATATTATGGTTGTGTAATTTCTAATGATTTCCAATGGCTGTTCCATCAAACTTTGAACAGTTTCTCTGTACCTTTAAATTCATGCACACTTTTGTATCGTAAAACCACAAAAGAAAATATAAATGCGACATTAAATAATATTATCTTTTTGAAAAATATCATTTCCTACTTTAAACAGGAACTTTAAACGGTCCCTGATATAAATGTAAAAATTAAATTCTGTTGCCAGGATTTCCTCTAGATTCTGAAATACATATAATGTACTGTATAATAACTGAATAACCCGAAGTTCTTCTAACTAGGTCCTATAAGAATATTTTTGTTATTAACATGATACTTTGTGGTTATTTTTTTTTTCAGCAGACTTCGGAAAAATACACAATGGTACCCCCGGTAGTAGCAGATGTCATTCAACTTGTCCAGGAAGCATTTAAATATATACAATTATTGATTGAAACCGAAAATTTGATATCATGTTTTTTTAAAGATCGGTCTATTAAAATTTTTAATAAAGTTGTGAATTAACTGTAGTGAATTCTTTTTTCCCGATCTTTGCCATTTTCATATAATATTGACAGCTTTCTTCTTTGTGATGTCCACACAGAACTCTGACTTTTAATGAGCATATTTGATTCAGATCACTATTTTTATACATTTTTTAAAGTAATAAATTGTAAAGAATTTATAAAGTATCATTATTTTTTTCCTATATTTTGAAAGCATTTTATCATGTATCCGCCATTTTCAATATTGGTTCCATATTGGATATTTTGCTGCCATCTTGGATATTTTTTACCTGGCATGGAAACAGAAAATTAGCAAAATATATAGTTTGCCATACTTCCAAATAAAATTAGACATTTATAAGAACGGATTTTTCTTCTTTTTTGTGCCATCAATTTTTTAGTTAAATTTCCTTACATAAAATAGCAGTATTCACAACATTGATAATTTCATAACTTCTGTTCTACTTGGAATTTTTTCACCAAGTAAAGTTTTTTATATTTCCGAATGTTTCCATGTTTATGCTAGAATATATTTATTTAAATATATCTCATCGAAAATTTATACCTGAACCCCCTACATTAAGTTGTTTACTACGTCATTCATCTTATTGAAGAGGCCAATGGGTCACAAAGCTCACTGGAGTCAATATGGCTCTGCTATTCTACGATCATCAGCAGATTTTTTTTCTCCTTCATACATCATAGGCGTAGTCACAGGGGGTGGGGGGGGGGGGGGCAGCATACTCGGAGTTTTCAGATCGGGGGGGGGGGGGGGGGGCAAGAGGTCTGTGCCCCCGCACTTATTAATGTAGAACAAAATCACAGCTATGTTGAAATAATATTAAACCTCATTTTATGGCAATTTTTTTTTATTTTCAACAACAACTGAGTAAGCATTTCTCTTGAAGTGATAGTTGTATAATATAGTAATGTAAAATAGTAATTAAATCTGTCAAGACCTCTTGTGTTCGCCAGTTTGGGATAGGGAGTGCGGGTCATAAATTTAAGTTTAGACGTTTCTGTTTCACTCAGCATCTGTTATCTAACAAAATTAAATGAGAATCACAAGCTACCCCTTGTGTTGACATCTGAAAGTCATTATTTATTTGCTGTATCCTATTTCTTGTATAACACAACTAGTCACAAAGTAAGTTTTGTCAAGCCTCCGGATTTTTAATTATTTAATTTTGCTGATTCATTAGCACTCTTTTATTTTTACATACCCGGTATATATGTACTGTAGAATTCTAGTCAATCCAAATCTCATCAAAATAAGTAATTTCTACAAGATAGCTGCAATTGGAGAAAATGCCTGTGATGAATGTCAATCAACTTTAAAAACACTATTTGTTTAAAAACACTATTTGATATCACTTTGGCTTATTGATTTAAGGGGGCGTGAGGGACGCCACACCCTTAAAATTTTTTAAAGTATGATATGATTAATATTATTAATGCCATGTTTCTCCAATGCCACAATTTTGTTTCGTTTTACAGAAAAAAAACTCAGGGGCTACACCATTGTGATATGACTGATATCTCTCCCATATGAGCCCATGGATATTACATGTTGTACATCTTAATATTTCTTTATATAACACACATGACTTTTTGGATCAGTCACGAAAACGTGCTTCTGGTGCCCCCTCAGAAAGTTCCTTTTTTTTTTTTTTTGCTTGTCAAAGAATTTCATGCACTTTTAGGTTTGTGACTACGCCTCTGTACATGTAATATATTTACATCCACAATATTTTCTCCTTTATTTCAGAAAACCCATTCCGTTAATCACTGCATGAACTACATTAGGCATGTCGCCTGTACAAATTTCTTGATCAGTGGCTGTTCCATCAATGAAACGTATAAGACGTTCGCATCATTAATGCAATAATTAATCTTTTTAATCCTACTTTAAATGATTATTTAAACAGATATAAATATAAACAATAAAATGTCTTTCTTTGTTTGTTATTACTGGAATTAACGCAAATTGCAAAAAAAATACACAATATGCTTCCGTTAATTCCAGTAATAACAAACAAAGAAAGCATTTTATTGTTTAAATAATTTTTTTTCATTGTGGCTCCACCCTCTACCTGGTGTCACGTTTTGAACAAACTTGAATGTACACTGTCTGATATAAAATATTTATCACACAATAAAAATATATAATAATATAAGAATCTCTATTTTTTATATGTCATAAAAGATCCTCCATATAAAACACGAATCTCTTAACTGAATTATACTCACAAATCGGGTATCCACTATAGAAGTCATACTCGGAGTTTCGGGGTCTACTTTTAAAACCTTTACCAAATCAAATCGAACATTCAGTAGGAGCGGTGTAGCAGACTCGTTATAGGGGCGGAAATGCTTATTGTACTTCAGAAAGGCTGTCGTAAAGACGTTGGAAGATTCAGCAACATAGCTTTTCTGCCCGACTGTTCCTGTGAATCTAAATAAAAAAGATAAAAAAAATCTATATTTAATTCAAAGGTTTTCAGAAGGATTACCTGTTTCTCCTATCCAACGTTTTCAGAAAAAATACATTGTTTCTAAGCTCTCCCATATGAGAAAAGGTACTAGTATCCAGCTTTTTATCAGTCTCGATGCTTCAGATAGTTCTCCATATCATGCAAGTATATGTAAAACAAGCTACAATTGTAATTCAGAGAATTTGTGTCCCTCGCTGAAAAAAGGGGCTCAAACCCAACTCCCCTCCTCGGATTTGCAGAATTATTAAATTGTGTACTGAAGCAAACAAAAAATGCAAATATGGGTATAAAGATTTGACTGCTTATTCTTTAAAAGATTCTCTTGATATAAAATATTTATCACACAATCTCTCCTCTCACTCCCCACTCTCTCGAGAACGGAGTATGAGAGAGTTATCTTCTCCCCACTCCCACCAGGAGTAGGGAGTCGAGGAGACACGGGAATAGGGCAGGTAAAAAATTTCCATTTCGTTTTTTCCCTATTCTATGCCTCCCTCTCCCGGCATATTTTCTCTCACACCACTCTCTCCCTCTTTCTTACCCTCTCTTTCTTCTTTATTATTTTTTATTATTTTCTGCTTCACAACTTTTCACCCTATAATGTCGTAGAAAACTTTATATATGGAAACATTAAGAAAAAGTAATAGTGTTTAAAGTCTGGCATTACTATTATCGCCAAAATTTACGGTACTGGTTAGTTAGATTCAAACTAAATCACAACCAATAGTTTCTAATTATGATTTTCAACATTCTTGTAAAATTAATTTTCCGAAGAAACGTATCTGTTCATTTATAATCACGAAATAAACCATAGAAAGTCCTTTGAAACGCATACAAAACGTTTACGCTAACATGGCTAAGAATAAGAATTACGCTAAGAAAAGAGCTATTGCACCACTGAAAGTACCATGTGCGATTCCCATTCCTACTTGAACATTGTATGTGTATGTCAGATTTTCAGTTTAAAATTGTTTTGCAACTTTTATTGGTAATTAAAAAGACTTTGTACATGATATAAACCTACAGTGTACATGATTATTCACGTATAGGTTGCAAATTTTATATTACTGTAATTTATTTATATTATATGACAATGAATATAAACCTTAAATTTAAAAACTTATATCGATATTGAAGATGCCACTAAATGATTCTTAATCGTCGGTGTGCATGTTTCTGGCCATAAAGGATTTGATACATATGAAATACTAGTTTTTGGTTTACTCTACTGACGATTTGGTGTTCACTAAATCGCCTCTGGTGTTACGCTGTCGCCTTTGCGGGATTTTTCTGATGTCAATTAATTAGATATTGGACCAATCAATTTTAAAGTTTTCCCCACTGTCAGCGGGGGACAATAAATATCTGACGAATGGGTGGAGATCGACTGATTTTTTTCAAAAGAATCAACACTACAAACATACAGTATTAAATATAAGTGTCAGATATTAGTAGCAGATACAATAATACTTTTCATCCTCTTATACCTCAGCCTCTCTCCAGTATTGTAAAACCTGCTATATTTAGCATCATTTACATTGTACGTGAGTGTAATATTAATTGAGACGTATGAAAAAAGAATTTAATCGTTTAAATATAAATATTTTTTTATTTAAATAGTAAAAATGTGGGTTTTACCCGCTTCAGTGGCCGTATAACTGTAAATGTTTATTAATTTTCTTACTCTTGAGAGTATACAAATAATCTAAAAGTTTTTAATATACAAGGTTTACATAAATGGCCTGCTTTCTGAAACAGTACGATTTATGTGAGTTTTCTAGAAGAAAAAAATCTCGACACGACATTATGATTTACCTTACCACTTTAAACAATAACATTATTCTTTCCTCGTCATTAACTTATGGGGTGGATGATGTAAATTGGCAAAATGTTTTGGTACTAAAGAAAAATATATACTTTTTGTCAAATTAAAATCATAAGAAAATGGTTTAAATTACATGCTTTAGAATCCACGTATTATTTATATACTCAGTATGCGTGTTTAATATTTGAGTTATTGCTATTTAATAAAACATAAATCTTCATAATCAAAAATTTAAAAAATATATATGTATATAGTAAATCAAACAAAAGGTCCATGGGCCACAACGCTCACTTGAGTAACTTTTGGCTATGCAGTTCTTCACTAGATTCCCCCATTGTAAAATCTATTGTGGCCAAAGCTATGCCCGGAGGTCATGATTTGGAAAATTTAGAATCTACACTACCCCAGGATGCTTCCGTATTAGTTTCAGCGTTTCTGGCCCAGTGGTTCTTGAGAAGAAGATTTTTCCTATATTCTTCCATGTAAAACTTGGATTCCCTATTGTTGCCCTAACCCCGGGGATCATGATTTGAATAAATTAGAATCTGCACTACCCAAGGGTGTGTTCACATTAGTATAAGTTTTCCTGACCCAGTGGTTCTTGAGAAAGGGCTTTTTAAATATTTTCCTTAATAATATAATTCAATGTAAACCTATTGTGGCCCCGCCCTGTCCCTTGACTTGAAGAATTTAGAGTCTACATTACCCTTAATGCTTCCTTATAAGCTTCAGCTTTTCTTGAGAAAAGTTCTTGAGAAGAAGATTTTTCCCATATATTTCAACGTAAAACTTGGATACCCTATTGTGGCCCCACCCTACGCCCCGGGGGTCATGATTTGAACAATTTAGAATCAATACTTCCCCCAATATGCTTCCATATAAGTTTCAGCTTTTCTGGCCTAGTGGTTATTGAGGAGAAGATTTTTTTTAATGACACCACCCTATTTTCGTCTTTTCTTAATTATCTTCCCTTGGAAGGGAGCTTGGCACTTCATTTTAACAATTTAAACTCCCCTTCGCCCATGGATGCTTTGTACCAAGTTTGGTTGAAATTTGCTCTGTGCTTTTTGAGTGCCGAAATATGGCCGAAATATTTGCCGATTCTGCGTTAAACAATAATAAATCTTGAGAAGAAGTTGAACATGTGAAAAGTTTACAGACGGACGGACGACGGACATTGGGTGATCAGAAAAGCTCACAAGTTTGAGCTCTCAGCTCAGATGAGCTAATAAAAACCAACAAAATCTAAATTAATTAATAACGTCATTTACAATCATGAAACAGTTAGTAAATATTCAACCACATTTAAAGTTATCTTTAAATGAAAATTTCTACCTCACACGTTGACAGAAACAACTAATTTTTTTTTTCAATCAAGGCAAAAATAATCGTGCTAAATGTTTATCGACACGACCCATTGAGAATGTGATATACGGAGAGATAAAATCTGCAACAAGTCCAGTTTTGGCTCCGAGGTGTTTACCCTCAGAGAGAATAATCATAAACTGATTGCATTCCAAGATAATGCACCACTGTCTAAATCATGCAAGAACTGGCGGAGATCACAGGAAAATCAACTGTTTTACCGACTAAGGCCGTCAGATATTTTGATTTACATGTAATAAGCAATTGTTTTATCTATCAAAACAAGTCTAACCATTTTGGTTATTTTGCGGCCTTCCGCCAAAATCACACTTTTGTTCTTGGAATGATATAAAGGGGGAGAGAAAATGAACATGAAGAGTTAATAATGGAGTGAACACAAATTAATGTATTTCATTGCTAAGCCAAGATATTGAAGTGTGCAGACGTCGTTCAGATCATGACTGCAGGCAAAAACAGAACTACGAGAGTCTTAATAGACGTTGCTGTATGCATCAGCAATCTTCAATTTTATTTTGTTCTTGCAAATTGAATGCTGGCATATATTCAATGATAAAATCTCCAATCCGTTTATTTTTCTGCGATCGTTTTTATTTTACAATGTATATTTAGTATCACACAGGTACATTTCATCGCGGAAATTTGATGTTCGAAATGTTCAGTCACGTTTTTAATAAATTAAATAATATATACGTGTACTTTTTAATACCGGTAATTAGAAGAAGAAAGATATTGTCAGGAATTTTTCCAGTTGCTTTATACTGATCTTTGTTTGTGTGCTCTTCAGAAGTGAACATAACTATGTACAACGGACATTTAATATAAAGTTAATAAATAAAATTTTTTCTTATACTACCAAAAGCAGAAAAGGGCGGTGTCGACCATTGAGAAACAGAAGTAGAGCTTTCCAGAGCACTTTTACTTGGCACATTCATGTATAAATACAATAAACAATCATTTATTAAGATAATGATCAAAGATAATATTGCAAATGACAGAGCCACGGATATGTAAACCAGTGCCCGTTCTGTAAATAATAGGTCAGCTAAGGTTACGACTCAGAACGGCTGCATATTGCCGTAAAGCTAAACAGATCGGGTAATAATTGTGACATATGGCATCAGAATCTTAAAGATGTTTGGATTACACGGTCAATCGCCTCCGAATAAAGCGGGATAGACACTCGGATTTAAGGTCTGACTCGTACTCTGGTGCTCATTTAAAGGTGTCAGATTTCACATAAGTAGTGGATTGACACCACCCACTTACACACATCTTATCTAAAAGAAAGAGGAAAAACAAAGTGGTTTATGTTTTGGAGAATATGCAAAAAGTGGGCTAAACCTTACAAAATCACTCAATGTCCCAAGGAAAACTCATATAAAAAGTGGTACTAAATTCAACTACTAAAATGTGAGTAGTTCTAAATGCATGCTGGACCACGCCTGACACATTAGGGATGTAAGGAAATCCCAAACGAACAGTTCTTGTTTTGTTTTTTTTTAACAAGTACAGTACAACTATATTTATCGCCAAGCAAGAAAAGGCCCATTGACAACACTCAGATATGACTTTTCAACTTGACATTAGGATTCTTAAATGACTTCCTTCAATAAAAAGAAAACAATTAAAAAATATGCTGCTTGTGAGTCAACATAAAGATTTCTCGATTGCAACATTAGCACGATTATCCTATTCGTTTAAATTATGCTGTATTATACAAGAAATTATCTCATCATATACTTGTAATTA